ATTAAGTTTCGTAAACTTATAACATCGTTAAGATTTTTAACCGGAGTTAAATTCAGCAAAACATTCAAATGAGTGTTAATCAAAATGTTTTTTATTTCCGAACCTTTCTTTCAATAAATCAAGTGCTTTATCATAATTTTCATCACTTAAAGCAAATCCACTAATACATGCTGCCGCGGTACCACAGAGATAGGATTTCAAATAATTAAATTTATCAATTTTGCTTAATTTAGGATTATTATAAACAGAGCTTTCAAATAAATTGTAAAAATCTAACCAACCAGAATAATTACCATAATAAGACCATAATATTTACTAATATGTAATTTAGGCAATTTTATATTTTCAGTTTCATTATTAATCAACTGAAAGTTTTGTGAAACTGTATTAACTTGGATAGAATCAGAATTCAATTTCTTTATTTTAGAATGAAGTTTCGATTTCCAAAAAATTATTTTTCTTTTATTTCTTCTGAAGCTTCTTTATCTTCAGATATTGTTTCATCGCTCAAAAGATTTTCAATTTCATCATTTAAAGAATTTAAATCAGTTTCTTTTCCGATTAATTGTTCCAAAAATGCTTCTAACTGATCAACTGTTTCGTTTTCGTTGTTGATAGCAACTTTTATTTTGTTAATTAATTTCGTCAACATCGCACGAATGCGTTTCTTCTTAACTTTGACAGATTTTCAGCCATATTTAATTTCTATCCAGGTATAATTCAGTTCAATAATTCAATAAGATTCTCTTACCTGGTTTTTTCATAGTGCACCAAATGCGCATCAGTGGTTTAGATTCGTGTAATCCAGTTGTCGAAAGTGTGGTGGTTCAGCAAAAACATTATGTCACATCTCTTATCATTAAATCAAAATCAATAATCACCATCATAAATATAAATTGATTTAATTAAATATAATATTCATCTCAGAAATCACATCATCCATCGAGTAACTCCATCGAGTCTCAGCACACACCAAGCCTCTCAGCGCCCTGTAGCGTAGGCGGTCTTACCAATGGGTCTTTGTTTCACATACGGTAGGCAATATAACCTACACATATGTTAATGCTTCTTTTCGGCCGTCGAAATGTCCGGACAATTCATTCCAAAGCATAGGAAGATTCTCTATGAAATCCAAATCAAAATGTCAATATATTTAATGGAAAGCACTTCCTCCTCTTTTCAAAGCCCTTTCACGTATTTTGATGTTAAATATAAATAATATTTCTGCTTCTTTAGTCATGCACACTTTTGAAGTTATTTGGCAGCCTATTAGCGAGATTAATTTGCTTTTAAGGGATATATCTTCACTAGTGATGGATGGTCTTAACCTACCAAGCCTCGAATCTAATAAGAGACTCAAGTACATCCTGAGTTAATCTAGAGGTTAAATATATTTAGCATCATACGATGATTTCAAATCCTGGTAGGCCAAAGAGATAATTATTGAAATTATTCCTTTTTTGGAGAGGCAGTATTTGGATTTCCCCTTTCTCTTAATCCACCACCGACTTTCTTCATTAATCCAAACTTGAATTTGATTTTCATGAGTTCATTTAATCCAATGCTGCTTAAGTATTGTATGGCTTGTACTATTAATAACATCGCAAATTTTTGATTAATTCAAAGAAATCGGATTGCTTTTTGATTTCCTGTGAGTGGAGTATACTTTTGCGTAGTCTTGAAAATAATGTTTCACTGGCGACTTTTGTCTCTCGTTCCCTTGACTATTAAATAATTTGGTTTTAGTTTATGACACAATATAATTTCTCCTGAATCTCTATTTAAAAAAACCTCTCTTAATAATATCAACATTTAAAAGCTGCATCTTCTGAAACAATCCTTTTATCTAAAAATGTTTCTCAGTAATTCGAGGCACCGTTAAATCTGCAAAAATCCATATTTTTTTGTTTGCAATACTGGATTTGAAAACTGAGAACTATTAATCGAAATGTGTAACTCTTTCCACAAAGTACTAGATCTTCCTAAATCAGACACTATTGCTTTCACTTCTAGTCCAGATGATTGAATCCTCTGATTAAAACAAACTGCACTTTTTGAAAAGGACAGAGAATTTGGTCCAGTTTAGAGTCATAGCGGAGTTTAGAATCTATATGCATTTCGTTGAAATTGAGAATGCATATTTTTTGTACAGAATTCAAATATTCGCATCTTTCCTTCATTACAGCAAGAATATCACTCTGAATTCCTGGACTACATGAAAATTTAGCTCACCATCTCCTTAATGTGCTAGTGCTAGGTAAAGGAATTCCCATATTTTCTTTCCAAAAATCGTATTCTAGCAATGCGAAATCTGCGTCTTTGTAAAAATATGCTTTTTAGTTTTTCTTTTTCCGATCTGTGCTGGTTTTCCTAATTTCGCTGTTTGGATATTCTGATTTCCATAAAATGCTTTCTAGATGTCGTTCACCTTCTTTGTCGCTGAGCAAACATTCTATAATTTTTCTTTTCTCTATTTTTCAATATTTTATTACAATTTTCTAAGGATATTATTTTTTTCTTCAAATTATCAATACATTCTTGTTTACACTTAGGGCATTGTCACTTGCGAGTTATATTTCAAAATAATTCACATTTGATTTATTATTGTCAGCTTCAATTTCTTTCTCGCCCTCAAAATTAATTTTCTTTGGGCTTAATTCGTGTAGTCTTTCAAAAGCACTCCACATTAGTTTTCTTTCCAAATGTCTCCGATTTCTTGGTGTTATTTCGTTTATTGCACACAGCAAACTTACTTTCGGCACAGTATTGCATTTCAACAGTTTCTTTTGCAGCAATCCAAGCAAGAGGTTTTTCATGTCATCTTCATAATCACTACACAGAAAATGTTTGCTGCAAATTCTTACATTTTTCACATTTATAGAAGCCTGAATTTAACATTTATGTATCCATTCTTTCGTCAAAAGCAAATTATCATTTGGGAAAGTATGAAATATTACAATATCTCTTTCTTTCGTATTTCTATAAGTGTTACGGCACGTTGCTACAGCACAAGAAGCCATATTACATAAAGGATACTTTAAATATAGAATTTAAAAGGAAAACTGACTAAAACTATATATATACACAAATTATTTTAAATATTTGCATTATTAAAAAACAGATATGTATGATTAAAATTAATTTGGGATATGCGACTTGCAGAAAATCGTCTCGCAACTGAATGAAACTACAGATATAAATGCACGAAATCAAAGCAGGTGCAAAACAGACATGTCAGATTACTTCCAATTAACCCCCTCCATGAGGCTCGAGTCGGCGAGGAGTCGAACAAAGGAATGACCTAGCCCTTCTATTTATCCCTGTCTTTCTGCAGCGTTGGATTGGTTGTATCGGGAATGTTGTTCCCTCCAAATCAGCTGATGATCTGAATCACTCTCCCGTGTGAACATGGACTCGTCTGTGAAGAGGACAGATGCCTATTGTTGACTGGTCCAGGATATGTATTCCCTTGCCAAAAATAAATGGTCACGTCTGTGCCCTTGGGTTAAGGGGGCACAAACAAGTGGTTGTCTTGCCTACTGACTTCTATTTTGCAGATATCTGTGCACTGTAGTAGCTGGCACTCAAGGTCTGCCTGGAAATTTTACGGTGCGGGGGGAAAAAAATGGATGTTGCCATTTGAAAATTTTGAAAATTTTTTCACCATCACTGTAACCATGTGAGCTGTATTGTTTTACATTACCGCAATCTTAAGTACATACCTTCAAGTAACAATATCTGAAATTTCATTTCGATGTTTTGAATGGATAGGCTGCTAGGGGTTCATATATTGCATAAGTTTTTTTATGACCATCCTGTATATAATCAAGATTGATGTTTCAGGCTCCATTACTGTGAAAATTTATACTTTCATTCTGTGAGATTCTTTGAGAGTTTTGATTAGAAAAGAAAAACATTTTTGGTAAGTCTAATATAAATAATCAATAAGAAGTTCTTTTTTGGGGGGGAGGGAGGAGCTCTGCAAAATACAATTGAATACAAATTTTCATGATCAAAGTTTATATGATTATGTATAAGCTTTCGTCACAAAATTATTATTATTGTAGAAATAAGTTCTGCTTCATTCCACTTTAATGGTCTGACCCTCAAATCAGTTTATGAAAGAATCTTCTTTTCCTCAATACCCATAGAGATTAGGCATAGTTATTTTGGGGGTAGGGACTGGGGATGTTGTATTTTGAATGCTTATATTCCTTTATTAGGTTAAAAGGTGGATGAAATCTTAGCAATTTTTGCAAAATTTTTTAGATATTTAAATTTGACTTGAGAGCTTAATATTTCAAAGTGTTAAATGTTTGTTTTAGCACTTTAAGCCTTTTTAAAAATGTACTTTTCTTTAAACCTGAAGATATAACTGTTAATCTAGTTATGAATGTTTCAAGTTTATATTTGATCTTTATATGGAGATGACCTGATATTTAAGTATTTTAATTAAATCGCGTTGCCCAGACGGTATAGTGTTTATGGCAGCCTACTACGGTACCGAAGGGCCCAGGTTCGAATCCCGGAGAAGACATGGATGTTTGTAAATGTATAGTGTCGTTGCGGCATGGCCGCACTCTAAATATGCAGTCAGCTTAAAGTCCCCTCATGTGGATTTGGGAGAGCCACCCGGATGCTCTTCCTCAAAATTGGCAGAAAATAGAAGACCAGCCTCTCTTCGGAGTAGGCTTTGGCAACCATTGTTCAATGTAATATGGACACGACAACAACAACAATTAAATTGAGTGAAACAAAAATTTTCATTGACGCAAACACTGAAGTTGTTTTTATATCATCCAAAGTATATATTTTGAAAACTCAAATAATATTTCTGGTGTATTTTATGCTGTAATTTTATTTAAAATTTTCATATGCAACTGCTACTTTATCATGTGGATAATTATTTTTATAAAATTAAAAAATACCAATTTTTTATTAATATTTATACTGAGCATTTCCTGGTGTTTGCTGGTCAATTCATTAAATCTTTGTCTTAGGTTGCAATAAGTGGTGAATGGTCTCCTTGGCAAAGTAAAGTGCCTCAAATTGAAGTTGAAACACACAAAGTTGCTGCTCCAGATATTGTTGTCCCCACACTAGATACTGTTCGCCATGAATCACTTTTGTACACTTGGTTGGCTGAGCACAAACCATTAGTATTATGTGGACCACCTGGATCAGGGAAAACTATGACATTGTTTAGTGCATTAAGATCTTTACCAGATATGGAGGTATGTTAATTTTATGTTATAGAGAAAGCAATCTTCATTACAGTTGTTTCATATTTGTCTTTTTAATTAAATACTGTGCAGTTTTGTATGTAATACTGTTTAATTTGTCAGTTTGTATGTATAAAGGGAAATTCTAATAAGCTGTTAAAATATATGTATTTATTATAAGTACCTTATTAATTAAAAATACATGGAATATTTCAATTTTATGCTAAATAATAGAAAATCTGATGTTCTGTTTTCATTCAGGTTTTGTAATAGATGTAATAAATATGTAAAATCATATAATGGAGTTATTTCATTTATTTAATTATATTTTTATTATTTTATTTTGTTATTTAATTGTATTGTTAACTGTATTTAATTGTATTTTTTTTTAATTTATTTAATTATTTTCTAAATGTCAACAATGTGAAAATGTCTCATAATAATTTGAAATATCTGTTTAGCCAAAATTTCATGATGCATTCTTTGAAACTAAGGTAGTAAAAAGAAGTGAAACATTTCGTGAACTGAAATGACACAGAAGCTTAAGTCATATTTAGTGAGACCCAACACTATTTGACTGCTGAACATCTGAGATTCTTTACTTTTGATGTTTCTGTGACCAACTAGATTGATAAACATTTTTTTCTTGGAACTGTTATATTTAGTGTTTTAAAGTCTACTTTTTTCCCCACCTCTCTCCTTTTTCTGTTTATTATAGATCTTTAAAATATTAACTCTTTATTAGAATAAAGCTCATTAATCTGTTTTTATGGTCTTAGTATTTTTTATAATGTTATTGTCTATCTGCAGGATTCTATTATTTGGCTTTTAAAATATGCCAAAGATTTTTAATTTTTGAATATTTTAATAGAATAATTCAAAACAAAATATGTCTTCTTACAGGTTGTTGGCTTAAATTTTTCTAGTGCTACAACTCCTGAGTTATTATTAAAAACATTTGACCATTATTGTGAATATCGAAGAACTCCAAACGGCATTGTTCTTTCCCCAATTCAACTTGGAAAATGGCTGGTTCTTTTCTGTGATGAAATCAATTTACCGGATATGGACAAATATGGTACATTTGTTATATGAAAAAAGTGAAATATTTTGTGACTTATATGTATAACCTGAGATCTCAGATTTGATTTATCTTTAATGTATAGTGAGAAAAAATAGTATACTAGTTCTGTATCTTTTGTTTCCTGTTTTAGTTGGCCGATCATTGAAGTTCAACTTGCATTTTTCATATCTTATAAGCAATTGAGTATATAGCATTATGTACAGTTTTGTATATAGCATTATGTATTTTGATTTAGAATCATTTTTTTGTATATGTAATTTCATAATTTGATTCTATACCTAAAACTTTGGCAGAGTAGCAAGTTTTCTAAAAATCCTATGGGTAGTTTCTTTAACCCACTGAGGAGTAGCGTGCAGAAAAACTGCAGCCACATGACCGAAGCCCCTGAAATAGAACACCAGCCCATACATTTTCAGCAGTTAAGCCTACTTTTACAAAAAAATTCACACAAAATCAGCATTTTAATATTATGACCTCAATGATTTCATTTGTTTGAAATCAGCTGCCATTGGCAGATTTTATCCTATATCTTTGTCATTAAAAAAAATAGTTGGCTATTCAGAATAACCGTAACCTTGTCGTTATTCCACTTATCCTTCTGTCAGTTGCAAAAGTGCTGAGATTTTCTAGATGTTCAACTTTCAAGTTATTTTTATTATCTATCAGCAAAATTTATTCTACAATTCTTAATTATCCCATCTCTGATTTTAATACTTGGGAAATTTATTGTATATCCTAACAGTATGATTTGATATTCATTGGCCAAACTAAAAGAACTTTAAAATGTTGTGTCAAGGAATATAAATTTTATATTCAAAAATGGGAAATAAACAAATCTTTGATAGCTAATTATTTTTCAGGCACTTAATCTTATTCAGAATTCTAATGTCTTAACTTTTCATATTACATTACTATTTTCCTTGGCACTACTTACACAAGACAATTTTCACTTTGCTTTTATCCTTTGATTTCAGCATGAAATTGCTGTTGCTTCTCTCATTTTTGTAAAACAAAATTTGCTGTTGAAAAAGTGGAACTTGTATCTGATCACCTTCAAAAGCGATAATATTTTATTCAAAATCTATACTAAATTAAGGTATCTTTTTTATCTACTTTTAAATTTTACATTGGCTTGTTTGTCTTTCAGTCTGAAATTTCTCTAATATTTAGCATGGAAATGAAGGTTTCTTCTAGCAGGCTTCTCAAGTATTTCACTTGCTTAATAATAAGTACCTAAACTGGGAACTAAATCATGCAAATTATAAAGATTTGAATATTATGTTTGAATGTCGATGATTGAATTGATAAAGTTAGTTCAAAGTAATGTGTGCTAAAATATCAAAAAATGTAGAAAAATACGAAAATCTTTCAAACAATGTAGAAATATAAGAAATGTTATCCTTGAGATTCTCATTCTGCTTCTTTGGAGATCTGAAGACTAATAAGTAAGTTTGTTGGTAAAACATTTTGTACATTTAAGATGCAATTTTTAATAAAAGCTTCCTGGACATTTTAGCTTATAATTGTACATTTCAGAGAAAGTTTTTATTATGAAATAGAAATGAATGAGTTTGAAGAGTTGCTTTGTAATAATAATTCCTTGAGATTTGTTTCTAGATGAATATCATTAAAACTCATTTAAATGGCGACAAATTTATCACTGTCTAACATCCTTTGGTTAAAAGGTATTTTGTTATTAATATTAATCTTTTATTTTTTTAAAGGAACTCAGAGAGTGATATCATTTTTAAGGCAAATAGTGGAGCATGGTGGTTTTTATCGTACTACTGACCAAGCCTTTGTAAAACTGGAGCGTATCCAGTTTGTTGGAGCCTGTAACCCACCTACTGATCCTGGACGAAAACCTCTCTCTCATAGGTAAAATTGTCTTGAAATTAGTTTTTTAAGGTTGTGCATAAATAAAATATATTATCAGAAGGTCTTTCTGTAATGTAAAATTTCATTAAGAATGTGAATATTTTTTACCTTATCAATTGTTACCTTTTTTTGACTCTTCTCTTCTTCCATTCGCTTTGCTTAAAAAAACAATAAGCTTCTTTAAAAAAAAGCATTGCTTCCATTTCACTATATTATATATGTGAGGGAAAATAAAAAACTAAATGTAATTTTGAAAAAAAAAAATTAATCTTTACAACAGATGGAATGTATGTGATAAGTGCAACAGATAGAAACTTTTGCAGTGCTACACATTCATAATAAGTTATGGGTATTTTCACCATGCATACTTTTTGTTTGTTATTAATCTAACTGAATCTAATGTGAAATAAATATGGGAACTGTATGGAGGGGTAAAACTATTTTTTAAAATGTTCTGAAATGACTTCTTTGGCAGATGAAGCAAAATCTGATAAAATCTATCAAACAGTATTCTCTGGAAATGAAAATCAAATTGCTAAGCAGAAAATTGATAAAATTTAATTTTGAATTTCTCTGTCACTCAACCTTGAAATGTTATTTAATGCAGTATCATCCCTTAACAATAAACTCATAGCCTAGGATTATGCTTCCAATTTTTGTATATTTTTATTATACAAAGTAATGTTAATAGGATAAAAAAGCAATTTTATGGCTGGTTTGAGGTGTTTAAATTGCTGTTGCCAGTGTATTGAAGCTCATTCTAATACACATTGTAATTTTATTGGGAAATATGTATTCTTAATTTCTAAAAAAATATCAAACCTAATTTTATGTTGTAATTTTCTATTTTCAGACTCCCCCCCCCTGTAAGTGTTGTGAATCTGATGAAATGAAAAAAAAAAAAAATTCTAGAAAAATGACTGTGTTGAAACACAATAGAAATGCATTGTTAATGAGTACACATGGTGATTCTAAAAGTGCCAAGAGAGGGATACTTGAAAAAGTACATAAATTAGCTCTATCAATTTGAATAGCTCTTGTGGTAGTGTTGTTTTATGGGAAAAATCATGAATGCTACAGAAATTTCCCTAATGATGGAACAACTGAGTGAGTTCAACCTAATTTGCATTACTGTCTTCAATGAAGCAAGTTCTTCATATTGATAATTGAGGTCTCATGAGTAAGTGGTGTTATCAGTAATTCCAACAGTTGTCATGAGAGTAGCAAAGATTAGGATAACACTGTTTCAGAAGGAGAATTTTATGATACTGAAGGCTGCTGTGAGCATACTGACAACCTAAATATCTGCTATTCAGAATCATTTACCTGTATCTCATGGGTATGCAATCTCAGAAATAAAAAAAATGTATCATAATGTCTATTTTCATATGTATCTCTAATTTCTGGGAATCAACTGCAATGTTCAACCTGGTGTTGCAGCCACAAGACCTTTAGACAGTGTTAAAATATGCTGATAGAGCACAGTGTTTCTCATGCATTGGCTAACCATAGAATATTGCATATAATAAAAAGGAATACTGCTCACTTCATATTACTATGGAGCAGCCACATATGGCATTACTGTTTGAAGAGTAACTATACTATCTTTTAATCTTTATTGATCTTTTGCAGCACTTTAATGACTTGTCTATTCATGAACAACATCCTCCAATCTTTATTGCTAGTGCCGCCATAACTGTTGGAGGCTGTTTTGTTTTTTGCCACATGCTACCCATGTATGCATGTTGAACATCATCAGGGATTTTCTCCATAATGGCTCAGCCTCCCTTGGCTTGCCATGATTTCAGATTTTGAGCACTAATCACACATAAAGCATATTAAGATGCTTTGTAAAGTCTTCTCGCAACATGCATGGATTTATGGAACTGTTACAGGATATGTGGCAGTAAATTCTACAGAAAAGTGTTCAGTGTTTGTGTATGCCAGATCAAATATTGCAAATATGCATTACTACTAGAGGTATTCTTACATCATGCTAAATATGTAGTGATTCTCAACCTGTGTTTGCTAGATAAATTGATTGGTTGCCATCTAAAGTTGATGATTTGTTTTCTCATTGCTGATATCAAGGTTCTTCATGATTAAACAATTTTTTTCAGCATAAATGATTTTTTTTTTTTTTTTTTTTTTTTTTGACATAGAGTGTATTTAACAGTTTTTTTCATTAATTTAATGTGTTTTACTACTGTTTAGATAATGTTAATATAAATTGATTTGTATTTAAAATGTTTAGATTTTTGCGTCATGTTCCAATTGTTTATGTTGATTATCCTGGTGAAACATCTTTGAAGCAGATTTATGGTACTTTCAATCGAGCAATGCTTCGTTTACTTCCTTCTTTAAGAACTTACTCTGAACCACTCACAGCTGCCATGGTTGAATTCTATCTCATGTCACAGGTAAAAAGATAGCTCTATTCTTTGTTATTTTAATATAAAGCTTTGTTCATCGTTTTTATACATATTATCATATGTTTTTACATTATTTATGTTTGAATTACAATATTTTTCGAACTTTTATTATGAATGCATTTATTAATTGTCAGAAGTCATGTTAATATTAATTTAAAACTAAAGAAATTTTGTTTCATTGTAAATTTTATTTTAAATATAAAGAATAATTTAATAGTTGAATGTAGGTTTGCTTGATTAAGTTTTAATTATTCACATATTTACATTAGCATATCTTTCATGAATAATAATGTTTTTTATATATGTTCCATAATATGTGATGTTTCATTGTTTTATTTAAAAAGAATTTTTCTTCATGTATGTTAGGAGCGTTTTACACAAGACATGCAGCCACATTATGTATACAGTCCCCGTGAACTTACAAGATGGGTTCGGGGCATTTGTGAAGCAATCAGACCTCTTGAAACTCTTGCAGTTGAAGGACTTGTTCGACTGTGGGCACACGAAGGGTTGAGACTGTTCCAAGACAGGTAAAATTTTCAGGAAAACAGATTATTGTGCATTAATTTTTATTTTTCTTTATTATAACACTTTGCTCATATTTTCTTCATACAGAATTTAAAATTTATTATATTTTATCTGAAACGTGAAAAGTTGAAAATGAAAGAAAATTCAAAATAAATATGATATCAATTTCATTTATATATGAAAATTAGTAGTTAAAGTAAGCAACTGAAGTACGTAAAGATTCAATATCAAAAGAACCTTAGATGCATTGTATGTATATGTTTCCCATTTTGTATTTGGTAGTTTACAAAATTTTTGTGTGTAACATTAATTTGAATGTTAATTCATTGATTTAGTTTGATTCATTTTTTAGAAATGCTATCGAATTTAATTCACTTCTGTGTATTACATACATTTAACAATTAAAATTTTTTTGCATTTGATAATTAATATCTTCTATGTATCCGATATCGTACATACGCTTTTTTGTTGCATGCAAAATTCATATGTATAGGGTTGCCATGCTACCTGGAAAACCGGAAAAAGTCAGGGAATTTGAAAATTGGCCAAAAATGTCAGATAATTTAAATATTTTAGTCAAAATCAGGAAATGTAGGGAAATTTCATATGGCAATCTCCCCCAAAAAAGTTTTGCTTCAACATTGGAAGCCATCACTTGATGAATTAATTATGTATTGCATGAGGATCATTCAGGCAGCTGACGTAGAGTCAATTTTCACAGCTCCAATCAAATTGTCTTTTAGAAAGGCAAAGCAAGTTATCAGCAACTTTGATTTCCAATAACCTCAAAATTGAGAGACTCGCATGTGCAGTGCATATTGAACAAAGAAAATGCCTTCTCATTCTTATATGAAATGAAATTGGTTTAATCCTAGTATACGGTACACAACGTGATTTGGCAACATTAAGATGAGCTGTAAACTGGACATTCAGAATGAGCAGTAAACGGATCATTCTGGTGTTTGCAACAGTTTTCATAATCATACCAAGGCTGTACTGTATACTAGGATTTACCAGATACCTTATTTGTCATTTTGCATTAAAAGAAAAAAAAAAAAAAAGTGATCAGTCATCTAAGCTGACTATTTAATACAAGTATATCGTTGAAAGCCAAAATATTGTTGATTATTGTAATTAAATTCGTAGTCTTTGAGTAATTCACTTTATTTTAATATTATTCATATCATTTAATGTGGCTTCTTCCTTCTAAATATATTTATTATTTGTTAATAACACTTTTAAATTTCAGGCAATTTTCTCTGGCATACTCCTGAAACTAATTCTAGCAGTACGACCATCAGAGAATTGTATGCACATGTTTTTTTGCTTATGTATGCTGCTAAATAAATATAAAATACCTGAATTTATTTAAAAATATTATTAAATAGATCTCCTTCTTTCGTTAGCTGCATGCAAAACAAGACATTTTTTAGTTTGGATTGGGCAGATTCTAATCTTGATCTTGAGTGAAGAAAACAACTCTTATTATAGCTATAATAGTAATGCTCTGGGGATTATATATATATTATATAAATCATTTGTAATTGGAAAATTTTTCTGTTTAAGTGGTACCATAATGAATTCACCTCTCAGCACAGCCAACATGCACTACAGGGATAGACTGGAATTTTCTTAAAACAGACCTGGAATACCAGGAAAAGTCAGGGAATTTCATTCTTCAGTTTGAGTGCCTGCACTGCATATATATATATATATATATATATTAATATTATTGATTTTTTAATGCTCCTGTAAAATTATTACTGATATTTTTAACCTTTATTATTTTTTTTTAATTTAAAAAAATGTTTTGATTCATTCGACTATCAAGATTACATTTCTGTACTAGGAGAAATTATTTGTTTGTGAAATTTAATGTATTTTAAAGCAATCAGTTTGAAAGAACATTTTTGGGTTCAAAATTGTTGCACAAATTAATATTATTCTGACCACATTTCACAGAATTTCATTCATAAAAACATTCTGCAGATTTAACCAGGTTTTTAAATTGGAAGAAATGTATAGTATTATGAGATTAAATTCTGTAGACTGAAACAGTAAACTGTTAATTTTTTCAGAATATTTTGATTTTTTTTTGGGGGGGGCGCGGGTATGAAATAAACAATTTCTGATGACAAGTAAAATTTGATATGATTTTGCATGTTATTTTTGTTTTTAAACATTTGTTGTAGAATCTTTTTACATATGTATTAAAATTTTGAAAAAAAAAAAAAAAAAACTTTTTTAGATTAGTAGGTGAAGATGAACGTGTCTGGACTGATGAAAATATTAATACAGTTGCTTTGAAACATTTCCCTAACGTAAATCGTGATGCTGCATTGGAAAGACCTATACTTTACAGCAACTGGTTATCTAAAGACTATTTACCAGTTGAGAGAGACTGTTTAAGGGATTATATTAAAGCTAGGTTAAAAGTATGTTCACATTTAAGTGCATTTTCTTTATGTGCTATCTGACTGCATTTATTAAAATTTAGTGGTATTTATATAACATTAATTCTATGCAAACATTTATCTTTTGTAGATATTCTATGAAGAAGAATTAGATGTGCCTCTGGTACTGTTTAATGAAGTTTTAGATCACGTGCTCAGAATTGATCGAATCTTTCGGCAGCCTCAGGTTTCTGATTCTTTTTGTTTGTTTATTTAATTGTTGAAAGGTTCTGCTTATGTGAATAAGAATAGATAAAAGAAGGTTAAATGTAAATTTGCTTAGAGGGAGGAGGGATTGTTAATCATTTTAATACTATTAAATTGTTTTAAACCTTACATAGGAATCTTAGTGGATTATTTATCATTACACTGAATCCTGTAATGTTCAGCTTTTATTTACACATATGTGAGTAGAAATATTCATTAAATGAACAAAAGTAATGCATGCAGTGTAACTACTTCAGTTCTCAGTTGATGTTATTTTACCAGAGTAGAATGAAATGCTTTAAATGAATTTTATTACTTTTTTTTAATTCTGATGTGCATTTAATGTGTCAACTTCAGTTTCTTTTTATTAAATATGCAAGGTTTGTTCCCCTCCTTATTGCATGCCTTCATAGTGGAATTGGAAAGCACGTCCGGCTAGCAGTTGATGGGTCCGGAATTCAAGTCCTGGCTGGGGCATTGCACTTTTTCACTCTCCTGATCAGTGTAACTTAACGACTGTACAAGTGACTCCCGAATTTTAGTTTAATAATATTGGGGTAGATGATAAATTTCTGAGGTGGATGATAATTCGTCACCACTAGGATTTGGCAATTAGTTCCCTCCTCCACAAACCTGCAAACGGCCAAGTAATAAAGTCATCAAGCACTAGTAGTTTAATATGGATTTGAATCCAGACGAATGGTCTGGCTGCATGGATAGTTTTCCCAGTGTTTAATGTGGGTACCCACCAGTTTCCCCTTTGATAAACCTCCCCTTATGCAGATAGCTGTAGTGTGCTTTGCCATAATCAAATAAATGAAACCAAACCCCTCCTTCTTACATGCCCTTTAAGTGAAAAGAAGATAAGGTTTTCCTCTCTCCTTACCATGTGCCTTCCTGGTAGAATTGAAAAGCATGTTCAATTAACAGTTAGAAGGTTCAGAGTTCCAGTCCTCGTGAGTATATTGCACATTTTTCATATATCTTGCTACCTAAGGACTCTACAAATACTATTAAAATTTGTTTGTTGTTTTGGATATTTGTCTTATGACTAATAAAGTAATAAATTGTTATGAATGTTGGATAATAAATAATTATATTCTTTTATATTAAGTGAATGATTAATAATTACACCAGTGGGTAAGGTTGGTACTGATCTGGATACTGAATTAAAGTTCTGCAACCTTGCTAAACAAATTAAAGAGCTATCGCTATATCTGAAATAGTATGACAGAGACTTGTAAAGTTTAAAATAACCTTTTTATTTAGTCTGAGCTTTTAACATAAAAAGCATGACTTTTGTTATAGATAAACCGCTACTTGTGATGTAAATTACGAAATGACAGTCAATTCAATATAAACATTAATTAGTAGTGTAAGACTACACAGGCAGTTAAGTAAGCAATAAGATGACTCAACTAACATCCACCTGGTGCAAAAATTTAAAACAGTTGGCTAGCATAGAATGCCAAAGCCAGAATAATTACTTTAAGATAGAGTTGGCAAAATTCTAATGGTGCAATGTGAGTGCCAGAAGCTCTCTGTGTATTAGATTCAAAGATAATTTGCATATGGAAATAGTCATAGTAAAGATCAAAATCATAATATCTGGTTAATTAACATAACTGTTTATACTGATACCAATTACTTTGAAAACATTCTAGGGTCATCTGTTGCTGATTGGTGTCAGCGGCGCTGGCAAAACTACATTGTCTCGTTTTGTCGCTTGGATGAATGGTCTCAGTGTATTCCAAATAAAGGTAATCTTTAATTTTACGCTCTTTGCAAAGTTCTACATACTTTTATGCAGTAAACTCTCATACCATGCTCCAAAATAAAATTAATTATACTCTTTCTTTATGTTTAGGTTCACAATAAATACAGTGCTTCTGATTTTGATGAAGATTTAAGAGCTGTGCTTAGAAGATCTGGCTGTAAAGTAAGTATCACAAAAGTTGGATATTTGTTATATATTTAGATTTGAATAAGTTATATTACTGATAAATGTATTGTATGTCATTATTCAATGAGAAAACACTAGAAATTTATGTCTTTAAGAATTTTAAGAAACACATATGCAGGGCTAGCATATATGAGTCATTCATTTTGGAAAGGCTTATTTTCAAAATTATTACACATAGACACATGAAAGGTATATGAAAAAGAACCACAAACTCACCAAGTTTATACACTCTCTATAATTGTTTCATGGTGACACGACTAGTCACGAACTGTGATGTACCAGCAAGAGGGTGCCTCATCTTGTTGGAAGACAAAATTCCTGAAGTCACCACTGCGTTGTGGGAACAACTGCAACATATCCAGGTAACATGTGCAACTACAACATATCTAAGTAACATGTGCTCAGCGAAGAAAAAACGGCTCATTCATTTTTGTGACACTGCACAGAAAACATTCACCTTTGATGAATCTCTTCCAATTGTTACAATTACACGTGGATTTTTTGTGCCTTGGAATCGCACATTTTGATGATCAACTTCTGGCAAAATCTTCATCCTCTGGTGCTTCTTGCAGGTTGATGCAAAAATCAAATCAATGGATGTAATCCTCTGGCTTTTATTGTTGCAGGAGTTGTACATAGTACTGTCTGAAGTGGAACCGTAAATGCAAAATCCTCTTGCAGTTTTCTGTGGTTTGCTGCTTTCTTGGAAGATTGATTTTTTTTATTTTTTTTTTAACTATGCGGGAAACTATCCCTCGCTGTTTCTTCTACCTGATGTATATTTAAGGGTAAAAAGTTCATTTGATGAATTTTTTATTATTCAATATATATTATATTACCAGAATATATGAATTATATTCTGGTTTTAGGAACTAAAGAAAGTTTTTCTTACCAGAAAATTATTCAACAGAATTCTTTTATCTGGAAGTTTTGTAATCCAAATTCAGGCTAAACATTTATCTAATATTAAATTTTTTATATAGGATGAAAAAATCTGCTTCATCCTAGATGAATCTAATGTATTAGATTCTGGATTTTTGGAGCGCATGAACACACTCTTGGCCAATGGAGAAGTTCCGGGTCTGTTTGAAGGAGATGAATTCACAACTCTGATGACTCAGTGTAAAGAAGGCTCTCAAAGAGAAGGCTTGATGCTGGACTCTAATGAAGAGCTGTATAAATGGTTTACACAGCAGGTATATTTTGCTATAAATTTTGTATATTTTTGTATGTTACAGAATTTTATAAATTTATACTGCAGTTCTGTTAATATAATTCTTTTGAAATAGTAGTATTATGGTTGTAATAAGGAATTCAATAAAGTTTCACTAGTTGTCATGAACAATAATTATTGGTCAAAAGGAAAAAAAAGTTCCCTTTACTATGGGGGCTGTATATGTCTAAAATTTGACAAAATAATCTTTAAAAATATTAATACTGTATATTTTAGACATTTAAAATCCTATTTAAGTTTAATCTCTCTGTTTTAAAATTATAGTTTCTTTCAAAATTATCACATATTTTGATTCATTTAAACAAATTCATGCATTTAGCATAAATGAGAAGATAAGAGATAAATAGTTAGAAGAAGGTGGAATGTGCAAGAAGTGATAATTATGAAGCAAGATTTTTCCTAATAGGATATATTTCCTGTTTTTAGTGATTATTGATACTTCTGTTTGCTAATTCTTTTAAGCTGAAAAAAAAAAATTTTTTTTGGGGGGGGGGGATTCGATTTTGAATATTTTTGTTTCTGTTCATTTTTTAATTTTTATTTGTGGGATGTTGTTGCACGTCCTTACCTTTGGACTTAAAAATTAACATTTCTTAAACAAACTGGATACTTCTTCTTTGGGTCTGTTGTTACTTTTATTTATTTTTGTTTTTAAAAATTGTTTGAAATTTTTGCTATCTATATTTACAAAACAGAAATCCTCTTAATTAGTACTACTCTTCATTGTCATAATTAGTCAATCAAATCTAATCCATATCAAAGAAATGTTTCACTTTTTTCATCTGAAAGGCAGTTTATGTAGTAAATGTAGAGGTGTTTTGTATGAATTACAGCCAGTTTCAAGCTTTTGTAAGATAACAGCCTAAATAACTGAACTTTAAATTAAATAAGTAAAATGTTTTTATTATAAATACTTAAATGCTATAATTAGCAAACAAATTGTAAAACAATAGCATAGCTTAAGAAAATGTGTTCAATATTACTATTATGCTACTAAATTAGTATATGAAAGCATCTGCAATGAAGATAAAAGTGTGTATGTAAATGCAAAAGAGCCGGGCATCTATCATTTTCAGTGACCAGAATTTCTAATTAAGAAATGAAGCACAGTATCCCTAGTGTGAAACTTCTGATGAAAACGTGAGTCCTAGTTAGAATTTGTTACCGGTTATGAAATAAATGTTATTATGCATTACTTTTTAAAGAATTACTATACAGTCAAAAGTCTTTAATCCGGATGTCCATAATTCGGAATGATCTATAATCCAGACTTCAGAGCTACAAACTTTCTGCGCATGCATGTTTAATGCATAATGGATGGCTAAGCTAAAACTATATAATTATCTATTTCAGTTAATGTTCCTTGCTCTTCTAATTGGATTCGGCTTATTGTTTTTTGCAGACTGTTAGGGCAATTTTATAAAAAGTAAGCTTGAACTTTCGATTATGTCAAAAAGAGTTTCCGATTCTGGAGCTGGCAAAGGATCTACAAAGTGAAAGCATGTTTCGATGTCCATTAAACAAAAAGTGGAATTGCTGCAAAAAATGGATAAAGGCATGAAGAAAGTGACAGAGATGTGATTTGTTTCTCTAACCATTCCAAAATCTGTTTATCAATTTCGATCTGCTTTGCCGGGGGGGGGGACGTCGCGGCGTGCAATGAACTGGAAGTTTATCTGTCAGCACTATCCTCATCATCAGGGCAGATGTTTTTATTTTATTTGGCTTATAATTTCTTACTAAATGTAGTATTTCATCTCAATGTATTCCGATATGATTTAAATCAATTTCCTCGTCATTATAAATATCACGAATACACATCAAATAATTTTCTGGTTGCAATTTTCTAATTTCGACTATGCATAATGTATGCTTTATGCATGCGCACGTTGAAAGAAATATTTAATAAAGTAAACAAATAAATATTAAGCTTTTTTTTTTTTCTTTTTGTAAATTTTGATACCCTTTAGATCATAATTTCTCTTTATTTCATAAATTACGGTTTCATATTTTTAATTTTATAATTTCTGCATGATATCTTAAAGATTTAAACTGATGATCTATAATCCGGAAAAACTGATAAACAGGAATAGCCGAAGTCCCAACGAGCCCGGATTAAAGACTTTTAACTGTATTACAAAAAATAACATCATTAATCAAGAATTAAATTTGAGGCATATTTTGAATACTTATGTTACTGTTGTACAATATGAGGACATTTATAGCTTGTTTCTCTAGTTTATCAATGACATAAAATATTATTAAAATCCGCTTTATTGAAAAAAAAATTGTAAATCCTTTTAAATGATGTATTTAGATTTGTACATATGATGTATTTAAATCTTGTACCACTTCTATGTAGATTATATAATCACATACAATTTAGTTATATTTAGGTTAATAATTTGTTAATCCATACTTTATTTTTATATTTGATCAAATTTAGACATTCTCTTGGTTAAAAGCTGTAAATTTTAATATATTTTCTTTTCAAGAAAATAATATGTCAGATATCAGTTTAAGTGTAAAAAAATATTGCACTTTATAAAGATGAACTGTTAAGAAAAGTATAAGGATGTATTGTATGCTAAGGGTTCATAGAAATTTCTATTTGTTGAACTTTAGTATTATTCAGTTTTGATTATCATTCATTTTAAACCATTTCAGGTAATGAAAAATTTACATGTTGTGTTTACCATGAATCCTTCATCTGAAGGTTTGAAAGACAGAGCTGCTACTTCCCCAGCATTGTTCAACAGGTACATAAAGGAATAATAATTTTACTTTAAAAAATAGAAGGATGATTTATAACTTCTGATCTTTCATTGCAGCTATATATTTTGTGAATAATAATTCAGTTATTTATTATATTATAAAAACAGTTATCTTATTTGTTATCAGTCTGAATATTAAAAGTTTACATTTAGCATTATGAAATAAATGAACCTATAGTATTATGTATTTCAGACTAAAGCCGGCGTAGGTTTGTAAACTTTAAACATATGAAAGTAAAACATATTTATTTATGAAGTTCTGAGTGCTATACGTGATTTACGATGGCTTTACAAATATCTCATTTGCTTAATTTTTTCGGTAAGAGAGGGGTTAAAATTTAAAAATATTTTGGTTTGAATTTTATGGTTAGATCATTCCGGATTAACGACTTTTGACTGTAGTATGTAATCTACAAATGAAAAAATTACGTTATACATGTTTGAAATGAAACATTAACAGTTTTAAATGAAATAAAGTGCACCTTAGGAAATATTAGTGCCTATTATCTTGTAAACTTATGATGACTATTAATAATACCCGCAAATATCTTGATATAGTATGTGTTCCTGGAAAAAGCAGGCATTTTACACAACATGTGGCATATTTAGGGAAGTATAAATTATCTGCTTATTTTAACCACTTGCCTGATTATCCCGAGTTACCTTGGGTTCGTATATATTGTAGTTAATTATTATCCTATGAGAACTCGGGCGAAGCAAAATTTGTTAGTACAATTTGTTTTATCATGGTTTTACTCGGCCTGGAGGAAATGAAAGGAAATATTCAGCTTTGATTTTTTGTTGGTTGCACGGTTCTTTTGGAAGGATTGGTCATGTGTTTTCCTATTGTATAGTATACATCGGCTTGTGGATTAGTAATGCGCAAAGAAGGATACATGCATTGAAAAAAAATATGCAAGATAGCAAAAGCGATGATTTTTTAGTTAGTGATTATGAAGAGGTTGGGAAAAAATAATAAATAAATAAAAATCAAATCCAAAGAGACAGTGTACTCTGTGCTCCCGTGAAAGAGATTCCAGCAGTAAGCCAGTAAGAAAAGAGACCAGAACCAGTGTAGAATGTCAGGTATCAATTTGTGTTGTCTCTTGTTTCAAAAACTATCATACAAAGACTAATTTTTTTTTTTTTTTTTTTTTTTTTTTTTTTTTGTTGTTGTTTTTTGTTTGCTCGAGATAACTTGGGATAGTAAACTAATATTAAAACTAAATGCTTTTACACCTTCAAAAAATTAAAAATTCTACTTAAAACCTACATATTTTGATTTTTTTTCATTTCGTTCTATTTTATAATAAAATAAAATAATGTGATGATTTTTTGAAATTTTTTACAAAAAAAATTTGTAAGGGAAGCGGTTAATATTTTACATACTTCTTTTAGACATTGTTTGGAATATTTAGCCACTATAAAGACTGACAAATATCAAGTAAATTGCTTTATTAAAAAGCTGCATATAAAAATGCACCTTTTAAGATGTGAGATTGATGCTAAATGCTAGAATGTGAGATTCGTGAATTTTTTTTTTTTTTTTTTTTCCCCTTCCCCAATTTAAAGAGAAAAGTATTTTGCTGAACTGCTAATTATTCTTGCAAGTAGACCTTACAAACTCTTGGGCACTGTCTGTGCATTTACAAGAAGTGGATAACTGAAGAACTTTTTTGTGGTCAGTAAACATGTCCAACTATATCCTTGGAGCATTAAGTTTTTAATCTGCATAGATTTAAAATTTCTTTAGCAATTTCAAATCAGTAAAAGTCACTATTTGTCACTTTCATAACAAATAGGCAGATTGAGCAAGTTACTTTGTTGATATCTGGGATAGAAACTTGTACAGGAACCCTAGAATGATACATAAGGTAATTTTTTAACAAAATTTACTTTTCTTTTTCTCCTCTTCTTTATTTTCTTTCACCTCTCTCCCCTGTTCTGTTTCCAAATTTAATTTAGATTAAATTTATTTGTGACTGTATTCTTAATATTGAACAAAGAGTTTACAAAATATTATCATCAAAACCATTTATTTTCTCTCTTTCATCATCTTTACTCTCACATCTGTAGATGGCAAGAATATTTTCGTATCAATTTCTGCAGATAAAGCACTACTGTTTTTTCCTGTCAGACACAAGAGATATCATAACTGGAAGCTTTGTATAAAAAACATATCATTATTATTAAACATATCACTGCTTATTCCATCATGGTCTACAGTGGTATCTGTATTTTGTGCTGTAGATTCTTTCTCTTGGTGAACTTATCCGACAACTTTTAGAAATCCTTTGAAATTTTTGTGAAAATTATTTATGTTTTACTAGCTCTAAATATTTTTTTAATGAATTGTGCAATTTTTGGGAGCTTAAAAATGTGCTCAAAATATTTGTCAAACTTAAAATATGTCATAAAATATATTTTTTAAGTGTAAAATCTTTGCAGATGTTTGTATTGCTATTTGAATTCATCCTTTTCATTGCATCAAAAACAAATTTTACTTTTTACATGTCACTAGATTTGATAAACATTTTATCAAACTTAAAATCAGTTTGGCTGTGAAAATTTTAATTCAGTGATATGCAAATCTCCTGATCAATTTTTAAAGAAACACATTATTATTATTGTGGGGGTGACATCTTATCATTAAACAGAAATCACACCCACTGTTCAAAGTATAAGGTTTTATTCCTGTTCACAGAAGAAAAGGTAAACGGGATTAGTATGTACAGATGGACTAAATATGTTTAGGAGAGGAATCACAACACTGGCTCCAGTATGAAAGGTAAAAGATACAGCTGACCACCTACGTGCGGTCACTTTAGATAAGTCCACATCCAATTACCTACGCACAACCAGTAAGCATCTAGTTGTAGCTCCTTCGCGAGCGTTTCATTAGACCACTTCTGTTGGACTTCCCGAACAAAGTGAAGATAGGTTTACCTGAAAAGTTCCTCCCGTAGATATAGATAACGACATCTGGTGCTTCATTGAGGCACGATTCCCACAACGTTTGGCTATCGACAGGTGAGGACCTCCAAACACTGGAGTACATCTGTAAAAAATAAAATACACCCCCCCCCAAAAAAAGAGCAGTATTTGAGAAATAGTTTGCAAAAGAATGATCTCAGGTTGCAGTTCCATTAGACCAAAGCTTCATGTGATCTGCTGAAGTGAAAGTTGCTTCAGGTCCTTCATGAGATCCTACTTTTGCTACATCATAGCAGTCATGTGGCTTAATCTTGACCACTTTATAAGGTCCTAAGAATTTAGGTCTTAGCTTGAGACCTCCTCCTAACTGGGTTCTTTTAATGGCTACTTGGTCATTGACTGTGTAGAGTGGAGCGGTTCTACGATGTCGATTGTATTGTTGTCAGTTCTTCTCTTGCAGTTTTAAGATATTTGCTTTGTCCTCTTCACGAAGAGATGCTTTCTCCTGGATTGTGGAGTTCAGGAATTCTTCATCGAGGATTTCTTTAATTCTTTGGTCTGCCTTATTTCTCATTTTGATGCCTGTCATCAGCTCGAAAGGAGGGAATTTCCTGGATCTACTGATGCTGTTGATGATTCTTTCGACGTCAGGAACAAATTTGAACCAATTAGCAGGATCATCTACTGACAGTTTTGCAAGCACTGGGATAAGGGTTCCATGAATTCTTTCAATCTAATTTCTTCATCTTTACAGTAATCCTCAAAGTCCTTTGAAGTGGAAGCAGATTCCTTGTCAGAGATAACTCTTGAAGGATTTCTGAAGACAGCTTTTTGGATTTTTAGCTTCTGTATAGCTTCTGCCGTTGATGTTATCTTAACTGGGTAAAACCAGACGAATTTTGTAAAAGCATCTACCACTGTAAAGATATGGTATCTCTTATCTGTAGAAGGCAGGGTCCTATGAAATCAATGTGGTATGTGCTTAAAGGAATATTGTCCTTCGGGATTGGGTTCAATAGACCTTCTGCTTTGCCTTGCTTTTTATTACAGAGGATGCATTCGACACAGTTCATTATAACATGCTCTATTTTCTTTGTTCACGTTCATTTGCATATTTCATGTTAGAGTGACGATGATGATATAAAAGATAATTCAGTGATTTGAAGACAATAACTTCCCCCTTGTTAGAATCAGATTTTTAACAGTTGCAGTGTTATGTTCATTGCAGTCAAGGGAAACCATATAGAAAACTGTAAACATTTTGAACATTAAACTTGTAAAAGTATGATAGGCTTTAAAACTATTGACTTTCCTTCTCCTATATTTTGACTATATAAATGTACTGAGTATATGCCAAGAAGACTCGTTTCAGTTATTTTGAAGAAAGCCTTTTAATTAAAAAAAATCCTAATCTGTGTTTAGTTCCAAAATTTTTTTGAAGAAATTTTGGGCTATTAAATATCAAATTAAAATTTAAAACCTGTATAAAAGTAATTTTTATAGCTCTTTACATATTTTTTTTTATTTGTTAATCTCTAAGTTCTAATTTTTATTTTTATTTTATTCAGATGTGTTCTTAATTGGTTTGGAGATTGGTCTGATGAAGCACTTTTTCATGTTGGTAGAGAGTTTACTAACAAGCTTGATATGGACAAACCACATGTAATATAGTTGTATATGTATTAGCTATTCTTTCTTTTTCCAGTTATGTATATAATTTGATCATACTTTTGCATACATTTTCTCTTCCAGTATAAGGCTCCAGATTACTTTCCTGCAGCTTTTTCGAGTCTGGAAATGCCACCTACACACCGAACTGCTATTGTCAATGCTTTTGTTTATGTTCATCAAACACTGCATAAAGCAAATGCCAGACTTTCTAAAAGAGGAGGTCATGTTGCTACAGTTACACCTAGACATTTTCTTGATTTTATAAATCATTATGTGAGTGTTAATGTGTTTCTTTTTATTGTCAGATAAAATTTGGTAAATGTTTTCCATTTGCTTTTTATTTTACTCTACTTCTGAAACTAAATGGAACTTTTTTGTATAAAATGATTGAGGTAATGTATTGTAATGAACATGAATCAAAACCTAGAAGGAATGAAATCCAGTTATTCAAAAAGCTGAGCAGATTTTAATTGTGTTTTGTTGGATTATATATCTATAAGATTTATTGTCATAATTTTCAAAAAATGTTTTCTAGGTTTATTATTTTATCATTAAAATTCATTTTTTCCAATTGCAGTTTTTCCTAAAGAAGCCTAAAATTAGGCTTGTTCGGTGATTTGTCATCATATGTATTTAAGAGGTGTATGTATCATATGTATTTTACTCGTGGGTTACCATTTGAATTCATTATTTTGCATCAAAAATGAATTGTGGTTTGCTAGATTTAATAAGCACATTGATATGTGCATTATTTGTAAACTGGTGACCAGCTAATCATCAGCTTACAAATAATGGTACTGATTTAGTTGATAGTTTTCTGTTATCGCACTCTTTGTCATTGAAGTTTCAGAGCTAAATTAAAAAAAAAAAAAAAAAATCTTAAGTAAATAACCTTATTAGTTTTCTACATACATTCCTAATGATATGTATCTCTTGGCATTCTAATAGAGCTGGTGGATGCTTTCTTAAGCTCAGTCTCTAAAGTATACTTGAATTTCCTTATTACAGTCAGAAATAAAAATTAAAATAATAATAATAATAATAATAATATAGAGTTTTATTCAGGAAGCTTTCTTATTCACCTGATGTGCCACTGATACCAAGTATGATATAAAAAATTGACTAAGATTTATTTTATTTATTTATTTTTTGGCAATAAATTTCTTGGCAGTACTTGGATTGAGTGATTTTTTTAAATTTATTTAATTATTTTATTCATTTATTTATTACCTCCTTTTGTTCAGTTTTTAATTTTTAATACTAGATATTGGTTATGTAAAATCAGATTAAAATTAATATGGTGAAGAACTCTTAAACAGCTCCATTGATAATGCATGTAATGATTTATTAATTTTTAATTTTTTGCCTTTCATTGTTTGAAACTGTTTTCTGTTTTAGCTGTGTGGAATTCTAAATTATGTGCTATTTGTACTGTGTTATTTTATGTTACTCTGTTAACAGTCATTTGTTATACTATATAAAGTATTAACTTTAGTGTGTATGTGTGTGTGTATATATATATATATATATATATAATGTTGTAATGATCATAAATTCACTTAGTTCGAAAACAACTTATTCTAATACTTGCACAATAGCGCAAAGTTATATAATAATAATTTATTTACTAAAGAAATATTATTATATTATCTCCTAATATTAATTTTAGTAGAATATCTAAAAGAGTGAACCCATAGGTAGAGTTTAATTCCGAAAATAGTTTTAATGTAACTGAAGTAAATTGTTAAAAGTTTACGGGAAACTTGAAGTAAATCATGAATAACAAAATTTCAAACTTTGAAAAAGAAATTAAATTAAGAGAAAGTAATTATTGCTATTGATCAGAAATGAGTTGACTTTTCAAGGGAAACAAACCAACTCCCATTTAATGAACAATAATTAATAAATACTAAGGTGTTTCATCTTTTACTCAAGTAATAATGGTGATGCCAAAATGGCAAATTAAGTTAGGCTAAATAGTTCCGGGAAGGGAAGGAATTTAGAACCAAAGTAGAGTACCAAAGAACTCATTCTGAATTAAGCATTTTTGCTAATACAAATTTTGAGGGAAAAACAATTTATGTAGTAAAATTACTCAAGTATTTAATCAATCTTTGTTTATCCCCATAAAAGGAAATTAAAATATGATAGGTCTGGGGATCGAGCAGGCCAATGCACCAGACTACCAGATCTGATCCACTGTTTGACACATCTGATGTCTAAGTAGATATGAAAGTTCTGACTGAAATGTGTAGGGGCCCCACTGTGTTGGAACCACTTTGTCTGTCGCATCAATGCAGAAATCTGTTCATCATCTAAAAGTTGTAGCATGATTTGTTGCAGAAAGATCATATAGTTACAACCGGTTAGACAAAAAGGTAACAGGTAATGACCAATGAGGTGATCTTCCACAATGTCAGCCCAGTCATTAGCCGAAAACCCACTCTTCATGATGCATGAAAGTTCTCTACTGCCCAGAGATGGATGTTATGTGCACTGAATATTCCTTTCCTTGTGAAAGATGCTTCATTGATGAACAACACATTAGCAGGGAAACAGTGATCTATAGCACACTTTTCAAGATGTCATTGTGCAAAACCAATACAAGCAGTGTTTGTACAGTCCTTAAAAGTCCTTAAGTTTTTTGGAATCAATTTTTGGTCCTTAAAAGTCCTTAATTTTGGCCAAAATAATCTTATGAAGGTTGTCAGTTTTCACGACTGCCATTTGAGGTGATTAGCATTGTGCATATTTTTGGCAGTTCCTGACAAATATGTATTTTTTTAATGGTTCTGGTTTTTTCCTATTCGTAATGTAAATGAAGGGATACTCGATTGTGACAAGAATAAAACATGCATTTCGAAATTTTTCATTTTTTAATGAAGAGCTCTCAAACACTTTCCGCTTTTGGTGATGTGAATTCTTTATTATGGTTAAAAATTTGGCGACTTATCAACATTTTGGTGATTTTAGATCAGTTTCTGTGAAAATTTTTAAATTCCAAAATCTGAGAATTTTTCGACGATTTTTTTTAAAACATCGTAACGTTGATACATTTTATTAAAATAATGGTAATATATTGAAATTATATTTAAAAAGTAGCATTAAAAAAAAACATTTTTATTTTTCACTGTCATGTTATAAAGTTCCATTGTGGCCACTATTATACATGTTTTGAATCTGAAAAATACGCAGGTATAATGCTATAAAGCACAATTTACGACAGTTTTAGCAAAGCAAAATAGCTATGTAATTAATTAGAAACAATTTTTAATTTTTTAGGTAACAGTTTTTCCCGATTTCTCAGAATTTTCAGAATTCTCAAAAAATGACAGTTTTCTCTTTCTCTCTTTTCACTAGACACAAGCATGGAATATCAAAATGCTTCTAATTTTATCATGGACAGGCATTATAGAAAAAATGAAAACTGACAATTTTAAAATTCATCTAATATATTAATGCATCAACCAGAGCTGGCGCGGCATTTTGCCACCTCATGAATCACTGTGGATCCTAAATTCTGCTTCCAATGTCTCCTCTAAATTCTAAAAGTTTTGTCATTCTATATTTTGTTTGCTTGTTCACTGAATTAAAAATTATGCCACACCAACTCTGTGACCAGACCTTACATATGTATTTCATATTTCTTCTGAATGTTCGTATTACTCAAGAATAAATTAGCAGCTTTTGTTGCATTCTAAATGCATTTTGTCTTTTAAATAACAGAAATCTTTAATTAAACCAAAAATTCTAAATGAAAAGGAACTTGCTAAGAATGAACTAAATATGTAAAGAAAAAAAATTATTCTCAAGATATGTAGTTATAATTATGTAAACTAACAGTTGTTAACAATCAGCCTTTACTAATTTCCCATTCTATTTCCTCACCAGATGCAAATCACTGAGACAGTTTTTGAACTGAGGGTTTGGAGTGTAAGACAAGATGTGTTTCTGGCCTCCCTTTGCTCCCTGTTAGTCCTATCAGCCTGATAATTTCCATTACCGCTGCTGACATTTGAGTTTATTATTACGATAGGGTTATTAAACCAGATAAATTGAAATTAAATTGACACTTGTCTACAATAGTCCATATTTTTATTTTGAATTTGACTCTTCTTGTTTAGTTACATCACCACAAGCTGTAATTGATTTTGTTAGCATAAGAACATGCCTTTATGTTTTAAGTTCTTTTTAAATAAGAAGCTTATTTAAACCTCTGATTTATAGTTACTTTCAGACATAGCCATAATTTGGGGGGGGGGCTATTTAACTTTTACCAAATCAAGTAAACCCTCACAGTGTGGAGAGGTTGACAGTTATTAGACAAAACAGGCAGAAACTAATGAGAACATTGTTTTGCGTATTGAGACAAATTTCTAATTGTTAGAAAAGATGCTTAAGGAGAAAGAAATCGATATAAATTAGTCAAAATGTCTGGGCAGGGCTTCAAAGTAGAAAGGTGCATAATTATTTTGTTGAGTTTTGTTGCTACAAAACACAAATGTTTAATGTGTAATTACCCTAACATTGTTTAAAAATCAGTGTCATAAATTGCATGTATTTTAAACTGTGAAATTTTATTAGATTGTGGTATTAATAGGGGCTTTCTAACAAATATTATTCAAAAATAAATTTAAATTGATAGTGTTCATGTAAATCCATATGACTAAGGTTATCTAATACCTATAATTACTTATAACTAAGTGCTTACCCATAAAAGTTATCTTTGCATATTAAAGTGAGTTATTGCCTTTCATTAACCTTTACAGTAGTTACAAGGTAAAATATAAAAATGCATGTAAAACCTATTCATCGCATCTAGTGAAACTTAAAATAATGAAAAACAACTTATCACCTCAAGTGCTTTAGTGGCTTAATAGAACCTTAATGTATATTAACTGAGTTACAACCCCTGGAACTCTACACGAAGCTACGACACTAACTGCATCAGACAGAGCTCAGCTAACTTTCAAAACTTACTAACTGTGCCTACATCAGTTCTTTCAGGTTTGTTCTGATCAGCAGGTCTGTCTTTAGGCAAGCAGGAGTGGTGACAACAGCCAGTCATTTGTTATGAATCATGCTGATTATGATTTTAATGCTCATTTTAACCTATGCTGCTTGATATAAAATCTACTTACAATTTACTAAACTTCTAGACTGAGCAAGTATGTGACAAAATGAGACAATAAAATAAAAAAAAAGCTAACTTTTGTAAAACGTAACTGAAACGTTGTTTATCTTCCTTTCAAATATGCCCAGTTATTATAAGTGTAAAATATTTAATGATACTTGATAAATTTCATAATATTTTTTTATTCTCAAGTGTATTAATAATTATGTTTATTAAGCTAGCTATGTTTAATAATAATGCATGCTATTTACGGATCTCTTTTATTTTTAGGATATATTAAAAAGTGAAGTTCAGGCATAGATATAATATTTTTAATTGTGTTTATTCAGTTCCTATTTGCTCATAGGTCATTAATTTTTTTCATTAATGGTCCTTAAAAGTACTTAATTTCCGTGTGCAGAAACGTGTATGAACCCTGTACAAGGTGTATAATCACCCGTTGAAGTGCCTGAATACACTGCATGCAATTTGAATGAATTTTGTTTTCTCTGAGAATCCTCCAGATGCTGGAATGGGAAAACCTGACTGCACTACTCTTCGTGTATTCAAACTTGGAGTCCCCTGCACTTGATGTAGCACATTCTGTTCAATGTCCAGAGTCTGTGCTGATTGTTCCCGATTCATTAAAACTCTTTGATAGGAACCTGTTTCAACTAACCTCTGGTGCAGACTTGCAAAGGAATTATGCCTGGGTGTTTGCCTCATAGGATATCGTTTCGCTTACAAGCAATGTGCTGCTGGGCAACTACAACTTGCAGCCCCATTTGCCAAATGCATATCGGCTAACTCTACGTTTGTATAATTCCTCATCCAACTAACTCTGCGTTCGTGTGCAAAATGATGATTCCCTACAGGAATTCTTGGAACTTTTGAGCAACACCATCTGTCGCATCAGAAAAGCTTTTCAGACCTTGTGTGCGTATCCAAATGATCATTTGTTGTTACGTGTTCCTTAATCTATTACACCAAGATATTTTACTGTACATTTATTTACAAGCCGTATGTATGTACTAATGTACACTAATCGAATCAAAGAATGGCGCTGCCTACGCATCTAACTCTGAATCTGAATGCCACATCTAAATTTCTATAAGTTGTGGTTCAGTTATGATTCTGTGATCAAAATAATCCATCTAGTTGTAAAAGGATTTATTAAATACTAAACAAATTAATCTAATCTAAAATCTAGAAACATATCTAATGTTACATCTCATGAGCAGCGTTCGAGCTGCGTCATAACAAATCGAAAGTCAAGTTCTCACTGTTGACATTCCAAGGCAGAGAAAAGTTTGTTTCTAATCAAACTGGAACATCGGCAGAGTGAAAGTTTCTAGTCAAACCGGAACTTCCCGGCCCCCATTGGACGATTGTCCAACATACATCATTTGGAAATGGGAGTGGACTGATATTGGAGACGGCTCGGTGAAAGATTCCATCAGAAGTTCTGACGTCTACGACTCGTACTAGTCCATCTGGACCAGGAAAGGTCTCCTCAATGCAAGCTAGTGTCCACTTCATGGGTTGTCTTGTTTTTATCCTTTAACAAGACTAGTTGTCCTGCCTTGAGATTGGATTTCACTCGATTCCATTTTGAACGGTTCTGCAAATGATTAAGATAATCCACGCTCCAGTGGTTCCAGAAATTAGCTCTAAGTTTTTGAATTAAAATCCATCTAGAAGACAAGGTCAAAGAATCTACAGAATCATTCAGTTCTGGTATTGACAAAAGTGGAGCTCCTATCAGGAAATGACCTGGAGTCAAAGGCTGAAGATCTGTTTGATGAGCCGAAATAGGTGACAGAGGTCGAGAGTTCAAGCAAGCTTCTATTTGTGTAATTAATGTATACAGCTCTTCAAAGTTTAAAATTGTCATTTTCTTGACATTTGTCAAACTTCTCGACATTGATTTTATATTAAACTACCATAATCCGCTAAAATGCGAGGAAGAAGGAGGAATAAATCTCCATGTTATACCTCCTTCAGAACTAAAGCGCTGAATAGGATCCGATCTGCAAATTTTAAGGAGTTTATCAAGAACATTCTTCTTTCCTTTAAAGTTTGTAGTGTTATCACGCCAAAGAATGGATGGTTTGGATTGTCTGGCAATAAACCTTCTAAGACATGTTAGAAATTCTTCAGTAGACAAATACGATACTACTACTAAATGAATAGCCTTTCTACTAAAGCAAATAAATATCGAGATGTATGATTTTAAAGTAACTCTAGATCTTTTCAAATTAGGCTTGATGATAACTGGACCTGCAAAGTCCAGTCTTATTTTTGTCAAATGGTCTAGTTATTACAAATCTATCTCTAGGTAAGTCTCCCATCATTTGATTTATGGTGTGGTTCCTTGCCTGAAAGCACGTCATGCATTTATTTATAATGCGTCTAACTCTATCCTGTCCGGAAGGTATCCAATATAATTGTCTAATAAGAGAAAGTGTTTGAACGCCCGAATGAAGAGTTTTTTTTTTTTTTTATAATAATCTATGAGTAATTCAGTGAAATTATGTCTTTTGGGTAAAAGAAGTTGATGTTTCTGGTCTTCTGAAAGATTGGAGAAACGTAATCTCCCACCAACTTGTAAAAATTGATCTTCGTCAAGAAATACATTTAAGATAAAACCTAACTATTTCTTGGAACTAATCATTTCGACTGCAGGCACTTAATTTCAGGTTGAAATTCAGAATGTTGTACACATTTGACTAGCACCTTTGTTGCATTCTGTAATTCAGAAGCACTCTGAAAACTTTCTTTTCTTAATGGTGGATTGGTTCTGCAGTTGTTCACAAACCTTAAACACCACGCAGTAGTTCTAATCAGTTTGCTAAATGATGAATACCCTTTAATGAATTTGTTCTCAATGGAATTTTCACCTGTGACTGTTGAGTTTACTACAGCTCCCCTTCGAAGTTCAAGCTCTTCATTATATTTGAAATCTCTTACTCTCTTTAGGCCACGAATCGATGCTCTGTAATAGCCACTTAGGTCCATGCCACCACATGTCACTATTTCGTAGTTCAGATAACGTTATTCCTTTCGTTGGAATTTGTCTTTCGTTCCTCTGGTCAGCATATATCAGCCGGATTTTCATCATCCCAGGGCAATAATTCCAGGACTCAGGTGATGTTTTCTCCCGTATTTCCATTACTCGATGTTGGATGAATGGCTTCAATTTATTTAAATCGCCCTTTATCCAATGTAACATAACAGAAGAGTCTGATCAAAAATATACATTCATCTGGAGCCTTTTCTGTAACTGTAACACATTTGAGGCTAATCTTGCTCCGATAAGTGCTCCCATCAGCTGTAGTCTTGGGAGGGTACACAGCTTCTTCAGTGGAGCTACTCTGGTTTTGGAAATGACAAAACTACTTCCTATTTCACTGTCTTTCATAATGTATCACAGGTATGTCACAGCTCCATATGCCTTCTGACTTGTGTCGGTAAAGCAATGCATTTGAATATCTCTCAATTCAGACTTGTTAGTCTTTCGGAAGTAATGTTGCGGAATGTTTACATTCTGAATCGCTGACAGTTCATTAGTCCATCAATTCTTTTTTCAATTAAATAGTATGGACTTATAAATCCAGTGGGATCGTAAAGCTTTCCAATGGTTTTAAAAAATTCTCTTTTTGTCATTAGCTTTGTTTTCCCTTGAGCTTGATTAGTTAGATTTTGTGAATCTATCTTCAGAAGATTTTCCTTGTAATTCCTTTTATATCCCCATACCTTCTGTTCCAGAACTTTCTGGATTTCACCATTTTTGTATTCTTCAAAAACATCCTGCAGATTCGCACACTTCACATCGTGCTAATCCATACTTACAAATCCATATTGTCAAATATTAGCCGGCTTCCCTACAAGTCACACTACCAAATGTCACCTGGCATGTTTACAAGCATTACGTCTCCTGGCATGTACATGGTACACATATTCTGCCACCTGGCATGTAAATTGATACATCATACTAGTTTCTACCACCTGGCAGATACAATGCAATTATATCAATTAGCGGTAATACGCCCGACATTTTCGGCACGACTGCTACCTTTACATTCTATAACACAACTAACTCTTTGTGTGGTGCGCCCTCTGGGTACAAATCACCACAATCACCGAGGAGGACAAAACACCTTGCATTCCTATAAGATTCTGAGTTGCCCTACTCCTCCTAGAACTTCTGAAATGTGGTACCAAGACACCTTGTACATATAAAATTACCTGTGCCCAACATTTATTTCAGCAGTAGTGTCTAATTCTGTCAAATTTATGTATAAACTACAAATATGCATCATTTTTAAAAGTATTGGATAGAAAGCATCTCATAATGCTAGGTTCTTTAAATATGCATTTTAAATCTAAATTTTCTTTTCTGCTAGGTGAAGCTTTTTAATGAGAAACAGGCAGAACTAGAAGAACAACAATTGCATCTAAATGTTGGACTGCAGAAAATACATGAAACTGTTGAGCAGGTAGAAGAACTGCAGAAATCACTAGCTCTAAAAAGCCGAGAACTTGAAGCCAAAAATCAAGCTGCAAATGCAAAGTTAAAAGACATGGTATTTTTCCTCCCCCCCTTTTTTTTATCTCCAAAAAGTAAAAGTTTATTTATTTATTACTAGGTTATGTAAGGTTTTTAGAATCATTTCAAGAAATGCATTTGTTATTTATTGTGCTTTCGGAATATATTTTATAAATTTATAACATAGGCATTACTTAACATATTTTATCTTATTGAAAATTACTTTTTCAGTGTAGTCTGTGATGTAGCCATCTTTTCATAACTTTTATCTTTCATTTTTTGTACTGTATCAATTTTTTACGTATTGTGTATACTTTCTATACTTTCTTTGTTCAGAAATATTAAAACATGTTTATAAAATATGTATTATTAATATTCATTTGTTTCAAATTTTATGTTCACTGGTAGTTACACACTTTAGTTTAAGGCTAATGAACTATTTAAAATATGTTCATCTCCTTTTTATTAAAATATGCCCCTTTTTTATAATTGCAGAAACTAAAATTCAGTGTTAATTTTTGAGTAAATGTAAAGTTCTTTTTATTTTATTATTAATGTACTTTTTTTTGCTTTATTGTAGTTAAAAGATCAACAAGAAGCAGAGAAGAAAAAAATGCAGTCTCATGAGATACAAGCTGCTCTTCGGGTATGTTTTCCAATTCTTTTCAAACTTCATTTTTAATAAACATTACAAGAAGATTTAATGTATTAATGTGTATGGAAAGCAAGTATGGTAATAGAATAATTACGGTGTTGTGTAATGTAATTAAACTTTCTTAACTCAAACCTGTATTAATCAAAGTGGTGAAGAAATATAACATACAATGAGTGAATCCAAAATTGTGTCAATTTTTTAAAATTTACTTTCTTCCATCAGCCACCCAGATGATGTAGTAGTTAGGGGAGGATTCGAATCCTGGCATGAACTGGAGAAAGCATGAATGTAAATTTTCTGTTCTCTTGTAGGAGGTAATAATGGCTGTCTTTTAAGTGCCTCCATAATAAAACGACTACCACTTCTGGCCTTAGTAGTGGCAAAAGCCCAAATGTGGCTAGTACGTGCCATTTAAAAAAAGAAAACATTCTTCCAGCATTTTATTCTTTAGAGATAAATTGATCATTATACAATTTAAAGAGTGTGATAAATTATGAGAATTTGTAAGGGAAATGCCTGTTTGCTCCTCAAACAGTGGTATGAAGTAGCTGCTTGTAAATATACTGTAAACTTATTCAGGACATCATTGAATATTTTAAATTATCATTAGTTATCATTGACATTTGATGCAAATATTTAAAACATTCTTAAGTTTTTAAGTAATGTTAGAAAAAATGTTATATTATTAATGTGTAAATATCCAAAATATTTCTATCCTAATTATTTAGGTAAGCAACACATTTTGTACCTTTTAACAGCATAAAGCAGTATTTACGATAGTTTTGTCTTAAATCTTTTCATTATTGTTGATGCAAATAAGTGTTCAGTGGTAATTTAATGTGGTTATTATGAGCAAGTGTTGATATTATTTGCTTGCTGTTTGTCTACTGGCAACTTTATATGGGTTTTTGATAATAATCATTTATTTTCTGTCACATAAGTATCACTTAATATAAAAAAATAGCATATTGGAATGTTCAGTTATTATTATAAGAACTGTTTATCTTACTGGCATACTGATTGTTAACATTTTCTGTTTCATGCATATGATGCAATATTAAACAATTCACAAAATACTTTATTATTATTATTTTTTAATGAATTCTAGGAGCAAGAAGAAGTGATAGCTGTAAAAAGAGCTAGTGTCATGGAAGATTTATCAAAAGTTGAACCTGCTGTTTTAGAAGCTCAACAAGGTAGGCAGTGCTGTGTTTAGTCTTTCTTAACATTAGTAGATATTTGAAATACATTTATTTGTTTATTTATAATTTATTGAATTATTTTTACTCTTGAATAAATCACTTTTGTACCATTTAGTCACATAAAATTTTTTAACATGTTATTAGTATATGTCTAAATTTTGTATTAATTCATCAAATATTGTTTAAAAATTGCAGCAGAGTATTATCTTTAATGGAATTTAGTGATGAATTTGCAGTACTAATTTAGAATCATACTGGTAGTTTACGATGGGGGAATAATTTATTTTGAAAACAAATGATATATTTATCATGTATTTTGTGCAAAACAAGAAATTTGATTTATGGTTTTATGCATGAATTTAAATGCTAATGTATTCAAATCTTATTTCCCATTATTTTTTATTTGCAATTTAGTTGGTTAAAATTGTGCTTTGAGGTTTAAATTATTTTGAAGTGCATTAATTAAAAAAAAAAAAAAAATTAAGTTATCTGGCTGCATAGACAGTTAAAATGATATGCTTTTATTTTGTAAATATAATAAGAAATTTGATCTATTTTAAAATGATTAAATTAAGTGAGCTAGGTAGAAGTTAAGGTTATGATATTTTGTGATTAGAATTTCAAAGTGTAGTTATTAAATCCTTTGCTTCAGTACCTGATTGTTTTTATGTTTTTGCTTTTTATGTTATAGTTATTTCTTTTGAATTCATTTTGCTTGCATTTGAATTCATTTTGTTTGCATGGTTTTTTTTTTTATTTTTTAAATACATTCAGCTGTGAAATCTATAAGAAAACAGCACTTAGTTGAAGTACGATCCATGGCAAACCCACCTGCTCCTGTTAAACTTGCTCTTGAATCTATTTGCTTGCTGCTTGGAGAGCCAACAACTGACTGGAAAGCTATCAGATCTGTCATCATTCGAGAAAATTTTATTAATACAATAGTGAACTTTGCTACTGATGAAATCACGTAAGATTAAATTCCTAAAATAATTGTTTTTCCAGTTTCCATAAGCATAGTAACACTGTGATCTTTTGCATTTCGGAATGATTTTGTTTGCTTATTATAAGAATTTATTTCCATCATTTTTTTTTATAAAATGTGCTCACTCATTCTCTTTTTCTTAATTTTCTTTTAAGTAAAAATTCATAATTCAGGAAAAGTTTTGCATCAACATTAGCTTTCTTGTATATTAATAATAAAGCATTGTTTGTGCCATTTAATTTATGAACTTCATCTTGTACAGATTATGATATATAGCATCAGCCATAATCTTTTATTATAGTTTTTAAACAAATTCTTGAATATCCAGTAAATATTTTTATTATATAGAGAATATATAGGGGTGGCAAAAAAGTCTTTAGATGGAGGTAATGTATTTAAAAGAAATTAGTATTATACTATTTTTTCATGTATTTTCTGATAGCATGATTCATGTATTTTCTGTAGCATGATTTGATAAACTAATTGAAGGAATAAAAACCCTTAAAGAAAACTTTCTATAATTCCTCTAGATTGCATTAATTTGCTAATTATTTTCATTATCACTTCTTAACATGCAGCTGTGAAAAGTATCAAACGGCAGCATTTGGTAGAGGTTCGTTCAATGAGTAATCCTCCTTTGCCTGTCAAGATGGCACTAGAGGCAATTTGCCTCCTACTTGGGGAACCAGCCCCAGATTGGAAGGCAATTCGTTCAGTTATCATTCGGGAGAACTTCATTCCTACTATTGTGAACTTCTCCTCTGAATGCCTGTCGTAAGGTTTATTTTTTCCTTAATAACAGTCTTTGCATGCTATATTCTTTTTATCTCTGACTTTTGTATTAACAGAATATTGCAGAAAATTTTTTCTATACTTTTATGCTATATTTTGTTTTCTTAAGAATTCTTTTACTATTTATTCTTCAAATTTACAAGTATAATGTTTACAAAATTAGTCACATGAGAATTGTCATTAATTTAACTTCCTTCTCAGTAAGACAAGATGAGATTAGAGGTTAATGTGTAATCTTGAGATTTTAATGCCAAAATATTGTTCATACTGAATTAAGATTGAAACTATTATCTCTGTAGTTGTTTCACTTCATCCTTTTTTTAACTATCAACACAGTATTGAAAGAGTGTAGTGTAATAGTGCAAAACCTTTAATTCTTAAATTGATTTAACTCCAATAAAAATACTATATACATTTATGTTGGTTCTAATTACATACAGAGATTAGGAATTAATTAGATATAACAGAGCTTTAAGCAATTAATTGTACAAATTATCAGTAATTAGAGATATGTCATGATAGCTTATCAGCTTTTATTTTAGAAAATAGTAAATACTCAACGATTATAAATAAAATTTGAAAATGTAGGTTAGATTAATAAAAATTACACTGAATGAGAAGGAGAAATAAAAGGATATGCCCCTGGAAAATGTAAAAGCTTTTTCTTACAAATTTAATAAAAATGAGAGTCATTCAGTTTTCTCTAGAAACATTAATTTTATTAGATTTGATTAGGTTCAGACTCATAAATTTGATTTTAAAAATTAATGCAGAGCTAATGGTTGGTAAAAATCTTAAATATCCCAGTTCCAATTGTAGCTCACTGAATTTTTTTCTAACTTCAATTTCTCTGCTATGAAGCCAAACTTGAATAGTAAAGATGTAGTTATTTATGCTACTTTCATCCTCCTCCAAAATAATCTATGCATCAAACTGAATGTGAAAAAAATGGTGTTAGAAATATGAAAAATACTGTAGTATAAAGCACTATTAAAAATTCTCTTAACTGCATAATTGCCTAGAAAATATTTTCTGTAAAGGGCACATTATCTTTTGCACATATGCATGTTTGAATGATTAGTAAATATGAACTTGTGTTTTAGTTTGTTCACTTTAATTGTGTAAGTTAACATTCCTGCCTATGTCTAACTTGGAAGTGCTATTTAATTCCAATACTTATTACCTATAATTAAATTTCTTCTCTTGAAAATGTAATTGCATTTTAGAGAGTGAGCAAAATATTTTGTAATTATATTATTTATATATTTACATAAATACTTACGTAGAAGATGACATAAAAGATTATTATGGTATTTACATAAAAGATTTTTTAAAATGTACAAATGTTAAAAATTGTATAAATATTTCTTTTTGTCATAAATAAAAATAACATCTACTGTTCTTAATATAAAAAACTAAATCTACACTATTCAATAAAGTGGTAAAATAACTTAAAATAATAATAATAATAATAATAAAATCAGTTTTAAATGTCCAGCATTTATATTTTCATTTCTCTTCTGAACCTATATCTCAGAATATTTAAGTTGTGATGGGGTGAAGTGATAAAAATTTGCATGATCGAATCATCGTATGTATATCTCTCTCTGCTTGCTTGGGCAATACACAAACTTTTTTGGGCCAGATGATAACTGAGAATGAAAAGTGGATTACATAGGAAAAGAGCATACTGTTAGCCCAGACAATTTGCCTCCTTCACTTCTAAACCGAGTTTGAGCCTAAATAAGAGAATTTTGTGTATATGGTGGGTCATCCAGGAATCAATATATTATGAGTTTTGGAAACCAGAAGGAAAACTCAATTTAAAGAGACATTGTCAGCAAATGGATGATTTAAACAAATCAATCGAAAAGGAGTGGCTGGTGATGTTCAATAGGAAGCACATCATCCTGCATCATGATAAAGCTTTGGTTACTCATCAGAAAATCACAGAATTAGCCTGGGAAATTCTGCAACATCTACCATACTCTCCAGACCTAGCACCTCTGATGATTATTTGCTTCTCTCTTTGCAAAGTTTTCTGAAGGGGAAAAAATTCAAAACTGAAGCAGATGTCAACCATGAAGAATATATTTTTCTCACTTCCCAGAGAGACATAATTTTCTGGTAGAAATTATATATAATTAGAAATGTAATTTATTTATGACATTTATGTATAAAATTATCTTTGTTACAAATACTGTTAAGAAGACCAGATTGAATAATTATTTTAATGATTAATTTATGCTAAGATATTAAAGGTGAAAGAAGAGAGCTTATCTGTCGTCAATTGATAACAGCTTTTATTTATTATGCATATGATTTATTGGAACTGACAGTGGTTAATCTACTTAGCATATTATAAAGAGACAAGTGTGTGTGGGGGGGGAATAAAATAAAATATTTGGAATTGTGTCTAGCTCTGAGTATATTATTTTCAAAAATGGATAATCATAAATGTTTTATCCTACATAATTTAGTTTCATAATTGTAATCTCCAGTCAGGAATTCTAATACATAAAAATTAAAACACTTTATTTGCATAATAATTTTACAATTTAGTAGAAATGATAGAACATTTTCAAAACTATTAACTTAAAAAGAATTGTGTTAGTTGATATTTCAAAAGTTTAATTCTTCGAAAAAGTCACAAGTCTTCGAAACTAAAGTCTTATTTCATCTACTGTCTAACCAAGAAATTACTAGGCAAACAATTCTGGATAAGAAATGTGGGGAGTACAAAATTTACTTTGAGGCTTTGCTCATGTGTAATATGAATATGAGCCAGTTTCCTTCAAGTTCTCCATAAAGGCATTTGTCCCCATAGGTAGAAGATGGCTCTTACAAGCTCTACCATTGAAGTAACCTAACTTTTAAGTATTAATCAAATTCTATAATTAAACATTTTTTTGCAAGATTGATATAATATATATGTAAGATAAAAAATATGAAAGCAAACTTCTAAATTTGATTGATAATAACCTCTTTGATTTTTCTATTTAATTTGGGGACTTCATCTCTCTGTCTTAAAAATAAGGCTGTAAGTCAAAACTGTATCATTCAAATTAATCGTGTGATCCTACATAACGATTAACGCAGATACCTCTTAACCAATCACCAAATTGTGAACCAAAACTGAAACTTTTGACTCCCCCTTCTTCCTCTGAACTGATGCACCACTTTTGCTTGTGCTGACGCTTTGCTGCAATCATCTGTGTGCTGCTATGATCGCTTCTATTGCTATAGTATCAAAATTGTAAATGTTCTAAAAGTAAGCATGATTGGAGTGCCTAGTGAATTGTGACCACCAATGTGAAAATATGGAATTGAATCCCGCTCGACTGTTTCTTCAAAATGGATGGATGTTCTAAGCATCAAGTATCTATGCCATTAGTATTTCTGCGCATCTATATCTCAGTATTCTGACATTAGTTTTTCCAAAATTGTGTTGTTTATATATATATATATATATATAATAAGTAATAATTAATTAAAGAAAAGAGAACAATGATAATGACCTATGTGGTCAAAAACTTTGCACATAGAGCTGCAAAATTTAGAAAAAAGTTAAAAGAAAACTCCTAGTTCGTACGCTAAAAAGTTGCTTAGATACTGTGGTTCCGTGAAAATGTTAACATAAGTAAAATAAAGTGCAATTAAATGTGTAATAAAGATTAAATAAACAATATTAAAATTAAAAAAAGATTAAATAAACAATAATAACTTGAATATTTACAAATAAAATTCAGTACTAATTTTAAGCAATATGTTGATCAAAGTAAGGCATATTTTAAACATTAGAATTAAAGTGCGACAAACGACTTCAGCAAAAATACAAAAACAAAGAAGCGGCAAATGGTACATTAGCCCAATTCAAATCTCATTAAGGCTCTTCAGGGGAAATTATTTTTAATGATTTTCGAATCCAGCTAACTTCATACTTGTTTCGCTGAAACACACAGTTGAAACTGTACATGAAACACTTTTTATAAATTAATTGAAAAAACTTCGCCATAAACTTTAGTCTCAATTCTCTGTTCCAATTTCCCGATGCGTCTGCTTGAAGAAAAACATTAAGGTGTAATAATAACTATAGATAATGGACTGGTAATACCAGTGTACAAAATAAAATAAATAGCGATTTGCTATTAGTCAAAATATACAAGATTTTATGGGAGGACCTACTAGCTTATAGAGTTTAAACTTTATGAATGTACCAAAAATTAAATTTAAAATTATAATAAAACAAATAAATTTTTAAGGGTCTAAGACCAAAAATCAATACAAGGAAAAGAAATATTTTTTTAAAACCAGACCTGGATCGTCGATGTCTTCATTGCAGTCACGATGCAAACTCAAAAAGGGGCTGAAAGCTTCAAGCAAGTAAGCTGCTAACCAACTAGGCAGTATGATGGGAAAAGGGGGACAAGTGTCATGAGGAAAGAACCAATAAAAAGTGACTGACCGTTGGCATAAACCTGACTCAGTGCAAGGGGGGGGCAATGTGTTGAAGAATGCAAAAACTGTTCAAGATGGCGTCTTACTCTACAAGTTTGGAGAAATTTGGGCGTAGGTGAAAGAAAAAATGGCTAATTCAACAATATGTTAAAATATGGCCACAAAAGTAAGAAGAAATAAGGAAAAATAGTAAATTGTTAATTAAAGTCGAAATTTTTCAAGCTAGAGGGCAATCAAGCTTCCAGAAACGAAATGGCCCATAAGTAAATAACAGGAAAGAAATGCCCAGAAAATGCTTAAAATCTAGTTAAGAATAGAATTAAAAGTACTTGTGCCAAATTTTAAGAGGAAAAAAATGAAGCTAGTGAGAGGAACTTAGAGTTTACATTTATACATTAGATCTTTCTGAATCAGCCATCCATTTTACACCTTCTCATAGGGCTTTAAGCATAAAATTTCATTATCTAACTCAAAAAACATAAAAGATAAAGTTAATTCCAGCTTTTTTTTAACACATTTTTAATCATTTTTGTAGGAATTAGATTGTTATTCAAGATTGTTACAAAGTATAGTACTTCTTCTTGGAGGTGTTTTGTTGTATTGAGATTCTTTTTATTCTAAGCAGTTGTGCGTAAATTGTATTGAGGGTGACTCTTTTAGAAATATTGGAATTCCAGTTGGTTAATTTAAGTGTAGGAAATTTGAAATCTCTTTGTTTATCGTAGATTTTCAAAAAATTGTAATCAGTAACATGCAAATCAAGGTAAACTATATCATGTTGCACTGTATTTGTAGTATTAAGTTGTAGGCAGGAAGGGTATATATTAGCTTTTTCTATTTTGTTGAAGTTGTTGAAGGCTATTACATCATCAATATAAAGAAAGATGTGTTGGTAATATTTATAATCTTCATTATTTAGCAAACGTACAAAAGTAAATTATTGTGCAAAAAGGAATAATTAACAGATTGCAGTTGAAAAATTGCCTCTCCTAGGTATTCCCTGTATTTGTTTACAGATGTTGTTATTAAATTGAATATAATTATTAAAAAGTACGCTTGAAAGAAAAAGTTGCCATTTTTCAGCATTTAAGATTTTAGAAATTTGGGGAAACAATTTTGGAGAAATAAGTAAACTGCTGTAAATTTCTTCAAGTGGTAAAGTAGTATAGAGGTTCTCAAAGTCATAGCATTGAATATGTTCTATTTTAAGTGAATTTAAGGTTTTAAGAATTTGTTTGTTGCTTGATATCATCCAGTTGCAATGCTGATCTTTAAAATCATAATTATTGATGACATCTTGTATGAGATGAAGTTTTTGTGCAAAGAGATAATCTGTCTCCTTTAAATGACTTCTGGTACTATTAGCTATGAATCTAAACTTAACAGGAGTCATATATATATACATCAAGCATATATATATATATATATATATATATATATATTATATATATATATATATATATATATGCTTGAAAATTAGGAACTGCACTCTTTAAAATAATTGTTTTTTTAATTTTAGAATTTTTTTTTTTTTTTTTTTTTTTTTTTTTTTTTTTTTTTTTTTTTTTGATGCCATTGACTATGTAATACTACTTGAAAATTTTTAGCATGCTTATTATTCGCAGACATATGAACATAGAGCATTACTAAATTCTGCTAATTTCATTTAATTTTTCAGTTCAGTAGGAACTGATGTTCATATTTCCTTATTAAGGGTAATAAACATAAGCTAGTCTCCTTGGAAGTCTTTCCTCAGATTGAAGATGAAAGTATTTTTTAATTTCTCAGATCTGTTCTTTCTATTAAATATTTTGGACCAGGAAATAGGAAAAATCAACTTTGCCCTCACCAGACTTTGAACCATTGGTCTTCAGTGCTAGCTGGACTTACACCACGAGAGTATGAATAGGGATACAGCTGGCCCTCAACTTTTTCACATTTTTTAAAATTAAAAAGATTTTTGTTGATAATGAAAAAATTTGCTCATGAGTCAACCATTTTTGGCTCACTCTACTTCTTATAACAGTGAACATATCAGAATCGTAATCAGTGCTGTCTTATTCTGAGCACGAGGTCAAAACAGCTTGTCTTTCATTAGAGTGTGCATCAATATGTTGTGTATTTTCCTGATTTATTCATTTATGTTTAAGTATTTTGCCCTTATAAATTGATAAAAATGTGTGAGAAAGGTAGAAACTTCAGTGTTGAAATAAACAAAAAGAAATTAAGGCCTTATAAACTTCATACAGTTGAGACAAAGATGGAAATCATTAAACATTCTGAAAACGGTAAATCTTTTCATTCAGTCGGCCATTTGTATGATATACAGATCTATGATATGTTTAACTTTGAAAAATAAGTGTAAAATTTGTTGTAAAATATTTTTATAGCCTCGAAATTTCACAACAAATTAATAAAAGTAGAGAGCAAATTGATTCCTCTTGCATTGTATCCAGTGCAGCATCAAGAGAGATAATAGCTAATTAACTTGTAATCCAAAAAGGTTGTAGACGGAAATTGTAAGATCACAAACACATTTTTTTAATACTTAAAAAATAGAATAAGATTTGTTAGTATTTCAAATACATATTGAAAAAAGGGAGTTATAGAATAGAAAGTGTCACATCACTGTCCTTTCCTGAAGGAGTGAGAAACGTAAGTGTAAAGATTAAGCGAGTTACACAGTTAACTCTTTTGCAGGGTTTTCAGTTCATAATGTTTATTGCGCTATTGACGGCAGTCTATCACTATTTGCATACCATCACCTTTACTTGATGGGCAGGATTGCCATTTGCAACGATTCTTGAAGTTTCTCAAACACTCCTTGCTTCTAAATTCTGCCACCCTGTGTGGCCATAGAACTCTGGCGCTGGTTCTGTGTTTATCTGAATAACAAATCATTATTTTTAATTCAAATAGCACTAAATGTAATTGTTTGGCCTATGAGCATCATTAACAAAATCTACTTTTATTAGCATATAAAAAGAAAATTTTGTTAAATTTTTCCTATCAACATTTCTTAGCATATTTAACTTAAATTTGTAATCATCGCCAAGCGTAATGTCAACGTAATATATATATAATCTTCTAATTTTCCATACTTTAGCCAGTATTTAGTAAAGTTTTGATATACCAATAGGAATCAAGTTTATTAAAACTTTCAATATTTTCTTTCTTTAAATTTAGTTTTTAATAAAAATTTTTTTAAGGAATTTTGGGGAAATTTCTGGATATTTTCTTTTTTAACTTACATTTTCTTTCATTAAATTTAATAAATAAAAAAAATTTAAGGAATTTATTTCAAAATTTAAATATTACTTAAAAAATTCTTCAAATTTTTTAAGAAATTTTAAGACTGTTTAAATTTAAATTTTAAATTTTACTTTCAAACTTTTTAAATTTTAAAACATTTCAGTTTTACTTAATTACTTTTTAATTTGCAATTTTCACATAAAAAATAAAAAAATTTTTCACTTAACGTTATTTTTGCATTATTTACACAATTTTGCAACAGAACACACATTTAACATTACAAACAAGTTTGCATTTATTAATTCACAATAACCACTCAACTCTACTTCAATTACAGTACTCTTTTTATGATATTTGCAGAGTAAACTTACATCTCTTGATTGGCTCAGCTACTAAACTCCCTACCATAAATAGTTGGTCAGTTAAAATTAAAACTTGAATTACCTACTTTAAGATTTTTTCTAGATTTATATTTAAATATTTTAAGTTTACAAAATTTTTAATAAAACAAAGATAGCAGCTTGGCACTCAACTTTGCTTACATAAGCGCCATCTATATAATTTGCAGAACACAATTTCTGTGTAAAAGTTTGTCATTATATAATGAATGCTAATTTTGTATTCTTGTATATTAATGTAAATAGTTGTATAATTATGTATTACATAGATATATATATATATATATATATATATAATTATTGATTCTGAATTCACTACATATAATCTTTGTATTTATAGAGATGAAATAAGGACTAAAATGAAAAACAAATACGTAAATAATCCTGAATTCAATTTTGAAAAAGTTAACCGTGCCAGTGTGGCTTGTGGACCTATGGTGAAATGGGCTATTGCTCAGGTGCTATTTCTTTGTTTTCTTTTCTTTTCTTTTTTCCCTAGTAAAATAAGTAATATAAATGTATAGTTTCCCATGATGAGTAAATTGTTTCTTGGTTCATTGTTATTGTTTTTCCTTGTTGTGTCAGAATATATTTATTTAATCTTTTTTTACACATTAGATTAATTATGCTGATATGTTGAAAAGGGTTGAACCTCTAAGAGATGAACTTCAGAGTTTAGAAACTGAAGCAGCTGAAAATAAACGTAGAGCTGAAGAAATGGAGAGTCTTATTAACCACCTAGAAAAAAGCATTGCTGCATATAAGGAAGAATATGCTAACCTAGTAAGCCAGGCTCAAGCCATCAAAGCAGATTTAGCATCTGTGCAAGCTAAGGTAGAGCATGTTATTATAAATTACTTTTTCACTTAAAGGGGGGGGGATTTAATATAAATTTGGAAGCAATGGCTTCATTCGTTTTTCTTCTTTTTTTTCTCTAGTCTTTTTCTTGATCTTTAAAATTTTTATAGGATATAATAAATTTGAAATTTAGGGTAAAGTTTGTAATTATGATAGGTCGAAGATCATTGGCATATCATTAGCAGAATATAAGCAGTCTTCTAGGTTACTGTTTGAAAAATTTATTAATTATTGATTTCCATCTCTAAAATTGTAATAAGGAAAACATTTTCCTTATACTTTGCTAGCTATCATGAATACTGCTATAATGTTCTAAGTTCCATTTAATTTATCATTTTAAAACCATAAACTTGGCTACATCAAAATTACCTTTTTTTTTTTTTTTTTTTTTTTTGTTTTTTTGTTTTGTTTTGTTTGTGTACTTGTTTTTGTAAAGCAATCTTCGAATATTTGACATTTCCAAAAATTAGAGAAGCATGTAACTGAAACAGTTGAATTTATTTCTCTGAAAATTATGTACTGTATTATTGTACCTAAAAGGATAAGTAATAGCAGTTATTTCTGGCAACCAGGAGATTTCTGAAAGAAAACATAGTATGCTACATCCTGCCAAATGCAAATGTTATTCCTTATTTAATAATTTGTATCAGAATTTTATTTGAAATGAATTTTTACTACGTCTGAAAGAATGAAAAAAAATTATGGTTATCTGAGACAAACTGTGTTTATGTACTTGTATAACTAATTATGTAATTGTATTATACAAATGTATATTATGCATTATATGCAGATTGCAAATATTGCATTGTACTGCATTCATTTAAAGTAAATATAATTCTAAAGATGTAAAATCTTTGCCTCAAATAAGAAAAAAGCAGTTAAGAAAAGTTGTGCTTGCTGATACTTGCATTTATATTGTAAGAATAAACTTACTTATTAATAATAATTGCATATACAGTCAAAAGTCATTAATCTAGACTCGTCGGGACTTCGGCGATTCTGGATTATCGATTTTTCCGGGATTTAGATCATTAGTTGAAATCTGGTAAGATGGCATGCAGAAACTGCAAAATTAAAAATATGAAACTGTAATTTATGAAATAAAGAACAATTATGATCTAAAGGGTATCAAAATTTACAAAAAGAAAAAGCTTCATATTTATTTGTTTACTTTATTAAACATTTCTTTCAATGTAAGTTGTTTAAGTTGCTTCGTTTCATGTGATAATACTTCCTCTTTAATTCTATTAAACAGACATAATTTCTTGTTTAGTTACAAAGTTCCGCTGTTTAAGTCCTATAATTGCTGCATCGAGAATACCGACTAATTTGTGAATCGAAATTTTTTCGTTTTCAATAACCTCTGTGTCACTTTCTTCATTATCGGAAGCTAATTATAATGGCGAGGAATTTGATTTAAATCATATCAAAGATGGAGTACATCAAGATGAAATACTACATTTAGTAAGGAATTACAAGCCAAATAAAATAAAAACATCTGCCCTGAAGATAAGGATAGTGCTGACCGATCAACTTCCAATTCATTGCGCGCCGCGGCGTGAAATTGATAAACAGATTTCGGATTTCGAAACATACTTTCGTTTTGTAGATCCTTTACATATTAGTAAATATATATCGGAAATTCTATTTGACATGATCGAAATTTCAAGCTTACTTTTATAAAATTGCTCTAACAGTCTGCAAAAAATAATAAGCCGGATCCAATTCGAAGATTAAGGAACAACGCAATCTGCAACATTAACTGAATTAGATAATTTTAGCTTAGCTTATACCATCCGTTACACATTAAACGCGCCTGCGCACATGCATATTCGCAGCCGTAAAGGCCTTACGTGCACTCGTAAACGCCTGTGCGCATGCGTGAACGCGACACATGCACATATAGCTTTGAGGTCCGGATTATAGATCATTCCGGATTATGGGTGTCCGAATTAACGACTTTTGACTGTATTTCTGATACAAATATATGCATGTTAGAGTCATTAGTGGATTGCTATTATATAGGTATACTGAATTTGTGCCAGCTATAAGTTTGTGTGTATTATTGTGTATGTTTTTTTATTTAAAATTATGCTAGCGGTTACAAATATATTATGCAAAGTTTCCTTTTAATAAATATAATGCATGTGCAAGTGATTAGACCATGTGGGCTTTTCTTTGAATACTGAGAAAATAAGCTTTAGAAGCTATGATTAATTTTTAAACGTCTAAGAAGTGAATTATTTTTAAAAGTCTGAAAAATAATTTAAGTTTAAAAAATGGTTGTCTGTTTGCATCTATGATAGGTATTTAGTTCTGTCAGTATTCATACTTTATTTTCTAAAACGCTATTTAACTTTTTATTAAAAAATGTCACAAGAAGTCATATTCTCTGATATTACAATGATTAATTAATATTCTAATTTAGTAATATATACTTTTTGTAGATATCTCCTATAAAGGTAGAATTATGAAGTTATATATTTTCTCTTATTTCTTGATTACTTACTAAAAAATATTTGAATGTTTATTTTGTTTTGATAGGTTGATCGCAGTATTGCTCTGCTTAAGAGCTTAAGTTCTGAAAGAAAGCGGTGGGAGGCAACAAGTGAAACTTTCAAAAACCAAATGGCTACTATTGCAGGAGATGTGTTGTTGTCATCTGCTTTCTTAGCATATGCAGGTATAATTGTATGCTGTTTTTTTATAATATGCTAAAATTAAATGCTGAAAATTTTGAAATTGGAAAAAATTAATTCTGAGAATTATTAACTTCTAGTGTCTCTTTTCTCTGGAATAAAATAAAATACAATTTGCATACATATATTATTCAGTGTATAATGAAAATAATGAATTACTATATTTTCATAGATTCTCTTCCTTTCCAGAGAAAAAATTTACTTTCATTTATAGAATTTTCGATTGAAATACATCTTAAAATATGTATTTTTAATGCATTCAATTTCTAGATGAAAGGTCTGAAATTGTGTGGCTGTTTTTATGAAATCATCATATGCATTACATTTTGATGTTTATTTCTTACTTAGATTCATTTAACTAGTTGACTGCAAGAACATAACCTGTTACTGATGAAATAGATGACCGAAAGAAGTTTCAGATTGAATTTTATTACACACCTAAAAATATAAGCATTTCTTTGTAAAAAATTATAAAATTTAGAGAAAGAATTTTTCCCTCATTCTCCTATTCCCTTTTGCTACTTTATTTCATCCCACTCTCCAAACAATGACAAAATTGAATCACTTTTCATACATTTATTACAAATTAGCATTAAAATATAATATATGTATTCAAATTACAATCACAAAATTTTTATGTAATAAGAAAATCAGTTTTCTTATGTAAAATTTAAAATCAATGGGTTAAGTTCAGTTTTCTTAATTTATTGGCTTGTGTTGATATTTATGAGAATTGTAGCATAATTTTCATTTGGTATGAAAAAGAGTTCTATTAAAAGAATTTAAAGAATTTTTGTCTTAAACTATTTATTTTCTAATTAACATGTACTATAAAATAATTTTTATTAGAAGATATTGTAAAATCTTTTATTTCATGCATGTTTCTTTAAGTATCAGATATGAATATTTTAGCTAGAAATGCTTTATTATTATTATTTCAATTGCAGTGTGCTATTAGACTTAAATTGTATTCTTTTTCTTTGAATTAATTTACTGTGTGTTTCTCAGTAATTTTCATAAATGTACTTCGAGGAATACTGTATGTCCTTTAATACATGTAATGTACTTTTAGCTATAAATCTTTATAATTAGTATGTGAACAAAATGGTTAATTTACTAAGCAGAAGTTCAAGTGTAATTAAATTCATAGCTATTAGTATTCTATTAATAATATTGTGTACATTTTATTTTTATTAATCAGTTCATAGCTATTTATATTATTTTTGCTGTGTATTTTAATGACTAAGGGTTAATAAATAACTGTATGCTTGTTTTTTTATTTTTATTTTTACTTTATTATTATTATTATTATTATTATTTTTTTTTTTTTTTTTTTACTGTAGTTCTGTAATAGATAATGCTAAATTCATTATGAGGATTAAATAGCTATTCAATTTTCTCTTAAATTTATGAGAATGAGATTTTCATATCATTACCAGTTGTGTTAATTTTATTTATTGCAAATTAGGGTATTATGATCAGCAATACAGAAACAACTTATTCAACTATTGGTGTACACATCTTCAACAAGCTGGTATAATGTTTAGAGGAGATCTTGCAAGAACTGAGGTAATTCAAATTAGATAATGAATAATTGCATTCTGGTAATGTAGATTAACTCTGCTATGGAGGTTCTATGTTTAATGTTTTTGTAAAGTGTGTTATTAAATATTTTGAAAAATTAAATAGTTTTTATATTCCACAAAATCGACAAAATAATGTGCATGTGCTCAAAAAACATATTTATATTAAGGAAGATTTAACCTTTTTATATTTTCAATTGCTAGTAAATTTTTTTAATATTGGCGTGTTTTTTATCCCACATTTTGAAAGCATATGTAGTGAAAAAATAATTGCTTTTTCCATAACTCTTTTCGAAAACATTTGTATTACAGAACCCTGAGTGAACTGCTTTATATGGGGAAGATTTGTTCAGATGGCAAAATTTTAAGGCGGTAAAAAAATTGAAGTGGACACCACGACTTCCCTTTACAGCCTATTAAATTATGCACTTTTTTTGCTGCATTTCATTTAAACTTATTTCCCCAAATTTTATTAAATATATTTCTCATCCAATCAATAGTTCTCACTTTGTGGCAAGGCAAAAATATACAAAAACTCAAAACATCTTCATTAAAAATTGTAAAGTACAGAAAAACCTAAAACATCAAATAGAGTTGAAAACCATTAAAAAATTTTTTGTTACAGTTATTAGAGTTTAAAGTAATTAGAATTAAGCAGAAAGATAGATTTTTCAGTGCACAAAACTTTTGGCTCCCACTTGGCAAAAACACACTGAAGTTGGTGCAGAAACTAACTTAATTCATTAAGCTACTAAGTTTCAAATGTAAACAAATGGTGGGGTCATTATGCTTAGTGGAACTACTACTGCATGTAGATTGACTAAATGCGTAAAAACCTTCACCGAAACATAAGAGCAATATAATTCAATCAATTTTAAAGCAAAAAATGCACAATTTACCAACATATAAGGATAAAAAAAACTTAGCTGAGTCAGGTAACAGAGGGAATATATATCTATATCTCTCTCTGTATATACATGTACAGTACAAAATCCGTAATCTGGACTCGTCGAGACTTCAGCAATTCCGGATTATAGATTATCAATTTAAATCTGGTCAGATGGCATGCAGAAATTATACAATTAAAAATATGAAACCATAATTTATGAAATAAAGAACAATTGTGATCTAAAAGCGATCAAAATTTACAAAAAAAAAAAAAAAAGCTTAATATTTATTTTTTTACTTTATTAATCATTTCTTTCAATGCAAGTTGTTTAAGATGCTTTGTTTTTTGTGCTAATACTTTCTCTTTAATTCCATAAACAGACATAATTTCTGGTTCAGTTACAAAGTTCCACTGTTCAAGTCCTGTAATTGCTGTGTCGAGAATACCAACTCACTTATCAATCGAAATTTTTTCATTTTCAATAACCTCTTTGTCACTTTCTTCGCCATCGGAAGCAGTATTTTCTGGATCTAGAACCATACTATAGGTTTCATCATCCGTTAATTGATTGATGATTGGGGAATTGTCGTCTCAATGAAAAATTTTTGTTATATCATCTTCATTTATTACTGCTTCTCCACATTTCTTTACAAAATCCAATACCTGGAAAATTTTGCCTTTAGTTAGCGATGTCTGAAAACCTTCAAATTCGCGGCTATCATCTTTATCGTCCTCAACATGAAATATGGTAACTGGCCATAAATTATGCCAAGCATTTTTGAACGTATCTGGAGACACATCCTCCCACAATCTTGAAATGCTCCACACAGCAGATTAAATGCTAAAAAATTTTGAAAAGTCTTGAATAGTCTTGCCATTGTTCAAGAAATTTAACAGATTTTAAAAATGCTACTTTATATTTGTATTTCAGCACATGCACTATTCCCATATCCATGGCTGAGTGATAGACGTGCAATTTGGAGGGAAGAATAATACGGATACATTATCTTTCACTAACAACTGTTTGGTACATACTTGTGCCGAACAGTACTTGGCCAACATTTAATTACACTTGTGCCATACATAAAGTATGCGCCGAACAGTTGTCAACAATCAGGACTATTTTTGAGTCATCAGGTAAACCAACTGAATTCAAATGTCACCGAGCCTTGGGTATAAAAGGATTTTCAAACCAATCATTCATCAACACTTGTGTCATCCATGCTCTTTTATTTGCGCAATATATAACGGGGAAAATTGTTTCTCCTTTAAATAATCAAGGTCTTGCATGTTTTCCGATTACGAAAAGCATTTGCGCACACTAAAATTGTTAGTCTCGCTTTGGAATCTTTAACACCAGTTGGAGCCTTTTCTGTGGAGGTTGCCAAGGTATTTTGCAATACATATTGCTAGAAAAGACCAATTTCATCAGCATCGTAAATTTGTTCGTGAAATAATTGTTCACCTGTAATGAAGTCATCTGAAAAATGTTCAGCAGCTTCAGTAACAGCTGAATCTTTTTCACATGAAATTTTTAATTTTCTTATACCATGGCGATTTTTAAATATGGTTAATCAACCTGTCTAATATGTGCACTCAGTGTTTAAGTTCATTCTGCATGAAATATTTTGGCTTGAGCCATTAGCATTGGACCCGTCAAAGACATGCCCTCGCTGCGACGCTGTCTGACACATTCAATCATCACTTTGTCATGATTGTGACTTTTATCATAACAAACCCTTTTTTCTGTTATTCATTGCAAGTAGGGTGACGGAATCCACCAAAAATTCAAAAAGTTCCTTTTTCTTTTTGCTTATGTTATATACAGTTGACTTTCCAATGTCATACTCCTCACATCATTTTGAGACGAATATGCTTTTATCCATTTTTTGCAGCAATTCCACATTTTGTTTAATGGACTTCTAAACATGGTTTCGTTTTGTAGATCCCTTTTGTAACTCCAGAAATTGGAAACTCTTTTCGACATAATCGAAAGTTCAAGCTTAGTTTTTATAAAATTTCTAATAATAACAGTCTGCGAAAAATTAATAAACTGGGTCAAATTAGAAGGTCAGGGAGCAGCGCAGTCTGCTACATTAACTTTAAAATGCCTTAGAATCAGTAATGATAATTTTAGCCTAGCTTATACCAACCATTATACATTAATCGCACATGCATAAAGCATACAAAAAAAAAAAGTTTGCCTTTGAGGTCCGGATTATAGATCATTCTGGATAATGGACGAACAGATTACGGACTTCGTACTGTATTTATATACTTTTGGTGTGGTCGATTGAAACCAAACAGCGAGGTGCATCATAGCAGTCCTATATACAAAATTTAAATGTTCTGAGGCTATTCTGAGCTTTTTTTATGCGAGATATATAAGTACGTACGTACAGACAGATGTCACGAAAAAGACTCTTCTGAATCCATTTTAGAATCTGTTTTAGGGGGAAAGTCCTTTATTTTGTCTGTTCATGTAGATGTAATGAAAAAACATCTTTCAAATGGAATATCAAGAACCCTCAAAATGAATTTTTTGTTGAAATATGATGCCTAAATATTTTGCCATTACAGTACTTTTTTTACGTCATACAAGGAAGTAAAAATAAGCTATTTTTCACTGTTTTTATCTATACAAGTTTAAAGATTAAATTAGTATTATGAATTATTAAACTTTCTATTTAAGATGCTTATTTACCCTTTACTTTGAAAAAATTCATCTGGCTCATTAAGAGAATTATTAATCTAAACAGCATCATCTTTTCATGACTTCAGCTTGCCTTTTACATTTTGTATATTTGCAGTATCTGTCAACTGCTGATGAACGCTTAAGGTGGCAAGCAAATGCTTTGCCTTCAGATGACCTGTGTACTGAAAATGCAATTATGTTAAAGCGATTCAATCGCTATCCTCTTATCATTGATCCTTCTGGCCAAGCTACAGAATTTATATTGAATGAATACAAAGAAAAGAAAATTACTAAGACTAGGTAAAAATACTTTTAAATTTTATAAAATTTACTTTTGCCAATTGTTTTAGGAAAAGTCGGAGAAATAATTTATCTGTTTTTATATCTATATTTTTCATATTACTTTCAGTTTCTTGGATGATTCTTTCCGGAAGAATTTGGAAAGTGCTCTTCGATTCGGCAACCCACTTCTTGTGCAGGTGAGTTTTCGTAAATTTTCTAAGCATTGAAGTAGTAAATTCTGCCACATCCAATATTATCCAATATTTAGGCATATGTAAAAAAGTATTTTCTGTTTGTTACTCATAGGATGTTGAAAGCTATGATCCAATACTTAATCCAGTACTGAACAGGGAAGTGCGTAAGACTGGAGGGCGAGTGTTAATCACACTTGGAGATCAAGACATTGATTTATCACCATCATTTTGCATTTTCCTTTCTACTCGGGATCCAACAGTATGTGTGATTTTAATTGCTACTGTAAAATTTTGATATTTTATTTGTTATTTATTAAATCAATACATTTGTTGATATCATAAATTTTGACATAAATAAAAAGGTATACTTCTTTCTTGCAAATACTTGAAAGATCAGGTGCATGATTTTATTAATTTTAATTAAACCTTATAAAAGATTGCCTATGTGTGTATCTGTATGTTATGTATGTACACAAACAAGGGAGAAAATATACTGTAAAATATCAGTGGTTTGTAGATTTGGAATTTCTAATGTTCTTATAAGGCAAAAGCATTTCAAATAGTCATTATTTAAAAAAAAAATAATGAAATTATTTAGGAACTTTTAGGTTTGGATTTTTAATAGTTTTTTAGAAAATTAAAAATGTTTCTTTATTAATTATCCTTGAACAATTCCATATTCAGATTAATTTTTTTTTTGGTAATAATTCAGTTTTTGTCATTAAGAAACATAATACGATTTTTTTTAATAATTTCCTAATATCTAGCAAAGATTTTCAAATACAAGTAAAATTAGATGAAATATCTACCCATATTTTGATTTTAGAGCAATGTACACTGTGAAAAAAAAAAGAGAGAGGAAGAGGGCAGTTCTATATCTCCCATTCTACTGGGCCGATTTGACAAAATTCAAATTGCGTTTTTCATGTCTCGACAGCGCGAGTTAGGATGTAATATTAGATTCATATATAGCATTGTTCTAACATAGGTATTTTAACACAAAATAGGACTTTTTCTGAAATAACATACCAATTTTTTTCCATATTTCAATTCTACGACTCAAATTATGCCTAGATATTAAATTTCGGAAAATTTGGTGCGAAATTGACGGAGAAATTCAAAAATTTATGTTGGCACAATTTTTCCAAATTGCGGAGAATAATTCACGTGGCGCACTTTTTAACATATGTCAACCAATTTTTCTTCCTCTTCCATTATTGCTCTGTACTCCAATCATTATGCTGGCTGCACCATGTTAATCGGACTCTCCTGTTCATAGACGTGAGCGGGACGCAAACAGCCGGTTTATCTGGCAAACAACCCTATCTTGTGCAGTCTTTTGGAAACAGTCACCCATGTTACACAGGTTCCTATGGCTGCATACAGGTCCCAAGAGAGCTGAGAAGCTGCAGCCGCTCTGATACGCCTCGCTAAAATGGAAGAATAGCAATCTTCTCTGACCGCCGTGGCTCTTGGACGACCTTGCCCAGGCTTTCTCTCGATGGATCCAATATACTGGAACTGTTTCCATAAGTTACACACGACGGTAGGCGTTAAAATTAAACTCTCTGCATATCTGGACTTGAGATTGCCCTGTCTCTATACTCCCCACAATTTGCCACCTCATTCCATCATGTAAACGGTGGTGGTTATTTACTTTTACTATTCCGATGTGAATTTAACCTAATGCTGCAAGATAACACCAAGAAATTTGCTGAGGTGTGCTAGCGAACGCAATTTGTCTTACCCTCCACGTGATTATAAAGCCTGTTTTTCTTTTGGCTCCGCCTAGACACACGTGTATGCTTACATATTTGCCATACAAGATTTGCATCTTTATCTAGAAGCAGTGTGAAGTTTTTCCTTCAGTTCAGTTCTTTTCATGCAATTCAATAAAATATGCAAATTCTCTTAATTTATTTCACCTGTGTACATATCTACGAAATTTGAACAATCTAAGTTAATATTTTTAACAGAAAAATAAGTTTAGTTTACTTTGTTTATAAATTTATGAGTTAAACATGGTAGATTTTACAGAACACTATCATTACTATTTAAGCTATGAAAAGGTTAATCTGTCAGCAGTTGTGAAATTAAGCAATTCTTTCTTCCGAGATATGCACAAGATCTCTCAGGTGTAAATTTGTAATGCAAGCTGTGTTCATTTAGGCCCACTGCGGTGCATAACTGGACTGCGAGTTGAGCTTATTGATGGCCATGAAAAGGTTAAAAATTATTACATATGGCAGAGATTTTAAGTAAATCATATGGAATCTTATTTCTGGTTCAGTAATTGAGAGTCTATTAAACTGCACCGCTGTTAGAGTTATTCTATTCTTTTGCAGGTTGATTTTCCTCCTGATATTTGCTCACGTGTAACATTTGTTAACTTCACTGTTACTCGTAGTAGTCTGCAAAGCCAGTGTCTAAACCAGGTAAATAATATGTGTTTTTAAAACTATTTATGATGCAAAACATCTAGTAAATTCCATTATTATTATGATGGATCTTCTTTTTAGTATTTTATTTAATTTTAACTCTCAGATTTGTTATCAGTTTTGTTTCCCACCTGTTTTGTAACTTCACATCACTAGAATGGTGTGTCTATGCTTATATTGTAGCTATAAATTACATGATAACTTGACAATTACAAATAACTAAATTGACTGAATAATAATAAGAAAGTATTATTATGCTGTCATTATTTTATTTAGTACATAATGGCTGAAAAATAATAATACTTTTTTTATCAGCTGTATCATTTAATTTTTTTCAAGTAAAATTTGCATTGGTATAGTGTAATTTGAAAAATTGCTTCTGATACGTTTTCTTTCAAATTTGATAACAAAAATTAAAATATGAATGATAGTATTTGCTTAGAAGAAAAGAAGATAATTCCATGTAATTTTTTAGTTTAATAAATTGTTATTTCTTAAAAGCATATTTTTGTAAAATTTCATGAAAACAAAAAGAAAGATCTTGTAATTTTTCATGTATTTTATATAAAAGGATCTGAACAAATCTAAAATTATAGCATCTATAGTAGTGTTAAAAATCTAAATTTGTAATGTTTAAATTAATATTAAAAATTTTACATTTTAGAGAATGAATGATATGAAGCATTTTCTTAAGCAAAGTTGCTTAGTAATGTTGTATTGCAATTATATATTCTATTTATGTTCTACATAAACTTTTACTACAGCCAGTATGCCATTTAGTTAGCATTTGTGATAATTTAATTAGTAAATTGAACTGTGTAATAGCATATGATAAAGGGTATTTTACTTTTCAAATAAGAGCAAAAAACATAGTTATATTTTCAAAATAAGGTTTCTTCATAATTAAAGTCCTAAATCTGAACTCATTGAGATTTTGACAGTTTCCAGATTTGGGCAGTTTTCCAGACCATCACACATCATCCGTTTAAATCTATTAAGATGGCATGTGGAAATTATGAAATTAAAAATATGAAATAGTGATTTATGGAATAATGATGGAGTTATGACCTTAAGAGAATCAAAATTTATACGTGTACCCCCTCGCACACAAAAAAATCTCAATATTTATATGTTTGCCTTAAATAAATTTGCTATGAAATATTTCTTTCAATATAAGTTAGTTAACTTGCTTCATTCTTGTGCTAATACTTTCTCTTTAATTCATAGACATAACATATTGTTCAAGGTTCCGTTGTTCATCTTTAACTGCTGCATCAAGAATTCTGACTAAATTGTCATCTGAAATTTTTTTCATCCTCAACAGCCTGTGTGTCACTTTCTTCTCTAGCATTAGCAAGATTTTCTGGATTTTGAACCATATTACAGATTTCACCGTCCATTTGTTAATTGATAATTGAAGCATTGTTATCATAATGAAAAACTATCAACTTCATTTATTATTACATATCCACATTTCTTCAAAAATTCTATTAATTGGAAAATTTTGCATTTTGTTCGCCATATCTGCACACCCTCAGATTCATGGAAATCATCATAAAGTTCAGCTATCATAAGATTGGTGACTAAAGATGTGTTGATTCACTATATGTTCTTGTTTCTATTGCTTGCTGATGAAATTAAGCCTGAATTTTGTGTGTCGTTTGTTGTACTTCTGCCTGTTTCTTAAACATCTAAATCTTGAGGCCTGATGCATTCTCTGTAGGTCTAAGATTCTGCTGCCAAGCACCCCCCTAAATTCTAAAAAATTTGCCTTTCTTAAATTCTCCCACCTGGTGTGGTTGCACCAACTCTGGCACCGGTCATAGGTTTCTCCGAATAACAAATCAGTTATTCTCAATTCATACAGCACCAAATATAACCTTTTGTTCTATGAGTGTCATTTACAAAATATCTTTCCTCCCCCCAATACCTCCTAACTAAACACTTAACAGAGGCTGAAGTCTGTTATCATCAAGTATAATATCAATAGAAAAAGTTACCATGCTATTTCATATTCAGTTACTAATGTTCGAAAAAATTTTATTTAGACATCACTGCATGAGTCTTTATCAGGCTGTAGTGTGTTAATAGTCATGTAGGGCTGAGAACAAAAAATAATAAATAATGATTTGCTAGTGAAATTAAGAGTCAGGACTCTTCTCATGTTTTATCATGAAAAAATATGAGATTTCAAGCATAATGCTTTTTTTTTATTAAAAAAAAAGTTGCTAGTGATCTAGAAGCTTGGATTTTAAATTGTTGTGGATATTGGATGCCCAGATTTCATACTTTTTAACATATAAATTTTAATCAATGCTGTTTTAGAAAGATTGATTAGGTATTATTTGAATTGGAAAACAAAACATATTTATTATGCCTTACATTTAGTAAGTGGCCAAGTTTTCCTTTATGAAATTAGGCATAAAGCATGCATATTCTTGAAATACTTTTGGTTTTTGCATAACTTACTAATAGTAATAAATGTTTTATAGATATTTTTTAATGAAGTAAATAAAGGAAATAATTCTTTGCTTGTATTTTGCAAAAAGTTCCTTTTTTCACAAATTATTTCATCTCTTTAAATTTATTATATAGAAAACAGATTAAATTTTTCAATACTTTTATTAAAAAGAATTCATAATAATGTATATATAATATTAATTTTAAGTTATGATGTAATATTCCCTTCGTATTGCATAAAATAATCAATTCTAGAAGACCATTTATGAAACTTCATAATATCTTTGAAGACTGATTAAAAGGGCTGCTTAATTTAATTTTGGTCAATGCAAGAGGTTTGCATAAATATGAAATGTGAAAATTTGTGAAAATCTGACCTTTGGTGTGACATTAAAGTCATGGGAGGTGAACCTACTGTCAGATTATGATTTACGTTATTCAAGGCATAGAGACTATTAGGGTTTTTTCGAAGCAGGAGATGTGAAAAATGAGCATGCCTTCGCCAGGACTCGAACCACGGACCTCTCGAATATGCGCCGATTGTGCTGACTACTACACCATGAAGGCATGCTGAAATGGCGGGAGAAATACCTTATAAAGGGAATAATTGAAAAGTATCATTAAATCGGGGGTAAAGCATTAAATTGAATAATTATTTTCGCTCAGTTTTAAAAATGATGTATATTATAAGATACTGAACTTATATTTGCAAGTTACCTTGCTCTTTTTTTATTTTTTTAGCATACTCATAGCAAAAATGTTACATTAGAAAAAAATGGTTTGTGGTTATTTTTTCTTTTCTTATTCTTCTTTGTTGGACCAGGGAAGGAGTCTTTAAATCAAAGCTATTATTAAATTAGTGTTGCGATGTATTTGCTTTCTGACCTGCACATTTTGATCTCTCAAGAATACTGTATTATTTTTCTAACATTGTATGGAGACTTTAAATTTATTATTAAAAGTTTAAAACTTAAGAAATGTTAATTTATTCATCTGGGCATTAATGAATTTGCATAAGGATTTTAAGTTTGAATTTTAAAATTTAGAAACCTTATATTAAATTAACAGTCACCTCTTTTGTATTTAAAAATAAAAACTGAAGAGCTTTTTGTGAGTATTTCCTTCATTTTATTTACTGAAAATGCAGTTTACCTGTTAATTTCTTAATTATGTGCTTTTCTACAAGAGAACTGAGACTTAAATTTTCTGACACAACTGTAATGTAAGTAGTGCCTTTAAAAGGCTATTATTTGTAATGCACATGTCATATATTCATGAAACTTTATAATTAGTTTTTTTTTTTTTTTTTTTTTTTTTTTTTTTTTTTTATTGTTAAATAGTTTAAATTAGATTTACTGAATTTAAAAAATTGTTAATAGATTGTTATTTAATTCCTTAACTGTCGCGGAAAACATACAAGATTCATTTCCCAGTGCCATGGTTTTTCACACAGGCGTGCGTATTAAGCTGCGATGTATTAAGCTGCATTCAGATGGTGGCATAAAGAGCATAGAGGCATAGTCATAAGGGCATAAAATACCAGAGTTCTGTTCACACCTCCGAGATGGGGGTTCAAGCTGTGTCCAATGAGAGAAGCTAAATTTGCACATGCATGAATGTGTCTACACCTTTTGAGTGCTGTTTTCCAGCCCAATTGATTTCCTGCGCTCGCTGTGCTTGTTTTCGTTATTTTGTGTCATGGCTTTTTCAGCTCACCACAAAGCTTTACTGGTTCAACAGAATGCTCTTTATTGCCCTCTTATAGCCAAGAGGCAATGGAAGAAGGTAAAAAAAAGAAAAAGAACAAAATGGTCTAGAGATGTTTTTTGGAAAGACCAATATTTGGTTGGCACATATTTCTGTGCAAAGCAGTATGGAATATTTCTGCATTGTACTGTAGTACTCTCTATACTATAAACATGCACATGCATATTTATATATATATTAACTTCTTCAATTTTTATATATAATTTCTCTTAGGAGAAATACGATATTCTTAATATAACTAATGAAAAAAAAAATCTTGAGCATAAGTGACATATAGCCTGTATATAATATTTTTCCATTTTGCGGGTGTGAAAGCAGTTAAGCAGAAAACAGTACTTACCATACATTATTATTATTATTATTATTTAATTTTCAATCAAAAGGAACATGTTTCTCTGCTTAGCACTCATTATCCACTGTCCTGTTGATCACTACAGTAGTTGGCTGCACTACCAGTATCAATTATCACTAGTACTAGTATCCCACAACTGGTCACCATGATCAGCAACCACAACTAATACAGTACTATGAAACGTTCACCCAACAATGTAATTTATGCTCAATCATTAAATACATTTTGCTGTGTTGCAAGCTGTTTGTATACATCTATTTCTAATAATTTGCATGTATAAGCCGCAACCCTGAATTTCATATGCTTTTTCTGGAAAAAAAAAAAAAAAAAAAAAAAAAAAGGTTTACACTTGAGAGACTACAATACATAGTAAACACTAACTTTCAGGAATTTTTGTGGATAATTCTGCAAACTAGTATGTTTACATCATATGAGTAATTCAAATTAAACTCTGCTCTGCTATGAGATGTCATAGATGTAAGTTTCATCCACGTCTGTTGTCAGAAGCAATTACTTTTAATGATTTTTCATTTGCTGGCAGATTATGACAATTCTTCACTCACTGGCAGACATGCATATTAAAGCACCAAAAAGAGTTTAATTTCAACATATGCTGTCATTTCTATTTATGACCAATATCTCAAAAGTAATTTCACATTGACAAATTTTAGGTACCCAAGTCTTCAAATATAACAAAATTATAAACATTCATACCTTATCCAGGAATTTCTACCAGAGAAATAGCATGAATTTAATGATCAAAGTTCCATTCAAATGATATTACTAAAGAGTGGATAATAATAACAAATACTATACGTAATTAAGAAACACAATAGAACATCAACAGGAGACAAAACTGTGTAGACTATTGACTGTTGTTTTAAGGATATTTCACTGAATTTTTTCCTTCTTGGAATTCATAAGAGTATTTTCTCAAAAGATTAATCTTTTATTACTTATACAAAGCTTACACCATTGAATTGACTATTGTGTCTATTCTTAAATAATTGAAAATATTTTTTTATTTTTTTAAAGTAATATTTTTACTGTTAAAAAAAATAGATTCTTGATATGATTTGATGGTTTAGTAAAATTAATTCATGAAGTTTGTTTGGAAAGAAAATCAGCATTTGAAGCAAATATCAATACAATATTTCCAGCTTTTTCAATAAATTTATTCTTAAATACAAAAATAATTAAACAGAAAGAAAGTAATAATAGTAATTTACACAGAAAAAATTAAATTTTTGTAAGAATGCATTTTTTAAAGAATTTTCATAATAAAATGAAAAATAATGGATGGGATCAATCATCTACAGGATGTATGATCAATCATCTACAGTGTGTATGATCCTGAGCTTAATTTTCGCTTCATGAATTTCATCCATATTTTCCAATTTATTGTGCAAACTCATTTAAAAAGTGTATGTTGTTGTCATAGATTTCTTGCGAGATCAACTCATTATTTCGTTCGGATACGATTACAACTCATTCAGATACGATGTGCTCTATATTAAAAAAAATATCGCCTTCGATGTGACAGTGAAATTGTCTAAAGAAAGCCGATTCGTTTTAGCTTCGCTCTGATTGGTCAACGCTTATCCCAGACTCGCCGTAAAGTTGAAAACTTGGAACCTTGTACCACGAGCCTTAAACCAGATTATGGGACGTAGCACAGATTAGTTGCCTTGGCATCACAACTCTGCTTTAACCATGAAGTTTTTATATTAAAAACAATCCCTAAAATATAGTTTTGATCAATTCATTGTTAGACCAATTAAGTGTAATATTAGGTTTCAGTGTTATAACTTGTGAAATCAATATGCCTAAAAAAAACATAATATTTCTTCTGAACTGGTTGCATGCCACGATTTTGTACTTGATTTCTCGTTTGCAAAGATTTGATTGGTTTTTCGTTGGTTCATATATTCGTCTACAAAATGGTTAGTTTCATTAACAATATGAAGCACGAGCAGTTCATCAAAAAACAATTCAAAAAAGATAAATGGATTTGAAACATCCATTATATTTTTCTTTATTCCTGGACCTACTACAAGAAATAAACGAAAACAGAGGACACAGAACAAAAAAAAATATGTTTTACTCAAACAACACCAACCAATACTGCACAGTCATTATTTTCACCGCTTTAGACACACCCCTCTCTCCAATTTCTCCCCACACTTCTCTGAAATAGTATCCTCTTTCTCATACTTTGTCAAGGTCATTGTGGTGTTGCATTCCAAAGCTTTGCAAATAATTTTATAGGTAGCAGCGCAAAGCAAATGATAGTATTTTGGAACAGCACATATATACGCCTGGGGCAGTTAACGCATCTGCTGAGCAAGCCAATATATACACCCGTGGCCGTTAAGGGGTTAATGTTATATACTTTTACAATTATGTTATAAATTGGATAGCTTATATCAGTTGTTTAAACCAAAATTTTATTATGTTATTTTAGGTTCTAAAAGCTGAAAGACCAGACATTGATGAAAAACGATCTGACCTTTTGAAATTGCAAGGTATTTATCAGATGTGTAGACCTTAACAATTTAAATATAACAACAGGATGTATATACTTCCTACCCTTGTTGAACCACATAAAAAGAATTTTGATTTTTTTTGTTTCAGTCTAGTATTGTTCTTAATTTAATTCTTCCATATGATGAAAAGATCAGTATACGTTTAATTTATATATATATATATCTCATTTCTTTTGTACTTTTAAATCTAACTTCAATTAGTATTGCTGATAAACTGCTAGAGTGCACATTCTGAAAAATCATTTCGCCTATGAGACTGTGAAAATTTGTTGCACATTTGACCTTGCTTATATGCCTTATTTTCTAATAATTTTTGTATATTTATAATCAAATAAATCTTTACTAATAAGTACTTATTTTTCCTAGTTTATTTTATATAAAAATAATATAAGCAGCACCTCATTTGCCTTTGCAATGAAAAGTCTCATATATAATTGTCAGTAAAAATAGGAAACAGAATAAATTCCTTCTTTGAGCAAAGACCAGTAATTTAATATATTTGCGAAGAATTTTATTGCCACTAATATAATATTTTATTAATTATTGGAAAGCATAGTTTAATTTGAATAATTATATATGAATTTTGAAAATAATTTCATTGTTGCTGATTTATACTAGATTTGGTACAGTTTCTTTTGTTAATATCTATTATTCTGCCTAGCTTAGAAATTTCACTGTCTGCCTGGTGCAGTTTTATTTATGCATGTAGGTTTTTTACTTTTCGATAATCTTTTTAGAGTTTTTCGAGTATCCTCTCGATATATCGCATCTTGTGTGTGTGGAGGTGCAACATTTAAAATTTGAGTATAGTTCCATAGTAAATATAGCAATTTTTTAAAATTATCTTTCTGTTAGTAATATTTTCAGCTTATCATTTTTTATTCTCTTTTTTTTTTTTTTTTTTTTTTTTTTTTTTTTTTTTTTTTTTTTTTTGTCTGTAAGTGCAATTAAATTTAAACTGTATTAATCACGCTTGCTCTTAATTTTTAAAACTTTCTCACTGTGATTTAGGTTTTCATTTTTTGCTTTAAACATAATATAATAAAAAATTTAAAGTAATAAAAATTTTGTACCATTTTATTTTTCTGGGGTATATTTGATTTTGAAGACTTTTTTTATTTTGAAAAAGGAAATTTCCTGTTTCAGAGCTGTTCATTTTCAAAACTAAAATAAAATATTTTCTCATTTGTATTTGTTTAAATTATCAAATTTTTTCAGGAGAGTTTCATGTTCGTCTCAGACAGCTAGAAAAATCATTGTTACAGGCTCTCAATGATGCTAAAGGTCGAATTTTAGATGATGACAGGTTATTATTTGTTTTTTGTTGTTATATTTTAGACAAAATATCTTTTAATATTAATAGAAGTTCTGCTTACTTTATAATCAGTTGTAACTAGTTTTGCTTTCTCTCTTGTAGTGTCATCAGTACATTAGAGAAACTGAAAAATGAAGCATCTGAAATCATGCATAAAGTAGAAGAAACAGATAAGGTTATGGGTGAAGTAGAAATGGTTTCTCAACAATACATGCCTCTTTCTCAAGCATGCAGCAGTATATACTTTACCCTAGAAGGAATGCATCAAGTAATTTAATATCTTCAATTCATATGACTTTGACTTGCTAAATACACATTCACACACGCACACACACACACACACACATATATATATATATATATATATGCACACAAATACACACAAAAAAATTTTTTAAAGAAGGATTGCATTTCCTTAAATATATCCTATGTGATTACTTCCAGTTACAGAATTTTTCTAAGTAAGCCAAAGAATGTTTTTATTATTTTTATGGCTTGCTCTGTCTCATATATATATATGTATAGAGAGAGAGAGAGATTACTATTATTAAAGCACAAATTTTGCTATTGCAGTTTAGAAGAAATATGTAATAAGTAAAAATAATGTAAATGAAATATGTAAAAAGTTAAATCGAATTCACTACATCATGGAAACTAGGTAAACGGAATTTTTACGTAGCAAAAAAATAAAGCCAAAAGACTAGTTAAAAAGTTAAATAAAGATTGGAGGAGGACTAAGGGAAAAAAAAAAAAAAGGTAGATTCTGATATGCTGGTTGTCATCAGGGAGCCACCACAAATGCTCTGATTTCAGCCCCTTTTCATTATTAATCAAACATTTAAAAAAAATGAGTTAGTAATAACCAAAAAGGATGTAATTAGTATCCAGAGTTTGAACTGATCCATTCTGATGTGCAATAAAAACGGTGTGGCTGGCAAGCTGACAGGAAAACGGCATGCATGCTGACTGTTGAGGAAGCATTCAGAAAATTGTTGTAGTATGAAAATGATTAAAAATATAGTTAATGCAGTTTTGTAAAAATATTTTAGTTATAGTTGCTGATGAAAATTAAAATATGAAACAAAATTGTGAGAAAAACTGCATACACTTTAAACCAGAAAAGCATCAGCAAACTGTGAAAACATGAGAATTTAGTTTTAAATATTCTATAATATATAATTACAGGCTTAACCGCTAGAAAAATACATCATTATTCATAAAATAATAATCAAAATCAACAAAGAACAGGTTTAAAAGTAATATCAAAGAGGAAAACAGTAAAAAAATTTTCTACTCACCAGTTATAAGTTCCCCATTAAATGAATGAACTAATCATTTGGTGATTTAGAGAGTGAAAAAGCCTTTCTTGCTGAGGTAATGAATTTGAACATATATATGCATAATACACATGTACATACACACATATAACATATATGTGTGTATATACATGTAACACACATATATGAATACATATTTACATCTGTATACACATGCATATACAAGTAGAACATATGTGTTGTATGTACATATAACGTGTTTATATACATGTGACATACATTTGTGACTACACATATATGTGTTGTACATGCAAATACAAAACATACACATACAGTCAAAAGTCTTTAATCTGGACTCGTCGAAACTTTGGCGATTCCAGATTATCGGTTTTTCCGGATTATAGATCATCAGTTTAAATCTGGTAAGATGGCATGCAAATATTATAAAATTTAAAAAAATGAATGGGGGGAGGGGGTAAGTTTTTCATAAATTTATTAACAATGAATTTTAGAAATGTTAATGGGAAGAATAAAGTGACAAAAAAGATTGTTAGGATCACCATGGGTGTGAGAAAAAGAGATTGTTGAACAATATGAAGATGGCATGTGTATCCAGGACTTGGCTATTGCATAATTTATGCCAAGTTTAATTATAAAAAACAATGATGCTGTTAAGTCAGATAATGTTGTGAAGGGGGTGAAATTTATTGCCAAGCAAACATCAGAGACGTTAGAGTAGGTTAAAAGGTTGCTTTTGATTTGGATATCAGAAAAGCATTTATGTACAATATCCTGTGTAGTGCTTCATTTACATACAATATGTATTTCACCCACTGTATTTGTATTTTAGTACTGAACAGTGTTTTAAAAATAAGAATAGGATTTTTTCATGAGAATGGATTATTTATTTTCCCTTAATTTTTATTTCAAAAGTTCATTTGGTGTACATCTATAGATCTTGAATGGATTAGAGACACATACCAATGTACCTCTATATTTCTTTAAATATTGGTCTTAAGACAACTTTGATTATAAAGTTTCAAAGTAGAACTTTAACTATAAAGTTTCAAAGTAGAGCATCAGAATTAGTATTACGCAGGCTGCTTATAAACTAAATCAAACTTTTTGAAGGATTTTTCAAGCAAAACATTCAATTAAGAAAACAGGATTTTGTAAGTTAAATGTGAAAAACTCTTTTTACATTCAAAATTTATATTGATGTTCAGAATCAGTATTTTCTTAGTTGTAAATATATTTATTAGTGCTTTTTGCCATATGGAAACTTAACTGCTAAAATGAGCAACTTTTGTTTTCTAGTTGCAGCCTAAATTTAGTTCAAATTTTTTTACATGTATTGCCACAAGTTTTGCAAAGATATAAAACATTTTATATTTAACTTCGTAAAAGCCTATTGAATATTTTAATGATTGGAATTTTTTGCTTATGTTAATTAAACGATATTTGAGTCCAATATCAACAAATATTGCCTCAACTCCTCTTTTTTTTTTTTTTTTTTTTTAAATCAAATGTTGCATTCTAAAATACATAAAATGGAAGAGTGAAAATATTTTTTTAATACATAAAGGTAGATATAAGTTTAAATCTTATATTATATATATTAAATACATGTTACTCATATGTTTATTAATAAATGCTTTATTAATATGCAAATATCTTAAAGCATAAATTGTTACATTTAATAGATGTAAGGGAAGTTATTTTACTGACTTTGCTGCACATTATAAGGTGCATTTAAAGTCTTAGAATAAGTTAAGTATATTTTTATTTTTTTTAATTCATTAACATTTATTCAAATTTAATTTTAAAATAAAATTTCATTTATATATTCTGTGGCATAATGCACAGAAATTCTTGGAATAATTACATTTTTTTATTTATAAAAAAGTTTTTTTCTATTTATTCTATTTATGTGTATATATATATATATATATCTATATATGTATATTAATGTACTTTTAGGTTCATTTCCTCTATCAGTATGCTCTACAATTCTTCCTGGATATGTACAATGATGTGCTTACTAATAACCCCCATTTAACTGGTTTATTAGACAATAATGCTCGATTATCTGTTATTACATCAGATCTATTCCAGGTATAACTTTTTTTTAAAAAAAGTTTTTTATTTTAACTGTGTTCATTTTGTTAGAAGCTTATTTATTACCTTCAAATTTAATTTAACAGAATTATACTACAATAACAAAAATATTCTAAATATGACAGTGATTATCTAATTGCATAATGTTAATTTTTTAATAAATATATTTTAAACATATTCCTTATACTCTGGATGATTTTTCCATGTTAATTATACTCGCTGTCATTTTATAATAATATCTCTTAAGGCTGTTATGTACTTGGTATTCTTAAATGAAGTGAATCACTTTATGTTAGTGTTATAAAGTATATATTACTTATTCTGTGTTCCACAAATGTTTTCAAAGCTGTCTGGGTGAATTTTAACTTAACATTTGGTAAATTATTTGCAGGAGTGTTTTTAATTTTAATCCTTACCTAGAATATGTTTATTGAAATAGCTTGGTATTTTAAAATGACTTGACATAAGAGAAAATGTTATAACTTTTAAACTGATTGTATGATAAGTGAATGCAGTATATAAACACTCATATAGTAGGTAAGTTAGAATTAAAACTACTATTTACTTGCTTTAGTTTTTTTTTTTTTTTTTATTTTTATTTATTAATCTAAGTATTTTCTAATATGAAATTATATTTTAATATATATTTATTTTAAAAATTGTGAATTAGTTTCTTTTTGTTTCTTATTTTATTGGTTTATATGGATTATGTTATAGTTCTTTTATATTTCTTTTTTGATATGCATATTCGTGTAGGGAAGTTTTCTGTAGACAAGGATTTCTAAAATACATTGGTTTTCTAGATTTTTATTATTTTAAAAAATTAATATTTAAAAAATTTAATTTTTTAAAAGAAAAAGTTTTAATTCTTGACTTACTTGCTTGTTTCTCAAAAGACTTAATTATATTTCCTTTTTGAACTTTAATACTAAATGTAAATTTCTAAGGATACCACTTTATTGGAATTACTTTTGGTTTTGACTTTTACCCTTGCCTGCATGAATGACGAACATGAATTGAATGATTGGAGAGTTAGGTTTGGAGGCAACTTCCCCTTGATAAGTCTGTCTCCTGCCTACTCTACGATCATTCACATATGCATTTTTTTAAAAAAATGTTAATTTAATTTTAATTTATTCATAGTAGATTTATTTTTCATGGATAGATTTTGCACTTGATTTGCTTATGCTTCTGAATTTAAATGATATTGTAGATTAGTTCGGGAATTAAATCTTTTACATGTTTGCATATTTTTTAATTATTTTAAATTATTTGTTTTTTTTTCCTTTTTCTAGAATTTAAATTTGCTTTTTTACTTTTTTACTTTTATACGTATTTGTTAAGAATTTAAATTTGTTTAAATTTAGAAGATAACTTTAGAGTTAGATGTGTGTATTGTTGTAAATATAGAAAATCTGTATTTCAAATACAGAAAATTTTTTATGAACATTTTAAACATTGGCTTAGAGCTTTTGAGATGTTCTTTCAATATAAAGTTTCCTTATTCAACAGTTCTGAATATATAGTTATTAATGTATTGTAATTTAGTGCCTGTTTTTTAGAAATTATGTTAATGAATAGTAAATGTGTTCATTTCATTTCAGAAGTACAAAAATATGTTGATAAAATAATTTCCAATTTAATTAAAAATTTTTCTCCATTCTGATTTTAAGGATATTTATTTGCATATACATAATTTAGCTACATAGCAAAAGAAGTGTGACTAAATATTTATTCAGATTTCGAGTAATACTTGAAAAATATGAGTAATAATTTGTTTTAAAAATCATTGTATTTGTGTAAAAAATGATGATCTTAATTTATTAACCTGAGAAATTTCAATTTCCTTTCAGACTGTGTATAATCGTGTCACAAGAGGGGTACTTCATGAAGACCGTCTGATATTTGCTTTGCTTTTATGCAAGATTTACTTAAAAGGTTTATCCAGGTAAAACATGTTTTGGGGTGTTTCGTTTTGTTCAGTTATAAAATTTAATTAGATATTGTTTATGATAAACTGAACTTTGGAAAAACTTTAAAAATACATTTTTTCTATAGCAATATTTTTAGATAAATTCACAAATTTTTAAGATACCTTTTCTCTTTTTCTAATATTTCTTAATCAATTTTTTTATGTATATTATATATGAAGTATTAGATGTGTTCCTATTATTTCTCTACAATATCAAGTCAATATCTTTTTGTAATAAAGTATGAACTGTACATAATTAGAATTTAGGGAGAGGAAGAGGGAAAAGAATACTAATAATTTTAAGATTTTAAATTCTTGAAGGTTTAATTTTTTTTACTGCAATATTTGCATATGTATTATACAGTTTTATCCACATACATACATTATATATGATCAAAATCAGTGTTCAATATAATTTTTGTTTCTTATTTATTTTGTATTATTCAATTTTATATTCCAATTAAATAAATGAAAAATTCTTGAACGAAAACTTCAGCTTGCATATTGATATCTCAAAGAATATACCATCAAAGTTCAATAAAGTAAATAAATAAAAATAACAATTATAAGCTTAAGAAGAAACTGCAATTTAATTATGGAACAGAGATTTCAGTTTAATACTCAAAACCAATTTTAAATGAAGCAGTTTTGATAAGCCTGTTGATATAAAAATATATTCCCCAAGAATTACAGGGTACCTTACAGTCCTTAAGTGTCCTTGGGTTCTTTGGAATCAGTTTTTGTTCCTTAAAATTTCGACCAACTTTGGCAGGAAGTCCTTAATTTTAATCACCTGGAATTTCTGTCTGTTTTTACAACTGCCATTTTGAATGCGAATTAGCATTTTGGACAAATGTTTTTGGGGATTCATTGATAAATATAATAATTTTTTGAATGGGTAAATAGGCTCATGGATTATAATTTGGTCCTATTTCTAATATAAATGGTGGAATTCTGAAGTTTCTTAACAAAAAGTGAAACATTAGCATTTCGAAATTGTTTCATTTTTTCTAATGAAAGCTTTAAAAAAAATTGTTCGCTTTGGGGGATGTAAGTTCTATTATTAAACGGTTCTAAATTTGGTGACTTAACAACATTTTGGCGATTTTAAGATCAGTTTCTATAGAAAATTTTTATTCCAAAAATCTGTGAATTTTTCAAAATTTTTGTTAAACATTATAACATTGATAAATTTCATTAAAATAATACTGGTATATTGAAATTGCATTCAAGAAATAACATTAAAATTAAACATTTTTATTTTTTGCTATCATATTATAAAGTGACATTACTTTCCAGCGACTTATGCAATATTTTGAATCTGAAAACAAACAAGGTAATAAATTCCTAAATTGTGCTTTAGCACAATTTACGAAATAATTCTTAGCAAAAGCAAAATAGCTATGTAATTAATTAAAAATGCCTAAGTTTTAATTTTTCCATGGTAATATTTTTTTTTCCTGAGGTCCATTGGCACAGTGGCTAGTGCATTGTGCAGCAACACCACAGGTTTGGGGTTCGATCCTTCGGGTGGGCAAGGCTACAGGGTACCTTACAGTCTTAGCCTTTCATCCTTAGAGATGGTTAATAAAATGAGTACCAAGTTCGCTTGGGGACTAAACACTCGGGGTCCTGCAACAAGCTGACCATTTGTCCAGGCAATATGCACAAGCACCACAAGGCCCACAGTCTAGAAAGCAGATATCGGGGCACTGCCGACCATGGTTCGCTAAGGGCTGTGAATTTAGTTTTAGAGTTTTACCCATGTCATTGTCTCAATATGCATCAGTTTTCTCTGTGAAATTAATTTTACGCTTTTATCCTCTGATTTTTTTTTCCAACTGATTTCTGGCTTTTTGCTGTTACAGAATTGGTAGGGGTAATTTGTCTTTAGGATTTTAGGCATTGTAATTTGGAAAGTTTTGAAGAATTTGAAGGCATGATTTATAAACCTAGACGATTTCAGAAAAATGTCCTCATGGTTTAAACATGTAATGGGTGTATTTTATAGGAAGTTTGTGAACTTTTACTTTTTGGAGAGTTTTCGATAATGAAAACATAATCGTTGAAAGTTTTACTTCTGGTACTAGAAACCTTTTCTTAGCATGTTTATCTTCCCTTTGTTTTCTCTACTTTTCACCAGACACAAGCATGGAAAAATACCAAAAATGTTTCTAATCTTATTACATGGACAGGCATTTATAGGAAGGGAATTTTCTATTAATAAAGAAATTGAAAACTGATAATTTAAAAGATTCATCTTGTATGTCTCAATGAATCATTAGTGGCATAGCTAGGGTGGGACAAGGGGGATACTTGTCCCCGGGCACAGCATCCATTGGTTTCCAAACTGATGTTACAAAATTTTAGAATGAAATGTTTTTCATTCTTGGCATACAGAAAGGGGCACAAAATCTACAGTTGTCCCCGCACACTTGAAACCCTAGCTCTGCACATCATACACAGAGCTGGCACTATGCATTTTCCCACCTGATGCAATCTCTGTGGATTCTAAATTTTGCTGCCTAGTGCCTTCTTAAATTCTAAAATTTTGCCATTTGTAGATTTTGTTGCTAGGTGTGTCACTAAATTCTAAAAATTCTCCCATACCAGCTCTGTAACCGGCCCTTACCACATATCATTTATTAGTTATTCTGAATGTTCATATTACTAAAGAAATAGAATCAGCACCTTTTCCTATACATCTTAAATGCATTTAGTCTTCTAGAATAATAGAAATCTTTAATTAAATCCAAAAATTCTAAAATGAAGAGGAAACATATTGAAGAAAGAAGCCGAATATGTAAAGAGAAAGAAAATTATTTTTCAAAGATATGTGCAGTTATTATTATATAAATTAAGCAGTTGTTTGTAATATCAGCTTTTGCTATAATTTCCCCACCAGAATGAAAATTACCTATATAGTTTTTAAACTAAGGTTTTGGGGTTTTGTAGCTAGCTTGTAAGACAGAATTTGTTTCTGGCCTCCACTTGTACGCTGCATTTAGTTCCTATTAGCTCTGGTAAATTTTAATTATTCATCTTTGCGTTATCACTGCCAATATTTGATTTTTCTTATGTGATAACTACGTTACGACAAGTTGCGTGTCAGTTACTGAGCCACTTAGATTTAAATTAAATTTTGTAATCTTTGACTACTGGTCCACATTTTTAGTTTCATTGTTCCTGTTTAATTGGATCACCATAAGCTGTAGTTGATTTTACTAGCATAAAAATATGCCTTTATTTCCAAGGTCCTTTTTAATAAGAGGTTTGTGTAAACATGTACAGTCAAAAGTCGTTAATCCGGACTCGTCGGGACTTCGGCGATTCCGGATTATAGATTTTTCCAGATTATAGATCATCAGTTTAAATCTGGTAAGATGGCATGCAGAAATTATAAAATTAAAATTATGAAACCGTAATTTATGAAATAAAGAACAATTATGATCTAAAGGGTATCAAAATATACAAAAAAAAAAAAAAAAAAGCTTAATATTTATTTGTTTACTTTATTAAACATTTCTTTCAATGTAAGTTGTTTAAGTTGCTTCGTTTTATGTGATAATACTTCTCTTTAATTCTATAAACAGACATAATTTCTTGTTCAGTTCAAAGTTCCGCTGTTCAAGTCCTATAATTGCTGTGTACTGACTAATTGGTCAATCGAATTTTTTTTTCGTTTTCAATAGTTAATCGGAAGCGAATTATAATGATGGGGAATTTGATTTAAATCATATCAAAGACGGAGTACATCGAGATGAAATACTACATTTAATAAGGAATTATAAGCCAAATAAAATAAAAACATCTGCCCTGAAGATAAGGATAGTGCTGACAGATCAACTTGCAATTCATTGTGCGCCCCCGCACGATAAACAAAGTTTAGATAAACAAATGTTAAAGTTTAGATAAACAAAGGATATGCCTTTATCCATTTTTTGCAGCAATTCCACTTTTTGTTTAATGAACTTTGAAACATACTTTTCGTTTTGTAGATCCTTTGGATATTAATAACATATATTAGGAAATTCTATTTCGACATAATCGAAAGTTCAAGCTTACTTTTATAAAATTGCTCTGACAGTCTGCAAAAAATAATAAGCCGGATCCAATTCGAAGATTAAGGAACAACGCAATCTGCAACATTAACTGAAATAGATAATTAGATAATTTTAGCTTAGCTTATGCTGTCCATTATACATTAAACACGCACTCGTAAACGTATTTTGCGCATGCGCACAAGCATATTCGCAGCCGTAAAGGTCTTACGCGCATGCGTCAACACGGAGCATGTGCAGAAAGTTTGTAACTTTGAGGTCCAGATTATAGATCATTCCGAATTATGGGTGTCCGAATTAACAACTTTTGACTGTATTTTACTTTCAGGCATAGCGAAAATTTGCTTCACATCTGTTAGGGATTTTGGATTATTTAACTTTTATCAAATCAGGTAAAACCTCATAGGTACATAGTCGAGAGACTGATAAGTTGGAAGATAAAATTTACAGAAACTAATGGGAGAATATTGGTTTGCATATTGAAACAAATTTCGAATTGTTAGAAAATATGCTTAAAGAGAAGGAAATTTATATAAATTAAGTAGAATGTCTGGAGAGTCTTCAAATTAAAAAGGTGCATAAATATTTGAGTGTTGTTACTACAAAACGTAAAGTTTTTGTAGTTAGCTTTTAATGTGTGGTTATCTTAATATTGTTTAAGAATCAATGTCATAAATTACATATATTTTAAACTGCGACATGTTGATAGATTGTGGTTTTAATAGCGCTTTTTAACAAATATTTTTAAAATATAAATTTAATAGTGGCCATGTAAATCTATAATGACTAAGAGTATCTAACTAGCTAATTTAATTATTTGTAACTAACTGATTATTCTTAAAAGTTATCTCTGTTAATTTAATTATTTGTAACTAACTGATCATTCTTAAAAGTTATCTCTTCTAATTAAAGTAAGTTATTGCCTTTCATTAATCTTTACTGTGGTCACAAGATATAGCACAAAAATGTAAAAATTAATGTAAAACTTAATTCTTAGCATCTAGTTAGACTTAAATAATACAAAGCAACTTATCACTTCTGGTGCTTTACTGGCTTATTGGAACCTTAAAATATATTAACTGGGTTACAACCCTAGGAACTCTACATAAAGTTGTGACACTAATTGCGTCAGACAGGCAGAACACAACTAACTTTCAAAACTTGCCAAACATATTACATCAGGCTTTCAGGTTTGTTCTGATCAGCAGGCCTCTTTGTAGGCAACCAGCAGCAGTGGCAACAAGCAGTCTGTATTATAGGCTTGAGATGGCGTTCTCCAGACGTAAACTCGGCCAGAAGTGGGAAACAATGTGAAAAAAGACTCGTCAGACCATATTACTCGCTTCCACTGCTCTATAGTCCAGGCTTTATGACTTAAACACCACCTTTTCCTGTTACGGGCATTAGCATCACTGATGAGTGGCTTCTCAATTGCAGCACGGCCAGAAATTTCCTGTTTATGAAGCTCCCTTCTAATTGTTTTGGTAGTCACAGGGTTCGGTAACACAACATTCATTTCAGCAGTAACTTTTGCAGCTGTGGTCTTCTTATTTTTCGTCACAATTGCCCTTAATGATCGTCTGTCACGATCACTCAGGACACACTTTCGTCCGCGCTGTGATTTAGCAGATGATGTTTTTCCGCTTTTCAAATATGCGGAATAAATCTTCGATACAGTACCTCTTGAAACACTAAACACCTCGGCTATCCTTGCTTACGGAAGCACCTACCATACGTGCTCCAACAATTTGCCCACGTTCGAAGTCTGTTAACTCTGACATAATGCAATGACAACCTCACATAACAGTACTCCGACAACAACTGAACTGTTTAGACATTTACGAAGTTGTATAGGTGGCGTCAGTAGTCAAAAACGCCAGCGCCACCTACATATTTCATTAAAATCAATCTTTCTTTTCAAGCATGCATTTCACAAGGTGTGTTTCCATATTTTTGTCCATCCACTGTACCTACTATTTATTAAACCTCTAAACTGAGCAAGTACATGACAAAATGAGGTATTTAAAAAAAATAAGAAAAAAATAAAGTCAACTGTTAGCAAAACATAAATAAAATGTCACTAATCTTCTTTCAAATATGTCCAATTATTAAAAGGGTAAAATACTTAATGCTGCCTGATAAATTTTATAAAGTTGATTTCATTCTCACATTTGTTTTATAATTATGTTTAATAATAATGCATTCTACTTATGGATCTATTTATTAGGATGGTATCACAAAAGCGAAGTTTACACATAGCTAATATCTTTAATTGAATTCAGTTCCCATTTGTTGATGGGTCCTTAATTTTTTTCATTAATGGTCCTTTAAAGTACTTAATTTCCATGTGCAGAAATGTGTATGAACCCTTTTATTTAAATTTCATTATAAATTAATACCATGTGAGAATTTACGCTCTCATTTAATAAATAAAATATTTAATTATTCAAGATAATGCTTTGCATTAATTTTATTAGATTGCTTGTGCAGAAGGCTAGTTATAAATATTTCCCTAAATAGCGATGCATTTTATTCCTTTGAGGTGCTTAATAAAAGATAGGTTTTTGTGCTTGCATGAGTGGGTGCGTGGAGGGATTGAAATTTTCCTATATTATTAAATCATTTGGCAAAAATTGATTATAGTATCATAGAAAATAATAAATTATTTTAATAAATCATAAGAGTCCCCCCCCCTGGAGTACTAATTTTTTTAATCTTACATTTGAAAATTTTTAAATGAACAAAATTTCATATTCATTTTGTCACAAACATACTCTTATTTAATCTCATTAAATTGCATATTTTTAGCAAAATTAATCTCAGTTAGTGTCCCACTTTAAAAAGATTAAATAAAATCTCATAAAACATTTTCATGTTTAATTGGGAATTCATGATCACTTTCAAAGTGAGTACTTATATTTTATTTGGATATTAGAAATTTAATTCATAATAATATTTTTATTTTAATTTGTACATGAGGGAAATGCTTTCAGATTTAGAGCATTACTTACCATGGAAATTTATTATCTCAAATAATGACGTGTAGAATTGTTCTCCAAGTTTACACAACCATTTTATTTCCTTTTAATAATTTAGGGGTGATGCATTCTTTTCATTGCTTAATTGAATTACTTAAACACACATGCATTTAAAGCTAGATTTAAGCCTTTATTACTATAATATTGTTTGATATTTTCTTAAATGATAAAATTAAGTTTTTATGTTCATAATTAAGAAATTTTTATTATTGTCACATTGAGAATTGTTGAAATGATTTTAATTTAAATAATGTATTGATAGCTTGATTTAAATTATAGTGAACCCAATTTTGAACATGAATTTAATCATTTCTTGCGTGGAAGAGAAGGAATTCTTCCTGGACAACCAACTATTCATTTCCCAGGGCTTAATCCAGATCAACTTGAGGGAGCAACTGCTCTTTCTAAACTGCCAGCTTTTAAAAATCTTCAAAGAAATCTTGATAATATAGAGGTATTTTATATGTAATTTTCCCTATTTAACTTCGAAGAATTCTTTATCTTCATTTCATAAATTAATGTGAACATCCTTTTAGGTGTTCCAAATAGTATTCCTTCACTTAAAAGTAGATTATGCTAAAGAAAGCACTTATAATAATTTATTAATTATTATGTTCTTTATTTTTTAATAAAGAAAGCACTTAATTGAATTTATTATTGATCTTAGTCAATCAATGCTTTATATATGTGCATACAAATAGATATTAACTCATTTCATCTGCTTTGTGTTGTGACTATTGTAGGCTATTCCATCATCAGTACAAAAGACCACTGAACCGATAAAGTGTTTAGTGATGCGCTGCCATATAAGTGAACCCGGGTTTGAATCCTGAAGAAGGCATAGATGTTTGTATCTGTGGGGTAAGGGGCTCTCAAAATATGCGATGAGCCGAAAGCTCTCTTGAGAGTTTCATGGTAGGGAAAGAGAGATGGGAACCCTCAGACTGCCCTCCTGACCCCGTTTGCTGTTTCTCAAAATTGGGACAGAGGCATAACATATATATAGGCATACATATCTATAGTTACGTACATTAATATCTCAAGCACTTCTGGTACTATAGAGATGCTAGCCTAACTTCTACTTGTACCCGTCAGTATACAGTCAAAAGTCGTTAATCCGGACTCGTCAGGACTTCGGCAATTCCGAATTATCGATTCTTCCGGATTATAGATCATCAGTTTAAATCTGGTAAGATGGCATGCAGAAATTACAAAATTAAAAATATGAAACCGTAATTTACGAAATAAAGAACAATTATGATCTAAAAAGGTATCAAAATTTACAAAAAGAAAAAGCTTAATATTTATTTGTTTACTTTATTAAGCATTTCTTTCAATGTAAGTTGCTTCGTTTCATGTGATAATACTTTCTCTTTTATTCTATTAAACAGACATAATTTCTTGTTTAGTTACAAAGTTCCACTGTTCAAGTCCTATAATTGCTGTGTTGAGAATACCGACTAATTTGTCAATCGAAATGTTTTCGTTTTCAATAACCTCTGGGGTCACTTTCTTCACTATCGGAAGCGAATTATAATGACGAGGAACTTGATTTAAATCATATCAAAGACGGAGTACATCGAGATGAAATACTACACTTAATAAGGAATTATAAGCCAAATAAAATATAAACCATCTGCCCTGAAGATAAGGATAGTGCTGACAGATCAACTTCCAATCCGCCGCGTGAAATTGATAAACAGATTTCGGATTTCAAAACATACTTTCGCTTTGTAGATACAAATTACATATTAGTAAATATATATGGGAAATTCTATTTGACATAATCGAAAGTTCAAGCTTACTTTTATGAAATTGCTCTAACAGTCTGCAAAAAATAATAAGCCGGATCGAATTCGAAGATTAAGGAACAACGCAATCTGCAACATTAACTGAATTTTTAGCTTAGTTTATACCTCCGTTACACATTAAACGCGCATGCGCACAAACATATTCGCAGACGTAAAGGTCTTACGCGCACTCTTAAACACCTGTGCGCATCCGTGAACGCGACGCATGCGCAGAAAGTTTGTAGCTTTGAGGTCCGGATTATAGATCATTCCGGATTATGGGTGTCCGAATTAACGACTTTTGACTGTATTAGGCTGTCCGGAAAATAATGCAGGTTTTTAACCTATATCTTTAAAGTATCATAACTCAACTCAAAAACAATTTTAATTATCAAAAATAAGCACCAGCCGAATCAGTGCATTTTTGCCAATGAGATATAAGTTTATTTATGCTAGTAGAATAAAAGTTTAGATGCTATAAAGTTGTTAAAGGCGTTTTTGGCTTTGTCTTCGTTTCTGAAGCATTTCTTCTGCAGAATGTTATCTAGATGTTTGAAAAAGTGGTTAATCGGTCGGCGAGAGGTCAGGCGATTATGGGGAAAGAGGGAAAGTCTCGTATCCCAATTCATTCAATTTCTGTAAGGTCAGTTTGACGACGTGCGGGACGTGCGGCCCAACATTGTCATGGAGAAGAACTGGCCCCTCTCTGTTGACCAATGCCTGTTACATGCATTGCAATTTTTGGTGCATTTTGTTGATTTGCTGACAGTACTTATCTGCCATAATTGTTTCACCCAGATTTAGGAAGCTGTGGTGGATGAGACCGGCCGCAGACCACCAAACAGGCACCATAATTTGCTTTTGGTGCAAATTTGGCTTTGGGAAGTGTTATGGTATCTGACTGCGGTCCAACACTCAGCTGAATGTTGCTGGTTGTTATACAGAATCCACTTTTCATCGCATGTAACAATTCGATCAAGAAAAGGGTCGTTTTTGTTGCAGAGAAGAAAGACAACACTTCAAAATGGCGATTTTTTTAAATTTTCACTCAATCACTCGTGAGGCATCCATTTATCGAGCTTCTTTGACTTTCCTATATGATTTAGATGATCAGAAATTAATTGTTTTGCTTACGCCAAGCTCTCGACAGTTGTGCATGGGTTTGTTTTATCTAAAGTCTTCAAATCGTCCTCATCAACAGCTGAAAAGTATCCATGATGCTCTTGATGTTCCAGGTCAAATTCTTCACGGCGAAACTTTTGGTACCACCATTGAACTGTAGATTCATTAGCACTTTCCTCGTTCCATACTTCATTGACATTTCGAGTCGTTTGTGCTGCGCTGTGGCCTAGCTTGTACTCATAAAAGTAAATTTGACGAAAATTCCATTTTGACATCTAAACAAAAACGCCTAGTAAATAGTTTTTAAAATAATTTTGGAACAAAATGATTATTATAGAATTCAAAATTATATATAAACCAATGTAATTCAAAATATTGTTGCTGAAAATGTACAGGAAAGATAAACAATTGCAAAAACCTACATTATTTTCCAGACAACCTGATAAAAGCCCGCCCTGACTGTATAGTGGTTAGTGATACTGACTGCCATACCGAAGGGTTGAGGTTCAATCTCAGAGAAAGACTACATGTTTATAAGCATGTACTATCTGTGCAGCAGTGGGGGCATTCAAAATATATGCTGAGCTGAAGTTCTCTTGAGTGATCGTTATTAGAAAAAGAGGGGTAAGAGACCTGCAAACTTCCTCCGTCTTTGAGTGCCGGGAGGTTATTCTTCCTCGAAATTCTAAATTGGGATAGAAGCTTAGCAGTTAGCTAGGCCTGGTGATATTTAATATATCTAAGAGAATGGAAAACTTGGAATGTAATGACTCCTTAAGTATTTGCTAGTGCTTTTCTATTTTCGTAACAAACACTATGTTGCAAAACATTTCCCAATGAATTTAAGCTTTATGGAAATTCATAAGCACTATATTAAAACTTATGTAATTGAAATGCATTGCTAAGCCAGATAAAATTCCTTCAGGAGCTACCAGTTTGAAACTACTGGTTTAACCATTTAATAAATGGCTCAATATTAGTTGAAAATAATGCTTGTTCTGCATATCATTCAACTGACACAATCATCAAATTACTGAAGAAGTGTATGAAATCATCCTGAGAGATCATAAGTAAACAATTTAGGGTATTTGCAAAGTTGTCAGATTATCTCTCAGGTGAACATAATGTAAAAAGAATAGTTTAAGATACGAATACATTTACTGTACAACTTAACTGTCATGTTACAAACTTCTGCAGAACAAACATACACAATTCTATAACTTCCCTCTCTTACTAGATTTAGCTGTCAATTATTTCATCCTTTTCTGTAACCGAAAATGAAGCTGAATGAGAAAACATTTAGCTGCATATATAAAGTCCAGAAAGACATTGCTGAATATTGTAACTATGAAAGGTACTTCAGAAAGGGAAAACCGTTCTCACAATCATAGAAATGGCTGTGAGATCATTATTTCTATTGCAGTGGAGATTTATTTGATGGTGTTAGAGAATAAAGTGTTTTTAATATTAGTTGTTAACTCATAGCATTCACACTAATAAAATATATTTTAATTGTAAATTTCTACTAAAATGTTAATTTGATTAAAACTGTCTACTAAACTTTTTTTAACATTTTTACCTATTTAATATTGTAAAGACTATTAGGCAGCATTTCTTTTCAGAGCAGGAGGTATGAAAAATGCCCTTGCTGGGATTCCAACTCCTGACTGCAGCTGAACATGCCTCCAATTACATAACAAAGACACATGATAAGGAGGGAGAAAATGCCTTACATTTCCCACTTAAGACTGGTTAGTTGTGGACCCAGTTTCCAAATCCTGGTGGTAGAAAATCATCATCCACCACATTTTAGTTTAGCTGCCTCTGTAGAGACCATATGACATTTTATTTCAAGGGATGTAAAAAATGTGCAGTGCTCTCACCAGGATTTAAACTCAGGGTATTCTAGTTGCTAGCAGACATGCTGTCAACTAACCATGATGCAATGCAGTAAGGAGAAAGAAAATACTTTATAGTGTAATTGCTAAATTTTAAGCCATCACAGGATAGAAAATGTTTGTTTAGTCTTTCTTTCCATAAACTTTAGTTTTAATTTCTGTTAACTGTAATTGTTTTAGTGATATTCCAGTGGCAACCAATGTATAAATATCTCTTGATGAATGTGTATATTAAATTAAAAACAAAATAACATGTATATTTGAAATGCATTCTATAGTGATCACTTTGTTTATTTTCAGAATTTCAACAAATGGATAGAAAGTAGTAATCCAGAACAAGAGGTGCCTGTTTTGTGGAGTGATGACAAGCCCTTGACAGCAATTGGAACTGCTATGCATGAACTTTTAGTTACTCAAGCATTCAGGCCTGATAGAGTAATAGCCAAAGCTTTACAAGTTGTTTCTGCTGTACTGGGAAATAATTTCCTAGCAGAAGCAGAAGTTGAGCTGGATCTTGCTTCAATTGTTGAAAATGAGGTATAAATAGAAATTATTTATTTATTTATTTTTAAAATTTCAATTACGTATTATTCTTGATTATTATTTTATTTGACTTTGTTTTAAAGGTTAAATCGAACACACCAGTGCTAATGTGTTCAGTACCAGGATATGATGCTAGTGGTCGTGTTGATGATTTAGCAACTGAATTGGGAAAAAGTATAACATCAATAGCCATGGGTTCTGCAGAAGGTTTCAGTCAAGCTGAAAAAGCCATAAACTCTGCATCTAAAACTGGAAGGTAATATTGATTGCAGGATTTAAGAGAGTGAATATATTGTAGGCATTTTCCAGTAATCAAATTTATGGTTTCTTCTTTTTGTAATAAGTTTTAACATATCCTATAAATTTTGTATTTACTTACAGTTGCGTACATTAAATTTGTTACTTACTTATACTTACATTAAGTTTGGAAATAATAATTATTTGCATACATTATCAGTATTAGGAACATTACTTGTGGCAACACTGAATTTTCTACTTGTTCATTTCTTATCATTGGTTACAATTAAAGCATGAACAAATAATGTTAGAAACCACTTAAGTTTATGCTGAGATTTTATTCACTTACTTGAGTCATCACATACCAAACATCAGTCATCACTTCACATATGTAGAGTCATGTAAATACATCACATATTGTATTTTCGTCAAATAAGTACTGTATTTCATTTATTTTAATGTAAAATATGTGGAATGAAAGTCAACTAAATAGGCATAATGACAGATATGTTAAAAATATTTAATATTTTTTTTAATTTTAGTTTTAATCACATATATAATTAAAGCTCTAAACTTATTGCACAAATTAAAATAAGTTTTTAAAAAAAAGACAGTCTTACACATTTTGTGCAGTATAAGAATTTCTTATGTACTGTAACATTATTTATAAGAATAACCATTTACCAGTTTTCCATTAATAACTATAACATAAAGTAGTATTTTCTATATGTTATGGATACTTGCAAAATGAATATGTGATATGAGTTGAATGATGTTCAGTATACAAGTAGCATGATTATCAGTATCCACTAATTCAGTGATTCCATCTATGAGATACCTGGAAAGTTCTAGGTACTGCATACAACAGTGAGTGTTATAGGAAGGAAAATGGAAATATAAAACTCAAAAAATGTACTAAAATGTTTCCCTTGAGGGATAGAAATTGTGGTAGTAGTGAATAGATGACTTTTATTTATACTGACAATCATTTCAGCTTGAGATGAATACATTTTTATGGATTTTCAGTTATTTTTGGAAAGACATTGTAGGTGTTTCAGTTTGTTTATATATTTTGCTAATTCACTTATCATTTTTATTATTTTCTTCTATAGGTGGGTAATGTTGAAGAATGTACATTTGGCACCTCAGTGGCTAGTGCAGCTAGAGAAGAAGCTACACACATTGAAACCTCATGCATTGTTTAGACTTTTCTTAACACTTGAAATTCATCCAAAAGTGCCCGTAAATTTGTTGCGTGCTGGTCGCATATTTGTCTTTGAGCCTCCGCCTGGTATCAAAGCCAACTTGTTGCGTACGTTTAGTGCAGTACCTGCACAAAGGATGATGAAAGTAAGTTTCTGTTGTTGTGTTATTTTTCTGTTGTGTAATATATATGTTTGCATGATGAAATCCTTTAGCAGTTCATTAATTATATCATAAAGAGTTAATATATATATATCTAACATAGTCTTTATATATAGTATAAAGTATAGAATCTTGATGTCCAGTATCTAGAATGATCTAAAATACAGACTAGCAGCAACCCCCCTTTTTTTAATAATTTTTTTGTATGCTTTATGCATGCATATTTCATATTTTTTTCACAATATAATGTAGAAAGTTCCGATTGTTAATTTCTATTTGACACTAAATAAAATACAAACATATTGAAGAAATAATCATTTATTAGCATAAATCTGTGTAATCAACAATTTGGCTCTTGCCCTTTTGCTTGGCATACATCTCAAACCGAAACATTCTGCATTGAAATATCATTGATGTTACATCTACACAATAATTTATTTCCCTGATGCTAATTGAGATATCATTATTTATTATTATTTGCTTTCATCCTGCATGACTATCAACATGCAGCAGCTTGAGAAATTTTGCGATGTCTAAAAATTTTCTTTTTAAGTATTAGTAACTGAATATCAAAGAGCATGGTAACCTTTAATATTGACAGTACACTTGGCGATGGTTACAGACTTCAGTTAACTGTGCTGTGAAGTGTTAAATGTGATGATGAGGAGAAATTTAATAGAAATATCTTCCCATATTCAAAGAATAGATTTCATAAATGAAACTGATAGGCCAAAAGATTACATTTAGTGCTGTTTGCATTGAGAATAATTTATTTTTGATTCATACAAGCCCAGGGCAATGCCAGAGCTGAAGTGGCTGAATTTTTATAATTTAGAGAAGCACCAAACAACAAAATTAAGGGATGGCAAAATCTTTAAAATTTTGAGAAGGCACTGCAGAATTGCCAATGATCCCAATTTCCAACTGTTCTCCTGCCAACCCGATCTACAAAATATTTCTGACTTTTTCTTATTCTTAAAATTTTTTCACGATTTTTCTGTAGCTTTACTTAATATTTTGTTATTTTTGTTATTTGAAAGAAAAAAAAAAGGCATCTGAAAGCACTTGGTTTTTCTCTAGATTACATATAAAAGAAAACAACTAGATTACATATAAAAGTCGTTTCATCAGTGAGAAATTATGACACACTTCTGCTTTGTGGGTGAGAGCACATGAGTCCAAAAACATTGTGTTTCAGTTATCTAATGAGCATCAAGCACCACTGTGTGTGATCTGCCGTACATTAACCAATGAGCGCAAAGCAAGGTCGGGGTTGTTATTTCATTCATCTTGTCGCTGAGGAATGTGAGTTCATGTGCTTTCAAGAAATAATTTAAGAAATTACGATCTTTTGTTTTATTTATGTACTTTTCAAAAACCCTACACAGATGACTTTCCTTCTATTATTTCCTCAAGGAAATGTAATGCGTTTAAGATGTGTACCATTTGTCATTGTGTTTTTTCGATATCCTTTCTCAAACATGTGCATACACAAAAACACAAGGACAACATGAGTTCTATTTACAAAACAAAAAAAAAAAAAAAAGAATCTGTGGAAACAAAGGACCAAAAAGTTATTAATGGAGAATGCCTGTTCTCTGCCTTTTTACTGGAGCACAACCTGTGACTCAGACAGGCAAAACACACTGTAATTTTACATTCCAAATCCTTCCCTTAAATTCTGACTTTTTCCAGCCTTATTTAAGTACATACACACTAGTCAATTTGCATTCTGGCAAGAAAGTGTGATTTAAAAGCAAGAGCTATAGAAAAGCTGATTGAACATAAAATAGCTGTTAAGTAAATTAAATGAACTCTGAAACCTTTGAGGCCATAAATGCTTCATTATTTCCTAAACCACTATTTCATGTTTTTAATTTTATCATTTTTATGTATTATCTTATTAGATTTAAATTTATGATCTAATATTCAGAAAAATCCCAAATCCAGAATACGCCAACAAGTCCGGATCTCAGACTTTGTAATGTATTCCTAATTAGTGTAGTTTTAGATATTCAAACTTAATTGCAAATGGTTTTGTAATATGAAATGTAATTTTTCCAGTGACTAATTGTTCATCCTGTATTTAAAAAGGGAACTGATTTTCCCATTTTTTAAGAAAATTGCAAACTAGATATTTTTATGTTTTTATGTAACTTTATTTCTAGATCTAATTATTTACATTAATTGTATATAATAGCCAACAGTGTTTTACAAATACTAAGTAATCCATTTCGTATAGTTCTATGTATATCCAAAGAATGTTATGCTGTCCAAAATGGCTAAATTCTGTATATCAGAATAGTTAATGTCAAATTAAATTCATTGTTCTTAGACAATAAGTATACATTTTTTTTTTGTATAAATTCATTTATTGAAGTATGTGTTCTATGCATTTATAAAGTGCATAAAGGAGTACGTTCATATAAAAATGTTAACATTCTTCACAGCTTTCAGCGTAATATAGCTGCATGATTCATTTGTAGAATTCAGCTTTAAGAATATCCTTTAAGTTTCTCTTTGCAGTTTTTGAATGTCTTGTGTGCTATTAAAATCAATGGCCTATGAAATGAAACTTAATTTTAGAAGAGAGAAAGTACTCTGTGGATGCCATATCTGATGAACAAGGGGGGAGGGGGGTTGAGAATTTTGACAGTTTCCTTTTGACTTCCTGCAAACTCATATATACACATGAAGCACTATTTTGAAGCCTTCTCTTTAATACTAAATAACTGAAACAATAATTTTCATCTGATTGATACAAAAATCTAAGTAAAGATCAGTGGTTCTGTATTTGCACTTTGTCATTTGCTCTTCTTTGAAAGTTATAGTACTTTAAAATTAATGTAGGAGTACAGTACAAAGTCCGAAATCTGGATGTGCATTATCCGGAATGATGTAAAATCTGGACCTCAAAACCACCAACAAAATTTTTCTCGTAGGCTTTACGCATGCGCATTTAATTTCTCCCTCCACGCATAATAAAAAAATCTGGAGAGTCCCGATTCTTAATTTCACTTCAATGCTGAATAAAATACTTTGTTATTGAAGAAACAATCATTTTAGCATAAATTTGTAAGATTAGTAATTTGGCTCTACTGCTGCATATTTGCTTGGCACACATCTCAAACCAAAACATTCCACATAGATACATCATTGATCTGACGCCAACTTGGCGAATCATTATTTATTATTATACTTTCCTTTCATTCCGCATGTTTATCAAAACATGACAACTTGAGTAATGGCTCATGTAGTGTTACCTAAACAATTTTTTTATGTTAGTATTTGAATAATAAAGGAGTGTGGTAACCTTTTATGTTGACATCATGACATTATGCTTGGTGATGATTACAGATTTCAGTTGCTCTAAAAAATGTTGACGAGGAAAAATTTACCAAAAATTTCTTTCCATATGCTAAAAATAGATTTTGTTGATGATACTCATAGACCCAAAGATTACATTTAGGGCTATTTGAATTAAGAATAACTGATTTGTTATTCGCATGAAACCAGAACCAGGGCTCGTATGGTCGTCCAAGTTGCAGAATTTAGGACCCACAGAGACTGCATCAGGCGGTAAGATATCTAGTGTCGGCCCTCAATAAGGCTTAAGTACATGTGGGAATTTATTTTTCTGATAGGCCTTAAGCATGTGCAAGAAATAGACATAAGTATAATGAATAACTAGACAAAAATACAATTCAGGCTTAATTGTCTCAGTATGCAATAGAAGCAAGATAAAATTTAACCTAACAACTTGTCGTTAATCGCCAAGCTCATGATGCAAGGATAGCTAAATTTCATGATGACAGCTGCTAATTTTAAAGGTTTTCGGGTATCACAAAACAAAGGTGAAATTTTCCAGTTAATGGATTTTGTAAAGAAATGTGGAGAAGCGGTAATAAATGAAGATGATATAAAAGAAGTTTTTCATTGTGATAACAATCCTTCTCAATCATCAATCAATTAATGAATGGTAAAATTGGTAGTATGGTTCTAGATCCAGAAAATACTGCTACAGATAGTGAAGAAAGTGACAGAAAAGTTACTGAAAACAAGAAAATTTGGATTGAAAAGTTAGTCGGAATTCTCGAAAGAACAGTTACAGGACTTCAACAATGTAACTAAACAAGAAATTATTTCTGTCTACAAAATTAAAGAGAAAGTATTAGCACAAAAAATGAAGTAACTTAAGACAACTTGCTTTGAAAGAAATGTTTAATAAGATGAACAAATCAAATTTTTTTTTTTTTTTTTTTTTTTTTTTTTTTTTGTAAATTTTGATACTGTTTAGATCATAAATACTTCATTATTTCATAAATCGCGATTTCATATTTTTAATTTTATAATTTCTACATGCCATCTTACTGGATTTAACCTGATGATCTATTATCCAGAAAAATCCCAAATCCGGAATCGCTGAAGACCCGATGAGTCCGGATTTCGGACTTTGTACTGTATATTCAAAGGCACCTGCTGTACTTAAAAGAGTATAAAATAAATTATTGTAATTTCTGTTTTAGGCTCCAGGCGAAAGGGCTCGCCTTTACTTTTTGCTTGCATGGTTCCATGCTGTAGTTCAAGAGAGGCTACGATATTCACCTCTGGGATGGTCAAAACGCTACGAGTTCAATGAATCTGACCTTCGTGTTGCTTGTGATACATTGGATACTTGGATTGAAACTGTAGCCATGGTAATGGCTATCTTTCAGTAATTTTAAAATTTTATAGTATACTTTAAATTTTATATTTATTTGTGCATTCATTTATACATATATATATAAATTATTGGAATTTAAAGTATTTATTTTAAAGGGAAGAACTAATTTACCGCCAGAAAAAGTGCCTTGGGATGCCATTTGTACTCTATTTAGCCAGTGTATATATGGTGGCAAAATTGATAATGAATTTGATCAAGTAAGTTTCATATAAATTGCAGTATATTCATTTATTACATTTTGCAGTTTTTTTCTTGTTTTTTCCCTGAATTCTGTTATATTATATTTTTCTTCCACCAGCGTTTGTTGAACTCTTTCTTGAATAAACTGTTCACTGCCCAGAGCTTTGAGCCAGATTTTCCTTTAGTAACAGGCGTTGATGGTGTTGATAACAAAGTTATAACAATGCCTGAAGGAATAAGGTAAAGACAAAAATAAGAAATTCTAGATTAATGAAGTTTAATTAATAGTACCAATAAACTTATGCTAATTTTTTGTAAGTTTTTACAGAATAATTGACAAATGGTGAAATATTTTACTCATTTATGATATATATATGCTTGTTAAAAATTTTTTTCTCGTTATAAGCAATTAAATAAATAAATTAAAATTTTAATTTTCAATCAACACTTCTAATACAATTTTTTTACGCCTTTTTACAAGGAATAATTTTGACAAATGGTTGAAATATTTAACTACATTTATTGATGGCTCTAGTGATAAATTATTATGTTTTTTTTTTTATTATTGATATATATATAATAGCATTGAGTGTTCCTTTGAATGTGACCTAGTAGTTATCGATTTTTTTTGGGGGGGGAGGGCTGGATCATGGCAGTCCAGTTTCTAATAGAGAATTATACCTTGTGTAAGTGAAATGTTTCTATTTTGAGCATTACAATGTTGAAGTTTCAAAAATTTTTAGCAGATTATTAGAATCTAAATCAGGCTATATATATGAATTTACCTTTTAAATGGGAAAAGAAAGAGGAGTTAAAAGAAACTTCAGGATGTACGGGGAAAGAGTTGTTAAATCTATACTTGAAGAACTTTCTGAACAAGAATGTCATTTTTATATAGATAATTTTTTATGTCTCCATCACCGGCAAATGAATTCTTTAGATTTGCAACAAATACTTGTTGGATTGTAATGAGGAGAAGGAAAGAAATTATTGAAAATTTTCCACCACCTGAAATGAATATTGGTGAGATGTTGATTTTGCAGGGAAAAAAACCTAAATTACTTTCAAATATAGTTAGGAAATGTTTTTTGTTCAAATGAAAGTTCTAAGAAAAGTGCGACAGCGATGATTCATTTGTTCATACTCCTACAAAAGTGCTCCAGAAAAGAAAATAAGCTATTATGAATGCAAGGATTGTAACATAATATTGTGTGTAGTTCCCTGCTTTAAAATTTATTACACTAAAAATGAATTTTAATTAAAATGTTTAGTTGTCAGTTGTATAATTTCAATAGTCACTAACAGGTAAGTGAATACTGAAAAATAAATTAATGTGCAAAGTAAACAAAAACCAACTTAAGTATATCAAGTATGTAAATAAAGAAATATATAAAGGATATATCACACACACACACACACACACATATATATATATATATATATTATTAAGAAATTATTAAGACAGTAATGTAATTTACAGAATATTATTAAGAAATGCATTCATACTTAATTTAGCTGATTCAGGCTTAGTAGCAAAAAATTTTTCGGCCCTGGAGAGACACGAAAGAAACAGCCACCCCAGTGGTACATGTGCCTTACATCACAAAAAAGTTAACGAATTATTGCTGCAAAATTTTTCATATAATTTAAGATTTACCTTTCATATATACCTATTTCAAGAAAAGCTTAAATTCTTACATAACAGGCTATTGTTTTTGTAATTTCTCCAAATTTATCTCAAAATCTATTGATGAATTACAAGTATTTAGTACAAGTTTTTGTTTGAAATTTCTTAAAATTAAAAAGGAGAATTCGATCCATGTTTCACATATAACATCACCTCCCCCCCCCGAAAAAAAACACAATTAAATAAACGGTTTTCTAAACTGTAAAATTTATTGTGTGTTTTGGTAATACTTTTGCTGATTATTCTGGCCAAGATTAAACTTCTGTGCATTTTGAGACCCAGTAATATTCCCACAGTAGCTTAGTTCATCCTGTAACTCAAGACCAGTAAATTGTTTCATGTCCATCTATCATGGATAACATAGTAGAATTGTTCAGGCATATGTCCAGTATAATATAATCAAGCATAACATGTTGAACACGAGCCTGCAAAAAATGCTAGTTAAAACCCTAATATAAATATAAGCATTGTTCTGTTAAAATGGGGCGAGGGGGAACTTAGTTCACTTAGTACATAATTGATTGAATCAGGCAGTGTAAATACCTTCCTCATATCACCAAATTGTGTTTGTCTCAACAGCTTTCCTTTAAATTAGCATTCATCATAACTTTCAGTTATTCATTGTATGATGAAATATTTTAACATGCATATGCTTCTAACCCCTTAAGAAATGCAACTGTATAGTAACAGTTTTATCTCTCATTATCTTTATTGCTAAAATTTAAGAAATTCTGAATATTTCCCATTAAAATATTCTGTGATTTTTATTGAAAAATCTGTATGAAGTAACTATTATGTTTAATAATACAGGAACATCATTAATTGCTAAGCTGCTGAAGATGCAGTTGTTAGAAGATGATGATGAAGTAGTATATTCTGCTGATGAGGCTGAGGCAAAGCGTAAAGCTGATGGACGGCCAGCTTGGATGATTACTCTACATAATTCTGCTGCTACATGGTTGCGCTTAGTTCCTCAAAGTTTACCATCGTTAAAAAGAACTGTTGAAAATATCAAGGATCCAATGTACAGATACTTTGAGAGAGAGGTATAAAAATTTTTAAGTATGGACAAATGTATTTTAATTTGTATACTTGTCACTGAATTGTAAATGTTCATTTCTCCTCTCACACAGGTTAATGCTGCTGTTAAATTGTTACAAATTGTTCGACGTGATTTGGAAGATGCTATTCAGATTTGTAAGGGAGAAAAGAAGCAGACGAATTTCCATCGTTCCATGATTAGTGATCTTGCAAAGGGTAAATTTAACCTATTTTATTTGTATACATAATAGATAATATTAGCATTTTAAAAAAATTATGCATTAAAAAGTTATTTTAAACAGTAATTCATTGTGCTTCACAACATATAAAAGCAAACTCACAAATAAATAGCTATTGGCAAAATATTAAAATGTGCAAAATCACATAAAAAAGCTAATTACTGTTAAAAAATTCATAATTCAAGTAAAATCTTAAAAGAATCTTAGTTGGCCAGTTAGAAACTTCAAGTTTATTTACAAGAGGGGAAGTAGGTCTTCTTTATGGGTCAGTGAAATAATTGCCCACCATTTTGTATGCCACTACATCCAAATCCACACCTTTTAGAAAATAGTAACCTGTACTTTAAAAAAAAAAAAAAAAATATTACTGTCAAAGTCCCTTTGTTTTATATGTGAACACTGAGGGAAAAATTCTTTGGGATGTAGCATTTCCAACGTATTAGGATTTTTTTTGGGGGGGGGAAGTAATGTGGTGTAACACTACATTGGTTACACATATTAGGAGATCTTCCCTTTTCAATGTCTCAAATTTAATTATTTATAGAACGTTTTAATTTGTGGAAAATTTCATAAATGGTCTATATTCTATTTAATAAACTACATATTTCAACAAAAACTACTAATTTTTTAAATGCATTACAAATACAGTCAAAAGTCGTTAATCCGGACACGTCGAGACTTTGGCGATTCTGGATTATCGATTTTTCCGGATTATAGATCAGCAGTTTAAATCTGGTTAGATGGCATGCAGATATTCTAAAATTAAAAATATGAAACCGTAATTTATGAAATAAAGAACAATTATGATCTAAAGGGTATCAAAATTTACAAAAAGAAAAGGCTTAATATTTATTTGTTTACTTTATTAAACATTTCTTTCAATGTAAGTTGTTTAAGTTGCTTCGTTTCATGTGATAATACTTTCTCTTTAATTCTATTAAACAGACATAATTTCTTGTTTAGTTACAAAGTTCCACTGTTCAAGTCCTATAATTGCTGCGTCGAGAATACCGACTAATTTGTCAATCGAAATTTTTTCGTTTTCAATAACCTCTGTGTCACTTTCTTCATTATCGGAAGCGAATTATAATGACGAGGAACTTGATTTAAATCATATCAAAGACGGCGTACATCGAGATGAAATACTACATTTAGTGAGGAATTATAAGCCAAATAAAATAAAAACATCTGCCCTGAAGATAAGGATAGTGCTGACAGATCAACTTCCAATTCATAGTGCGCCGCGTCGTTTCCCTCCCCCCGTACAGCAGCGTGAAATTGATCAACATATTTCGGAATGATTAGATAATCAAAGGATATGCCTTTATCCATTTTTTGCAGCAATTCCACTTTCTGTTTAATGGACTTCGAAACATACTTTTGCTTTGTAGATATTTTACATATTAGTAAATATATATCGGAAATTCTATTTGACATAATCGAAAGTTCAAGCTTACTTTTATAAAATTGCTCTAACAGTCTCAAAAAAAAATAATAAGCCTGATCCAATTCGAAGATTAAGGAACAACGCAATCTGCAACAGTAACTGAAATAGATAATTTTAGCTTAGCGTATACCGTCCGTTATACATAAAACGCGCATGCACACACGCATATTCGCAGCCGTAAAGGTCTTACGTGCACGCGTAAACGCCTATGCGCATGCGTGAACGCGACACATGCGCAGAAAGTTTGTAGCTTTGAGGTCTGGATTATGGGTGTCCGAATTAACGACTTTTGACTGTATAGAATATTTTTAAAAAATATTCTAAAACTTTCCAAGGCTTGAAATGACTGGAAGTAGAACAGGAAATAATTAAATTTGTTACATAAAGGAAGATTTAAACTTATCGATTTTCAAAAGTAATATGAAAAAATGTTACATCAGAATGTTTCTAGAGAATTATCAGAAAATTTTCCCAAACTATCCTCCTAATTATTTGATTTTCAGATTCATTGTTTTCATGACCCATCAATGGCCGAGTGGTAAAGTCACTGAACACTGGTACTTCTAACCTGGGTTCGATTCCAGGCGAATGGGCTGGCTGCAGGGGTGTTTTGCCTATGTGTAACTTGTATACGAGCCACCTCCCTCTCCTTATGCAGTAGCCCTAGCCGTAATCTTAATAAACCAAACCAACCATTCTTCTGACATTAAAAGGCACTCTAAATTGTATTTAGAAAATATGAATAGGAAAAATGAGAATTTTAGGACTTCTTTAACCCTTGTAGTGTGTTAAAATCTGTACTGAAATGTTCATGCTGATGTAGCATAGAAGGAAAATACTATAATCTATTGACTATTAGGATTAATAGATCAATATATTAGGATTAATTAATATATTGTATATATTAATAGATCAGTATAATAGAGCAATTCTCTAAGACATCTATAACACTGATTTTGTTCTACTGAGTATGTGATATTCAATTTAGGTCCAATTTCAACTTTTGTTGTCATTTTAGTCACAGTATTTGCATGTTCATTTTCATAGGTAGTATTCTAGACTTGATCAAAATACGGGATTGTAATTTATATGCTCATATTGTGTAATTTAGTGATGATAATTAATGTACTTAACTAAATATCTGATTTTAATTCAGATGGAAAAATTCTTTAAATTGACAGTGATAGCCATTACAATATAATTTAACACAATTGTGTCCGTCTTCCCCTCAAAAAATTAATTGTATAATTAACATTGATTTTCTGTTCTCTCAGGCAAGCTATGAAAATTTAACAAAAATCTTAACATTTTAAAATAAGCTGCAATGTACAAGTGTTAAATAATGAATAGATATTGTTTTTGTTACTTGAAAAATAAAATTAATTACCAGAGTATGTACAAATGGTAGTCAATTTGCATATTTAATTTAACTGTTACTAAACCTTAAAAAGACAACTTAACTTCAGTCATATAATGCAGTGGTCTGAACGTTTTTTGCTCCATGTACCCCCTTCATCTTGCTAAATGATCATTCCCTCCTCTCTTCCTTTCCAAAACTCAAAAAATATGTTAAAATTTAGATTATTTTTTAATGTATTATAAATAAACAAGAAAAAGTACAGAAAATGTTGATAAATACCAAAACTTGAATAAAAATAGGTTAAAATTAAATGCTTAACAGGTAAATAAAAGACTGACTGCATCCCCCATGATTCAGAACCCCTGATATAATGTTTTAATATTCTGATTTATTTTCCAAGGTATTCTACCATCCCACTGGCGATGCTACACTGTTCCTTCCGGATGTACTGTAATACAGTGGATTACTGATTTCTCAGACCGAATAAAGCAACTTCAAAAAGTGTCTACTGCATCTGTGTCTGGAGGTACTGCAGCTTTAAAGGTATATTTGCTTCATAATATGCATTATACTAATTTGTGCATTTTAAAAGCTCTATATATGAAAATGATGTTTTATACATGAACAGAAGCTGCTGCAACACTTAAGTTAATGGGAAATAACATTTTAAATATTAATAGCTGCACCTTAATATTGTTTCTTTAGTATTATACTGATTTCTACAAGTGAAGAATTTTTAAAAATCACAAATCTTTGCTTATAATTTTTTGGGGGGGGTCAAACTTTGTCATATAGTAAAGAAATGCTGAATCAGTGTATTGCATGATAGCCTGGATTGCACCAATTTACATAATCAGGTAACGGTATGAGAAAATGGTATTTCAGATTTGATTAATGTTTCACATTTTAATTTTTGATATATTATTTGCCAAACTAAACTATGATGGAATGTCATTTTTGGCTGGAAGTTTGGTAGTTAGTCAGACATAGTATATTAGCTGAAGACTATTATCTAGGAACAGGTAACACATTCTAAATATACAACCATGAAAGGCCTGAAGTTGAAATAGTTGTACAAGACTGATTGTTGTAGTTCATTACTTTGAAGCAAAAGGCCTCTAGGCTGTTTCTACCATTGTGCTCTTTTGCACAAATTACTTTTAAAATATTTTCTATTACACAAAGAAATCTTCATAAAAATCTGTATGCAAAGTAGCCAGTGATTTTTTTGTGCCCATCACATCAGCTGAGAGACTTGAATGACCACTCGGATATTTAAACTGGACTGAAAAACCAATGAATCTGTATTCATGTTAATCAAAATATTACTAGTTTCATGCCATGGAGAAAATGAAGTTTGCAGTTTCATTCTAGAGTCTGTGCCAAATACACCATGCTAGTAAGATGTATATATATCTGTTGAAAAATACAATTTTCAGTCCTCTGAAGCACAGTGATGACATTTATCGATGGGAATAAGTAGAACCTCATGTGGGGAAGGAGAGAAAGTCACTTCCTAGTCAACTTAAAGGAAAAGGAGTTATTCGTGCTATGCAATTATAGCAGTGATCCATATAGAACTTGGCCAGTAGAATAATAATTCTTTAGATTTAATATTCATATGAATGGCCTATGTGACATCCTGATTTAATAGTACATTGTATACTGTTTTCAAAATTTGCAGAGATGCTCTAGATTTAGAAGTACTTTTTACTATTTTTTATTGCCTTTCTAATATTGCTGTTAAAGTTCTATGCTTTAAATATGTGAATTTATAAAAATGTGACATTTAAAATTTTTGGTACTATTTGATTTTGAGGGCCGTAAAAAAATTGCAGCGAAAATGTATGCGCAAAAGCGCCAAATCTAGCATATGCGTTGATTTCAGATTGCGTAAGTTTATATAGTTCTATATTTCTTAAGACGCCATTGACATACTAGTTTAATTTTTAAATCCTTTTTTGATATCCTATGGATTTAACAATTTGGGAATTGCCCATGACGAAAAGTCGGCAATAGAATTTTGGGTAAAGTGCAGAATCACCCACTGCTTGACACGTTTTTTAAGAATTGCACATACTCGGTATCCATGTGCACATCGACCTATTTTCACTTGAATATTTCACTAGAATTGCATAAAAATGGCACTGCGCACACCCTTGACTTTATCTATGTACACATCGACCTATTTTCACTTAAAAAGTAAAAGAAAATTGACAAAAATTTAATTGTTTTTATCCTTGTAAAAAGCGGCAGGCAAATATGTGAGCAATTCTACACTTTACCGAGAATATTTTCAAAGAAAAGGCATCATGTATGGAATATCCAAAAGCAGCAAATAGATTTTTAAGAGCAACAGCTGTATTTTTTAAAAGGGGCTAGGTAGTTTTTGAATAGTATGAAATAAAAATCTAAAATTATTGGAATAAATTAACAAGGATTTTGCAATTTTCAATTAGTATGGTTTTTAATGAATATATATAAACATATCTTTTCATCCTTGTTGTTTATTCGTCTTTGTTCTAAAGTATATGTTTATGCTAAAAAAAGTCTGGGTTTTTATATACACTAGGCATCTCTCTTTTTTTTCCAGTTAGAAAAAGCAAGAGTTATTATTATTATTATTATTATGATTTATTTATTTTTCAATTCCCAGTTTGTTTTAATAGCAGTAAATTGAAAAAGAAAGAAAACACAGTAGTTTTTACAGTAATGTAAAAAACTTTTCTTTCAAGTGAAGAATAATAATATGGTAACTTGAGAAATAGAACTAGTGGGTTTTCTTTTCCCTTTTTAACCCACAGGTTATAGAGACTAAAATAAATGAGATAAAATAGCACACTTCACATAGAAATTGCTATTTCAGATGCTAAAATTGTTTTTAGGTATGCAGTCAACTTATTATGACTTTAAAAATATAATAGTTTGTTTTTTCTGCACAACAAACATGAAGAAAAACAGAGAGAGGCCATAAACAGATTAAAACTAGAAATCATATATATTTTTTTTTTTTTTTTTTTTTTATCTACAATTATACAAATTTTTTCCTCTGCTGTTTTCAAAGTCCATTTTCTGTTGTTGTGATACCTTTTGTTCATAGCGTCACAACAATGGAATTATTTGCCTTGTATTCCTAATTTTGAAGATTGTGTATAGTGCTGAGTTTAAAATTCTATGCACATAATGCAGTTTAAAAAAAGTGAACAATTATTAAACAGTAGTATTTCTGTTACAATTATATTTCAGAAATAAAAGTATTGTTTGTTACATTGCAAGCCACATTTAAGGAATGAAAGATCTTCATGAGGCTCATTAGACATTGGTTGGCTATATCTGACATACATGTGTATTTCAAATAATATTTCTGTATATAAAATTATAAGTTTTAAATTTTGTAAGCAAGAAATACAAAAATAAAATAAGGTACAATTAACTTTTATTATTCCATATAATGGCATATATGAGAACTGAAATGCATTGATTTATTAACTTAAGTAAATTTGAGCTGTACAAGAGCTGCTGTTGTATTTGAAAACAAACCACAGTGAGATATGTTTTAGTCTTTACCATCTCATAGTTTTGCAGTATCAAGGTTATATTCCTCATGTGCAAACATATTGGAATATCTGATAATGCAATGAAGGTTCATTTAAAATAATGTATGCATTTTTATATGATGTAGAATCTACATGTTTGGCTTGGTGGTCTCTTCAATCCTGAAGCATATATCACAGCTACTCGACAGTATGTTGCTCAAGCAAATGGATGGTCCTTGGAAGAACTGGCAATGAAAGTAAGTTTATTTGTTTCAATTAGAACAAAATTAAAATGTCTTAAAATTATTTAAAAATTATTTACATAAATTAAAAATATTAATGTTTATTTAAAATACTAGGTAACAATTTTGGATAAGGATGAAAAACCAGCTGATTTAGATGAATGTAGTTTTGGTGTAACAGGTATTGTTTTTTAATTTTTTAAATCTTTTTTATTTCTTAAATTCTTCTGAGATTATTTTGTGATATTTGGAGGAAAGCTAATAGTTAGTTTTTTACATTTTTTTTTTTTTTTTTTTTTTTTTTTTTTTTTTTTTTTTTTTTTTTTTTTTTTTTTTTTTTTTTAGTTCTGTTTTTCTACCCATGAGACAGCTTAATACATGCGTTGTACTATTTTATACTTTGTCACTGGGAATTGAAATTACTCTGCCACACTGTTTCTTATAGAATAGGTCCAGCCAACCATTTGATCATATCAAAAGGGACATGATTTTACATCAGTCATAATCTCTTTTATTACATTATTAGATGATTAATTTACATTTTAGCTACGCATCAGTAGATCATAATTCTGTATACAGTAAAGTTGCTGTCATTCATTAAAAGATAAAGCAACCCTATTATAGAAGAAGTTAAAACCATCCCCCTACTTTCCTAAGATTTGTCTGCATATATTTTTTACATATTGTTGAAGGTTGTTGGCATGTGATATGGTTGGATGGTTGGTTATTATTGTACCCTGTAGCTGATGAAATATGGATTATCTACCTACATGATTGCTTGCTTCCCTTAAAAAATATCAGATGGTGTCAGATCAAGTATAGCTGGTCACTGGAAGGGGGGGGGGAGAATCTGATTTTCAAAGAATTTCTTTAAGAGTTTTATTATAAATGATTTAAAAAAAGGCCACGGAATTGTTTTGATAATGTAAAAATATTTTTCAATAAGTTTAGGATCAATGAAGTACTTGTCATTCATATTTAGAGTAAACCTAATATGATAACAGAAGGGATAGTATAAGCAATTTGCATTTCATGGTGCAACATATTTCAAGGAGCTGTTTTGCCCCCCCCCCCAAAAAAAAGGTAATGCATTGAATAAAATAATGGGCTGGGCATTTCGCAATTTAAAATGGTATTCCTTTAATATAATTTTCTTTGTGCTTGCATTGTGACATTATTTTAATAGAATTAATTCACTGTAATTACTTGATTTAGCAACAGGTCCTTTTCCAGTATCCTTACAATTAATTTTCTTCCAAAAATGAATTTTTTAAAAAAAATCTTAACTCGGAAAATTTAAAGGCAAAGTTTTAATATTGCGAACTGTTTGAGACACAGTGCTGTGTTATGTTGAATTTCCTGTGATACCTATGCAGGCTAAGTTTCACATGATAGTATTATGTAATATTTCACTAATCTAAATATGGCATGAATACTGTGTAAAATGCAGTGTATTCCAAAAGTTCTATAAATGTATTATAAAATACTTCATGTTTTTAATTAATACATAAAAAACAATTCATAGAGTGTTCTCATCAATTGTGATTATTCAGATACAATTAAATGTAGGACTGGACAGTTTTAAAATTCTGTATTGGTTTCAAATTCAAAAATTCACTAGGTGATCCATATATTGCAAATTTATGGCATTTAAGTCTTTTAACTTAAATATTTCATAGAAAAACTGGTATTTAAATTAATTATATTTTACCTTAAAATATTTTTTAAGTGATACCAGAATTACACTAATAGTTAATATTCTATTGGGGGAGTTCTGTAAAGTTTTTTTTTTCCCTTAAATGTGTATTTAGACCATAGACATTCATAAATGAAAATATTAAATTAAGGGTAAAAGCTTCACAAAGTATATGTAAATTACAAAAGCTGCAGTAGATTTCAAAAACTGACCCTTTTTATTAAAAAAAAATCAGAAGTAAAATTTTAAATAACAAAGTAACTTTTCATCTGCATAGGTTTATGTTTATTATAATTTATATAAAAGTAAATAATATTCATGTATAGAAAGAGCAAAGGTATGTGTATTGTAAATTAAATATAAACAAGAAATGAGAGAGAGAGATTCTTTCATGAGAAAAAGTTCTAGTTATGATTGTCCTGGTTTAAATTGTTATATTCAAGTTTTAGAAAACATTTTTTGTAGGTATAACTCTAATATTAGTACTTCATTTTATCAACTTTTTAATAAATCTAAATGTTAAAAAAAGATCAAGTTTAAAGGCATTTTAGTAAAGTTTTTAATAAAAGTATTTAAATAACATGCCTCAGCAGTACAGTTTGCTTAGAATTTAGACCAATCTTTTATGGTTATTTGGGAAAAACAGCTTAACTATCTAATTATGATGCTTCTGATGGAAAAAGTGTTCAAGAAGTGCATGAAATTTGTAAACTGTTTGTGCTAGCTTTGATATTGCTTTTAGGTAATATCTTCCTGAAGTTAACTTTTTATTATTAAGAATTATATTCTTGGATCTTTGCTTGCGTATTATTAGAAATATATTTTAAACAGTATTATTCTGATATCCATACTGCATTTAATTATTAATAATCCTGTGTGTCCACATAAATATTCTATTAAAATATATATTCTACATTTAATTTCGTGCAAATACAATTTCTTTATTTATGTTATTTTGCTGCATGACAATGTGGCAAATACAGGTTATGTTAATTATGATTATTTTATTTCATTTATTTGGTGTTTATTTCTTCATGTTAAATAATGTTGATGGACAATTTAAAAATATATATATTTTATTTTGAACTATAGTAAAATATTAAATGTATGTTCTTAAAGGATTAAAACTTCAAGGAGCTGAATGCCGCAAAAGCCATTTGTACTTAACCCTGACCATATCCACTGATCTGCCTTTAACTACACTTCGTTGGATCAAGTAATGCATTTTTTTCCCTCATTACAATACATAAAGGTGTATTTATTCAGTTACAGATTTTAGTAGCATAATATCATGTTTATTATATATTTTCATCTTTTCGCTCCACTGTTTAGGAGAACTGAAGAAAAGAAATCAACACCAGAGGTAATATAAAATTTATTTTTCCTGTTATTTAATATTTATAATTTTTAAGAATTTGTTCCTGCAAAATGTACGAAGTGTGAGGGGGATATATTTTCACTAGTAGCCAGGAAGTTATGCTGTATGGTAGCCAAGTATCATTCATAACTCCTTCCCAATCTGTTTCCCAGTGGGTGAACAATATGGTCCTTGGGATATTTCCATAGTTTTCTCTGTGTGTGCATTATAAAATATATTGTCATTTTAAATACTGAATTCTGAACACATTAATATGGTGCTTAACAATTTTCCATCATTAAAATATGCATTCCTATTATATTTTATTTTTAGGTGACACTTCCTGTGTATTTAAATACAACCCGTAGTGAATTACTCTTCACAGTTAATCTTCCTGTGGCTGGCCAACAGAAAGAATATAGTTTTTATGAAAGAGGAGTGGCTGTTATTTGTTCATCAGCTCTTGGTTAAATGACTGTGATGAATTTTTTGTTAAATTTATGGACCACATAATTTTATTTAATTATTAGGGCAGCTGTGTTATTTAATTTCTTCAAGACTAATTTTGAAGTTATGCTGTCTTTGAACATCTTTGTATTTATCATTTTTTAATTATTTTTATTTGTAAGCATAATAAAAACTCAAAAAGAATTGGCATATTTATTTTAACACCTAAATTTTGTTAACGATTTTGGAAAATGGTTTACATATAGATGAAGAATAAAGCTGTGACTACCTTTCAAGTATCTGTGCAATCTTCTGTTTTTTTGTGAAAATATATACTACTATTTAAATTCAGACAAGCAAGAACTTGAGTTACCTAAAGGGAATATGAAAAAACACAATGAAAAATAGTTTTTAGAAAAACAAAAATTTTTAAATATTATACACTTTTAAAATACTTATGCATAAGAATTATTCAAATTCAGTCTAAGCCTACCTTAAATATTCTAAACATACATTCTAAACCTTCATAACTGGTAAACAGAGAAAGAGCACTCCATACTTTTGTGACATCCCTGTAAGCAAATTATGATAAACAAACATTATATATATATATATATATATAATTATTAGTCGAAAGATATTTAACTTTTTGGCACAGCTGAGATTTTTGATTGAATAATTAAAATATATCTGGTGCATCTTATCTAGCTTAAAGTAACTAATGATAAAAATCTGATGTGCTTTGTAGTATAGAACTTTTAATGCTCTCTTTCTTGATTTAAACTATACTAAAAATTTTGTTTCCCTGACTGTAGCTTCCTTTGATAAAACTTACAAAAATATATAAAAAAATCATTTCTATGTAAATAAAAAATTTGTCCTGAGTGTAATATTTGATTAAACAATGGTAAAGATGTATTACAGATTAACATTTAACAAAAGGGAAAAAATAAGACATTAAAAAATAATTTGAATATTGGAATCGCATTCTCATCAAACAGTAATGTTTAAAAAATGAAAGAACTGTTCAAAAGATGAATTTTACATAAAGTATGAAGCAAGTATGAAATCAAAAAAAATTAATTCTAGGAAATATACCTTCCCGGGAGTTGGGTTGGTCTGAATACTTAAAGTTATTAATTTTGGTTTAATTTTCTTCTCTGGAAAATTATCCTAAAATAATTGAACTTATTGAGTAAAATATACTTATTTTACTGATGTTCATCAGACAGTTTCAACTGGGAGACAAGCAAATGTAATTTGTTTTGTTAAACTCTGACTGTACTGTTTCTTTCCCTAAGTTTGAATTTGATTTAGTATGTGACTAGCAAACTATTGTATAAAGACAATAAATTATATCAAAATATGCAGTCATTTTGATGTATTTTGAAGTTTGTCACTATCCTCATTATGTTGTTTCATAATTATTTAAAACTGACTGGATTATATAGCAGACAACAAATGTATTGATCACTGTTCAGTGCACAAGTATCAGACAAGTTTGATCATCTCTAGACATAAACATTTAAATTTCATTAATTTTGAAAAACTTAAGTATGCTTCTTTAGAAAATGAAATATTATAGTTGTCTGATCATACATCATACTAAAGTCTTTCCTGAAGATATGAATTAATATCCAACTATTCAAACCATCTAGATTCAACGTTTCATCATTCCAAGCAATTTTGTTTAATTTTGAGTACATTGCCATGAGATTTCAGATAAAATACTTTTTACAATGGTTTGATCAAAGAGCATTTCTTTTCCGTAATGAAAGTATCTTATTTTGTATTATCATTCCCTTCTCTATGCAAAATAGTTTTGAAAATAGTACAAGTATCTTTTTTTAAAGATAAAAGCAATGAAAACTAAAATACTTAATTTTAATAATTTAAAGAAACTGGAATTATAAAACAAACCTTGCAGGTAATCTAATGTATGCTCTTCTGTCTTCTGTTCTGTACTTGAGAATATCTATAGGAATTATGTATCCCATCTGTAAAACAAGATTTAAATTTTAAATACTTTTTAAAAGTGATATACAGTAATAATGCAATAGGCAAGACTGATGAAAAGCCATAAGTAAGTAGAGATATAACTTTGCATATGAATTTTTTTAACAGAATCAAGAGCTAAAAACTTCATTTTTTTAAAAAAAGTTTGAAATGAAAAATGCAGCTTTCGTACAGAGCAATAATGCAGCTTAAGCACTTAGGTAGTGCTTAAGCTGTAGTAATAATAATAAAATAGTATGGAAATGAATGTGCTGCATAAAGTGGAGTTATTTCAATGCCACTGTCTCCATAAATTCATCTTGTCTGATGACTTAATTACTTTTTTCATTGTATAAAATTTCTTCATATCAAGCTAATATTTTATTTTTTGTCTTGTATCTATAATGTTTGTTATTAAAATCACTATTCTCCAAAATTTGTAACCTTTTTTCAATTGAGCTAAGACTTTCTGTCAAGTATGCATTTGTTTTAAGTTTTTTTGGTGGATCTGAGTTTAATATGTTGACTTCTCCAGAAGTGATTTTCTCATGCAACTCTATAAACTCATTGACTGTAAGCTTTTTGATATGTGAGTATAAAAGCTCATTGATATAATCACTATCAACTTCTAAATCTAATTATCTGGCAAGACCGACAACTTCTGTTATTTGTCAACTTCATCAACTTCTGGCATTGTTTAGATCTTGCTTTTGAAAAAAAGAATGAACAAATTTTCTTCTACGCATCAGAATCAGTACAGTCTCCCCCCATTTCAAGACTTTTATGGCATCTAAATCACTGCATTGTGACCCAAAATCTTTAACAGATGGCTGATTGTTTTGCTTCATAGAGTTATTTAGATCTTCAAATGATCATCTGATGTATAAACCCTCAATGTTTTGGTATCTTCTTGGTTCATAGGGTAAAGCAAGTTGGCTGTTTGAAGTTAAAAAAAAAAAAAAAAAAAAAAAAAAAACCCCACATTTACATCTGAGTCAGAATTAATTCAAGTTGCAGGAGGATGAACGAGGTGCATTACTAGTTAGAAGCAGAATTTTAAATGGAATTTATACTGGCAATAACAATTCAACTTTGGGTATACAGTGATGACTAAACTAATACTCAAAAATGAAAGTTCTCACGCAAGCTTTAGAATTTGATTTCCAAATCATGGCCAAGTCAGCTTTAGACATATTTTTAGATTTTCAGAGTAATAAATTAAAAGATATTCGAACTTGCAATAACTAGCTTCCCACTATCTGTGTCAACCCGTTTTTAAAAACTTGGAAAGATTCTCCCCCCCCTGCACACACTGCACACACACACTTGCAAAAGAAGTTCTTTTAGGCATCTTTGTCCAGAACAGGCTATTGTCATCCATATAAAAAAGATGATTTGGTTGCTATAGCCACTTTCCTTGATCATAACTTTCAGTGTCTCATGAAAAGAAGACATCTCTTACTCTGCACTTTTTACTTCTCTACTCTTCATAATATTGTGCCAGTTACAATGAGTTTTAAATCAGTTAAATCATCCATTACTAAAGTTTTCATATTTGACTGTTTCTGTAGTTTCTTTCTACTTATACCTCTGAAAAATCAGTCCAGATTAATAACATATACTGTTCTGACTGATTGAACAGTTTTTAACCACTTGCGCTACGACTAAACTTCACGGTTGCGGTGCCGTGCACTATGATATTACAAGCGGTAAAGTGTCTCATTTACACTGCTCCGCGTCTGCGAGTGCAATCCAGAGCTGTAACTTGAGAAATAAACAATCTTGTTAGGCAACTTGTGCACCACGTTATTTTCATTTTTGCATTGAGACAAAAGCATCTCGACGTGCGTGGCACATCTTTTTGGCGCAAGTGGTTAACTCTTACTTGATTACCACTTCAAAATTTCTGAACTGGTTCCATCTATGCAATAATGCTTTACTTTAACAACTGGGCATTTTTCACAACTATGAGAATTATATTTCGACTTCTTATTATGAATTCTAATAGTTATTGTTAAATTCACAGATTTTCATTCCATCATCAAAATCCTTATTTTTGTGTTTAAGTTTCAGCATTAGTGTTTTTCTTCTCTTTTACTAGAATCATTATTACCTTGTTTAGATGGCATGCTTCTTTTTTAAACATTATAAAAAATGTAACACAAAATAATAATCCTAAGTTTTACTGATTGTCCTGCTGTAAAGAGAAAGGGCCCTGAAACCACTTGAAAGGTATAATGTGAATCATTCAATTGAGGAAAACTAAAAATGAAGAAGTGCCAGTTTGTTGAGAAATCTCTCAGTTTCCTAAAATTTAAAAATGCAGAAGTTTACACCATTTAGTGGTGCTACTTTGGTAGACGGTTGCATGTATTTTTGGCGATTTACGTTGGCGAGGTTTTCACAGTCGTCAGCCATCTTGAAAAACGCCGTTTTTACGTATTTCAGGCATAGTAAAATATTCGAAACTTTTAAAAAATCAATATCGTTAAAAATAATGGATTAATTTTTTGTTGAAAATGTTGTTTTTTAAGATGGCTGGCAAATGTAAATAAATACATTTACTACGAGTATAAAATGCTAAAGTAAGGTTAAATTATTACTTTCATATAATAGAATAAAAACATTGCGCCAACATTTAATTGGAATAAAATATTATTTAAATTGAATATTGAATTAAAAACATCATTCTAATGTTCAAAAGATTAAATTTTTCATATAATTAAATTCAAATCCTTTAAAAATAAGTTTTATAGGATATAATTATTTAACATTAAAACATATGTGGCAAGAAATATCTCAGGAATTTTTTAAAACAATGTATTAATTTTTTAATAGAAATTGAAGTATACAATTATAAAGTAAAAGAAAAATATGTACTTACATTTTTTTAAAGTATTTTACCTGTTGTATGTTGATAAGTACCAGAAAAAAAAAAAAAAAAGATTTTCATTTGTGATCTACGTCCCTCGCACTTCATCGAAGAAGCAATTAGCGAGGTTTCCTCCAAAAATTTAAAATAAATTTCCTCTGACCCTTGTAACAATAAATAAAGCTTTGATTAGGAAAGCAAGGTTGGCCAAAATAAGGTCTCAAACGGCAATTTTTTATTCTGATACCAATAATTCTTGGTAATTACCAATAACAACATTCATATTCGAAACAGTCACATCCATTCGCTTTGAAATCTGAAGAATTCGAAGATATGAATAATAAAATTTTAAAATGGAGCGGTAATGCACAAATATTCAGTAACCAATCAGGGAGCTGATTACATCACGCATAGAATTAAAATTATTTAAATAATCATTCATAATAAAATCATATTTAAAAAAAATGCAAAATTAATGTTTTTTTAATATTTACAGCCATAAATAATGTTTAAAACAGATTAAATTTATAAATATTAAAACCAATTACTTTTAAAATAATGTGACGTCATTTTTTACATCATTCCACAACATAAAATATCATAAACATCATAAACAATAAAATTTTTATTTCAAATAAAAATGCAAAATAAATTCATTTTTATTATTTTGAAGTCCATAAATAATATTTAAAACATGGAATTTATGGATAATAAAATGCATTATTTTTTAAATAAAATGACAACAAAGTATCAGTTACCATAAATAACTTGTCCAGCAATGGGTTTACCATAAGTCGTATTGCTCGCCAAAATCCGTGCAACCGTCTACCAAAGTAGCACCGAATTGTTTATAGCATTGTTTACTCAGTAGTGAGATAAAGCAAAATGAGAGACATTCATGTCATTTGCCTCAAAGTGGAAATTGATTCATTCACATTAAGATAGTTTCCTCGAAGAAAATTAATCCAGGTAACTGTATTGTGTGTTGAGTACTTCTCTTCAGAAGTTAAAATTATATTTGGACATTGTGTTACATCTGCACTTTTGTTTCAAGTATGACGCTGATAAACACATACATGCTGTGAGGTAAAGGACTGCATAATTTCGAGTTTGCTGAAGTTGGGGTATTACTGTACTCTTTTCTTTTAATGAAAATATATTTAAAATTTTATATAAAAAATTATTTTAGTTATCATTATATTGTTTGATTTGCACACTATTTTAGAAACAAAGTAAAAAAAAAAATGAAATAAAATTTTTTCAGCTTTTATTTAACTTTATGAAATGCTTCAAAACAAAAATCTACCGCAAATGGATCTGTTTCTATAATTAGCACGTTCTTATATGTAGTAATTTCTGATAGAAGAGTAAAATGGATATTTATTTAGGTTTAAGCATATACTCTTAAAAAATATAACAGAATGCTGAGTGTAGATTAGGTTAATTGATTAAGGCAAAGCAGCTTAAAGGCTGTTTGCCTTTGCACAGGACCTTTTTAGGAAACCGGTTTATATCTGTGTTGTGTCACATGGGAAAAACCAAAGATGCAACCAGCTCCTTTACTCGAATTCATACTTGGGTCAAACTACCAGTGTTTGACTTAACCACTTGGCCACCATTATTTTGCTTAACAGAGCACTTTCATTAAACAAGATAGATCTCAGAATGTTATATATATATATATAAATTTAAACAAACATGTATATATGTAAAAAGCAAATTTAAAGTTAAAAAAAATTAAAGTTATTTTTTTTTTTTTTTTTTTTTTTTTTTTTTTTTAATGTGCAAACATATAAAAGATTTAATTTTTGAACTAATCTACAATATCCTTTAAATTCAGATAGCATAAGCAAATCAAGTGTAAAACCAAACCATGAAAATAAGTTTTCACCAATTTAGCAAATTAAAATTAATCTAAAAAAAATTATTTATTTAATGCATAAGTGAATGACTGTTGAGCAGGTAGGAGTCAGACTTATCAAGGGGAAGTTGCCTCCAAACCTAACTTTTCAATCATTCAATTCGTGTTTCGTCATTCATGCAGGCAAGGGTAAAAGTCAAAACCAAAAGTAAAAACATAGTGAAGAATGTCCAAAAAGAAATACCAATAAAGTGGTACCTTGAGAAATTAGCAATTAAAAATTAAAGTTCTGAAAGGAAAATACCAATAATGAAGTATTTTAAGAAATAGGCAAGTTAAAGTCTAGTATTAAATTAAATTTTAAATTTACCAGAAAAATTAATTTAGAAACCATTGCATTTTAGAAACCCTTGTCTACAGAAACCTCGCCGACAGGAATATGCATATCAATTAAAAAGGAACTAGACATAATTTATATAAACCGATAAGAAACTAAAACGAACTAATTCATAATTTATAAAAAACAAATATATACTTAAAAATATATTTACATATCTAGAAAACTTAAATATTAAAGTATGTTAATAAATAATAAAATAAATACTATAGTTAGATAAGTTCTGGCAACAGTGAGTGTTGTCGTCATCAGGAGATCGTGCTTCGCGATACTGTCGTTCAAAGAAAGCTATAGTTTGTAATTCCAAATAAAAAGCATCGTATTTTTGCTCTGCTGTTTGTTTTCTCTATTTTTAGAAATACCTTTTTAGGTTATGTATTTTTTAAGAAATACTTTTTTAGGTTATGGGTCAAGCAAGCTCCCATATTGCGTCAAATGTTATGAATTGATGTTTTCTCGAAGAAATGGAACTCGTTAAGCCTAAGCAAGTAAGTGTTTTATTTTCGTTATAGCATCGAAAGTTGTTTAGAAATCAAAGTATGAATTATCTAAGGTCCAAGTAAAGCATTTATCAGGTGAAAGCATTGGCTTACATGGAAATACAGGATAAAATTTGTTTTAAATTATCATCCTGGTGCTTAGAAATTGTAGAGGAACTATAGTGAAACCAGAAATTCTTCCTGTAGATGCTCCGATTGCTCAACAAGAGAGATATAATGAAGCTGTTAAGAAGTTTCAAAATGCAAACACTAGTGCTATGATGGTATTAACGAATTCCATGACGGAAGAAAACTCTGCAAAAAGTTATGAGATTTCAGACTGCTAGAGAAGTGTGGTTGGAATTACATAAGTTATTTGAAGCATCATAAGAAAATCAATTGTATAATATATGCATGCAATTTTTTCAATTCAAGTGGAATGAAAATGATAATATGGCGGTCATCTTTCTAAATTAAAAAACTTATAGGAATGAGTTGAATTCAGGACTTGAAAAGAAAAATGAAAATAAGTTACCTGACATACTCAATTGCAAGATTTTAGATGTCTTACCAGGACAATACCATTTGGTTTTAAGTCAAGTTGGTTACTCTTGGGTGAAGACAAAAGAACAGTTGATGAGTTAACAGCACAGCTTTGCTCTCATGAAAGAGAATTTAAAAGTCATGAGAAAGGCAAACACAAATGAACAAGTGGCATTAGTAATGTCAAAATCTGAAAAACAAAAGCAATATAAAAAAGACAAATTATTCGAAGAAAACCAAGAAAAGAAGATATTTGCAATTATTGCAAAAGAAAGGACACTGGGTAAAAGATTGTAAACAGTGGATTGCTGATGGAAGACCACCCAAGAATAGGTTAACGAAACCAATGAAGGAAATACAGGCAGTGTAATACTGATGTCCATTGACGAAGAGGCTAAGACTGATCAAACATCTTTCTGGATTGATAGTGGAGCTACAAGACATATCATGAATTGTTTCACATACTTTATTGACTTTATGAAGTTTGATAGTCCCTGTAGCATCAAGGCTGCTGGAAAAGAAACTTTAGTTGCTCTTGGTAAAGGTACAGTATGTGTCAAAACAACTATTGGTAGTAAAATCCAAAGAATTTACCTTAAAGATGTTTGGTATGTCCCTGAGATAAACAGAAATTTATTTTCTTTACTTGCTGCTCAAGATAGAAATCCGAATAGTAAATTTATTTCAACAGTTACAGAATGCTGGTTAAAGGTTAATGGTCAAGTAGTGCTTTTTGGAACTCGCAAAGTATATGGTACTTTATACAAGGCAGCTATCGAACCTATTATGCCTGATAAAATTATAGAAGTTCATGCTGCTGAAGCAGACAATTCCTTGTTAGAGTTATATCATCAGAGATGGGGACATCAAGATAAACGTCACATTAAGAACATGCTTGAGAAAGAATTAGGAATTAAAATCCCATTTGAAAGAAAATTGTGTGAACCATGCATTTTTGGCAAAGCACACCGTTTACCATTTGGCATAAGAAAGCCAGCCAGCAAGCCTGGTGAATTAATTTCAGCTGATGTCTGTGGACCTTTTTGATGAATCTTTCCAGAAGAAAAGATACTTAGTTGTGTTTAAAGATAGCTACACAAAGTTTCGTTATGGGTATTTTATCAAGGAAAAATCTGCTGTTGTAAATATGTTACAACACATGCTTGCATACGCTAAAATTTTAGGACATTTAGTCAAAGAATTTCTCAGCGATAATGGAGGCGAGTTTGACTTGACAATGACAAATTGCGTGCTATTTTGCATTCTGAAGGTATAACTCAAAGACTAACAGCACCTTATTCTCCTGAACAAAATGGCTCTAGTGAAAGAGACATACGTACAATAATCGAAATGGCAAGAACATTTAAGTACTCAAATTCTGAAGCTCATTTTCCTGCAGCAATGTGGGCTGAACTAGTCAACTGCCATATATGTACTAAACAGAACTGGCAAATCATCAGTAGAAGGCATGAGTCCTTATGAGCTATGGTTTAAAAAGAAACCTCGAATTAAGCATCTTCGTATAGTAGGATCTGTGTGTTATGCCCATATTCCTAAACAAAGAAGGAAAATGGATAATAAGGCTACAAAAGCTTATTTAATTGGTTATGATGGAGACGAAAGATACCGACTATGGATCAAAGAAACCAATAGTGTGATCTGTTCACGGGATGTTATATTTAACGAAAAGCTCACAAATTGTGAAGAAAGGGTGCAGTTACCTATTCAAGATCAAGATAGCCTAATTTCTGGCTCTGAACATCAACAAAATTCAGAAAAAGAATACAACAAAGAAATATCTGGAAATATATCAGAAGAACATTCTGAAAGAGAAGAATGTGAAGATATTAATTTGCAAAATAATGCACAGCCAAGATACCTAAGAGATAGAGCTGACTTGAGAAAGCCAAAGCGTTTTGAAGATTATATAATGATAAGTGAAGCTTTTATTATTGATTCTAAAGAGCCCGAATCTTATGAAGAAGCGATCAACTGTAAGCAAAGTGTTAATTGGAAAGAAGCTATGGATTCAGAGATGAAATCATTGATAGAGAATGAAACATGGAGTTTAGAAAAATTACCAAAGATGCTAAAGCTATACCATGCAAGTGGGTTTATAAGATCAAAAGGAATCCTGATGGATCTATTGATAAATTCAAGGCTAGACTTGTTGCCAAAGGATGTACTCAACATTTTGGAGTTGATTATGATCAAACGTTTAGTCCAGTAACAAAGTTAGGAACTATTCGTTCAGTTTTGAGCATCGCAGCCAATGAGAAAATGCATCTTTCTCAGTTTGATGTCGGTTCAGCATTCTTATATGGAAAACTTGAAGAATCTATATACATGCAGCAACCAGAAGGATATAGTGACGGTTCGAAAAAAGTCTGTAAGTTGAAACGCAGTTTGTATGGACTTAAACAATCATCACGCTGCTGGAATAAATATTTTGGAGATTTTGTGTCACAGCTGGGCTTCAAGACAAGTGAAGCTGATCCATGCTTATATATAAGAAACAATAACGGCAAGAAGCTAATCGTATGTTTATATGTAGATGATGGTTTAGTAGCATCAACAGATCTACAAGAATCTGAAAAATTTCTCAGAGAATTGAAGTCGAGATTCAGAATCACAACTAAACCAGCAGTATACTTTCTTGGACTTGAAATTAAACATCTTGAAGATGGAAGTATTAAAATTAGTCAGCAAGCTTATGCAAGAAAAATTCTTCAAAAAATTTGGGATGGAAGATTGCAAGCCAGTGTCAACTCCTATCCTGAAGGAAGGTCTAACTGAAAAGAAAAAGGAAGATAAATCAAACAGAGAAATTTTTCCTTATAGAGAAGCTGTAGGAGCTTTAATGTATCTTATGTTAGGCACACAAGACCAGATTTAGCTTACTGTGTTGGCATTCTATCACGTTACCTAGAAAATCCTTCGAAAGATGATTGGAAAAAAGTGAAACGTGTATTCAGATACATAGCAGGTTCTCTAACTAAAGGTGTTACATACAAGAATAAATACAAACCAGGAATTCTAGAATGCTATAGTGATGCAGATTTTGGAGGCTGTCAAGAAACAGGAAAAATCAACGAGTGGAGTAGTGATATTATATAGTGGTGGAGCTATATCATGGATTAGCCAAAGGCAATCAGTTGTTGCAACTGCAACTTCGACGACTGAAGCAGAAAGTAATTGCAGCTAGTGAATGTTCTAGAGAAGTAATTTGGTTAAAGCGACTATTTAGTGATGTAACCAAGTTACGTGAACTCCAGTAATTCAAGTAGACAACGCCGCTGCAGTGAGACTGTCACAAAACCCGGAGTTTCATCGACGCACAAAACACATTGATATCAAGCACTTTTTCATACGAGAGAAAGTTCTAGAAAAGGAAATCATTGTGCAGCAGGTACCTACAGAGGCGCAAGTTGCTGACATAATGACTAAACCTTTATTTAAACCGAGACTGTTAATTCTTTGTGATAAGATGGGACTTTTGTGACTTTTTTCTTTTAATTTATTATTATTTTTTTTTTTTTACAAGGGGAAGTATTAAAGTATGTTAATAAAATAATAATAATATAATATATAGTTTAGATAAGTTCTGGCAACAGTGAGTGTTGTCGTCATCAGGAGATCGTGCTTCGCGATACTGTCGTTCAAAAAAGCTATAGTTTGTAATTCCAATAAAAGCATCGTATTTTTGCTCTGCTGTTTGTTTTCTCTTTATTTTTAGAAATACCTTTTTAGGTTATGTATTTTTAAGAAATACTTTTT